GCCAATTGGGACTTAGGCTCAACGGTGTCATCAGTTTGTTCGTCTTCATAATTTTCCTTGTTGTGCCTTCTTGCATACCAAATGGTTAAGCTTTTATTTGTATTTTGTCCGTGGCGTACGGAGCATATGGCCAACTTTAAACAATGCTTACACTGGCTGGCTGCCGAAAAAACTTTCCATTTCTAGTCCCATAAAAATGAATTTTTTGGTAATTCAATTACGTATTCTTCACATATAAAAACAATTATGCAGTCAAACAAAATTGAATTTTATAGATAAGAGTGTAGATTGGACATAAATTAAATATATGCATTGAAGGAAATATGAAAATGTAAATTATAATAGAAATATATGGTTCACTTGGGCATGTTTCCATTTAAATTGGTTTTTATCATGAATGATATTTCCTCATATTCACCCAGTTGGACACCCTTTTCCTACATGTCTATTATAGAAAATTGTGGTTGGACTGAGTTTAATTATGCAAAGCCTGTTCATTATGGGCCATCTGATTGTGAGTGCCAGCAGCCAGTGTTGGTAAGTCACATTTAACTCAGATAAGAGCCCTTAATTTATGACACGCTTTGACCGTTGGGCTCTGCACATAATTTCCCCGGGCTAAGCCCAACAATTAGGTGAGCCCAGTTAAACAAATTGCACTACATAAACTCCAATGTTCATTTCCGTAAGGATCAGAACCCCTGGGCCAAAACTTGATTGGAAAAGGAAAACTTCAAAGTAGTAATCGATAAACCACAACTGTTTTGGAGTGACACACTGTGGTTTCTCTCCCACTGCGCTGCATTACAATTTATCAGAAATGTTGCCATTCCCTATTTGTGGTTGCCAGCACGTGCGATCAACATTTACATTTCGTGAGTCCCCCCCTCCAAAACAAGTTTCGCCTGATAAAATTGTTGGCGTTTTACAAAACGGTAATCAACCAAGGTCACGAATTGAAAAGAGTGGGGCGCACGCACACTAAAACTACTATTGAAATGGGAGAAATTAGAGCGCAAACAAATGGAAGTGGCAACCGTTCACAAACAGTCACGGAAATAAATAATATAAATCAACAATATAAATTATGACTGAACAAAACGTTGAGTGTCTGCTGGATATCAGTTGAATTACAGCGTACAAACCCAGCCAAGCAAACTCATAAATAAACAATTTTAGTTGTGTGCTATTAATTTGCCACCAAAATATGACATACATGTATTATCGCAGCCACAAAATAGATCGTATCAAACCAATCCACTCAGGTTGGGAAAGTCTGGGAGTGTGAACGATGGACCTAAATGGCTGGATAAGTGAATGTGAATGGGAAAAAGTTGGCCAAGCTGTATATGAACATTTAATGGACTATGTCAAGCTTAAATGGCTGTCAAGGGTGAAGCCATCTGACAGGCATTAAGGTTAATGAGTCATGTGTGGTCAGGGGAATCCCAAAAAAGCAGACCATAAAAATGACCCACCTAGACTGCATGGAAAAGTTTCGGTTGGGTAAAATCTGTTTATTAGAAAAATTACATAGATCGATGTTATATTTCTTCAATGGCAAAATAAACATTTAGGCGCTACTAAGTAGTGGAGCGTTAAAATGTTTACTTAACAACATAAAGTGAGATCAAACCAGATATTATCTCTCTAACTAAAATAAATAGTTTAGTAGATTTTCAATTTGTCAGTTCTGTATTTTTCTTTAAAATAAAGAAGAAAAGAATCTAGTTCTGTGTTGTACTTTACAGTAAAGAAGAAAAACATCTAAACTAAAGTTAGTCCTCCTACCGATGGCGTTTCCTTTGGGGCTCACATTACGTCTCATCGTTCACTGAAATTACAGTTTACGTTCTCGGATCTGTAATACAAACGGAAATCTTTATAAATAAAATTGTCCTTCTTAGGCGGAGAGAAATCTGAGATACAGTTCGGTTCCTGGTGTTATGGCATCGCTGTTTGCTGTCTTGCTTATTTATTTAAGTTCTGGCTCGACTGAGCTCGCTGTTTATGTTGCTAAGGCAAAGAAACAGCTGGGCCAAGTTTTTTCTTGCTGCTCCTTTGCCTCTGGTCTCGTGCATAACTCATTCGTTTTAATATTCTCCAGGCATTGTTCGTTCGCCCTCCGGTTAGCATTTATTATATTTTTTTGTGAAAAAAGAACTGGGCCACCTGAGTATACGTTTTAATGCCAAGTAAAATTCAAATAAAATTGCAGCAAGCATCTGACAGCCAGCAATTTAATTAAAATAATAAATTCCATGTAATTTGCTGCAGGCGATGTCGAGCAGCAGGTATTTTATTGCAATTTTGATGTGTATTTTAGGACAGGCTTAAGCGACGGTATTTTAAATTAAAATATTTTAAAACATCAGATAGTTTTTTTAAAGCAAAAACTATTAAAGCATTGCCTAAAGTTTTCACAAAACCAAAAGCCGGTATTGAATTAATTAGGAAAGCAAATATTTTTTCATATTCCCATCAGGACAAACGACAATTGTCAAGAAAAGAGAGAAGAAAAGCTCAGAAGAAAAGGAAAATAAAGAGGAATGCGAGCTCTTAGCTAATGAATTTTAATTGCGTAAATAACTTACTTGGTCATTGTGGCAGAGTCGAAACCAGAACTTGAATCCTGCCAAGGACCTGAGAATGGAGAAAAAAAGGAAAAACCGACGAGCTTGACAAATTTAATCATATTTTTCCTGCCGGAAGCGGAAATGATTCCGGGTTATGACCTGGCAAATGGCGAATTATGAATGAATTAAATGGCAAGATGTAAGATGGCTTTCCACGTGCGGAGGAGCCTGTTCCTGGCACCGTATTGAGAGTGCCTCGTGGATAATTGGGTGCGTGTTGCGTTTAGTATCAGGAACTTAATATACCTGGGAGATACAGGTGTGAAAGTGAGCCCTCTTTCCACATCTGTGGTTATTCAATTTTTGTTGCCATTGGGACGCTTTGGCATGCCTCTCCTGCCAAAAATGTATTTCTCTGCGGCTGTCAGGGTTAATGAGCCACATGTAAAATTTATTTAATAATTTCGCAAGCGTTATTCACTGCATTTTATAGTCATACTAAAGCGGAGGTCATTAGGCAACAGTGTCAGGTGGGCTATATACATTTTCATTTTCACCCTGTTAGTTTTTAATTATAATTTATTGACTAAGCTTTTGCAGAACTAACCAATAAAAACAAAACAAAAATGTTAAATTAATTACAAAAAGGATGCCGCTGGACAATAAACAAACAAAGCATTGCTTGGCTACCTCATTTTAAATGCAGCAAACATGTATTTATTCAAATGTTCATATATTTCAATGAATCCTTTAAATTGTGCTTTATATGACGCAAACGTTCAAAGCACGCTTCTGTGGCAGATGGCAGATTGATAAATCCAGTTGAGCGTAAAATTTGCATTTCTATTCAAGTGTAAAACAAATAAAGATTTTTACGGTTTTGTGGGAATATATTAAAAAAACGTTCGTGCAATATATATGAGATATTTACGAGATTTCCCAAGCGCTAAACCCCCAAGGCAGGAAGTAAATATGTTTTTATTCGATGCGAATCCGATAAAAGGGAAACCATTGCAAAACGGAATAATCCTTAAAGCGTAACTGGAGCTCAATGCCGTTTGGCTTTCATCTTGATTCGGGATATTCGATGATTTAACAGTAGTAGGGCCAGCAGAGTGGGCAGCTATTAAAAGCATAGCATTCGCCACTTGACAGCGCAACCTTGCCACGCCCCATCTACCGTTAGCACTTAACACCCACCGCCCAACGCCCACTGGGGCAGCCTTGTGCCAAGCACAAACAACTAGTTTTTAGGAAACGTTTCCCTCTCGGCTTTGCTTTTGCCTTATTGCTAGTGTTTGGCAAGAATGCCGAACCAAAAGCCTTACGTGTCAATTTATTATAACTTATTCAAGGCCAACAGGGCTGTTTTTTTGTATTTCCTCGGTATCTGCGTGAAAAATGCCATAAAAAATGAATGCTGACCCAGGCGGCAAACACGAGAAGCGTTGGCATGAGTGGGCCGCAAAATGGGGGAGCAGGAACATGATCACTATATTTCAGTTTATTGCATACATTGCCTCCTTTCTCGTCCTCATTCACTTCCTTCCTTCGTTCTTCGCAACGAAAGTTGCGCTTCAAGTTTATTAGCAGTATTTTAGCCCTTTTTCCCTTGTCCTTTGAGCCAACTCCTCTGGCAGAGGGCCAAAAATTCCGAGAACGCGCTCAGCTCGATTCAAAATCGATTGAGCAGCCCGGGGTTGGTGATTTTGGCCAGGGGAAATGCCCGAAGACCCCTTTGAAGTTAATTGTTTGAAAGCTGCAACCGAAGTTTTAAGAACTGTCGATGATGTGCCAAAGCAAAAGTTGGCCTGTCATTGAAGCTCGAAACACATGATAGCCTAGTCATAAAACTCATTTTTATTTATTGAAGAAGAGACATAAGTTGGATATAGCGTATTTCAAAGAAGACCACTGAAGGAAAAAGTCACAAAAATTGGAGATAGTTTCCAAGTTTATCATTTGAACAATTTTGTCTTTGAAGCTATTGGCTTAAACTGGTAATTTTGTTGATGACATTTTTCAAACGTGTTGAATAAAAGACGTTCTTTTGAAAAAGCTGAAATTTCACAAAGAGTAAAACTAAATTTGCTAACCTCTGAATAAATGAAAATCTTATGAAAAACCCTAAGCAAAAATGGTAACTTTTTAGGAACATAAGACCTCTAAAGAAAAAGGGAAACAAAAGGGGAGACAGTTTAATATATTGTGTTTAAAGTTTTTGAGTTGTTTATTGTTTATACAAAAAAAAAGAAAGGCCAAAGCAAAATTTTGACTACCTTCGGCATCTCAGAATAAAAAAGAAATTTAAACTTGAATTTAAATTAGTAGCATAATACCGCTTTTTTTGGGAACACATATTGACCATTTCCCTATGAACTGTCCATAATTTCTCCTGTTTCCTGTCTCCACATTTAATTGCAGCAAAAGCCGCAACAAAAATCCAAGCCGTCTTTCGAGGCCACAAAGTGAGAGAAACCATGAAAAAATCGGAAACCAAAACTGCGACCAACAACGGCAGTGCCGCCGGAGCCGCTCCATCGGCAGCAGCAGCAGCCGCAGCCGAGGCAGCCGCATCCGCAGAGCCAACCAAAGCCGAACTAGAGGCTGAATTCGATCCCAACGACAAGGGTAAGTCAAAGTTACAGGACCCTAAAAGCCGCTCAAAAGGTGCGCCAGCTTGGGGCCATCATCTAATAAAACTAATAAGAGCTTAAACTCTAACTTAAGACCCTACACTTGCAATACGAAATCTAGAACATAGCTGTAGAGAGGAGATAAATATTAAAAATAAGGGAAATAAATTAATATTGATGACAATTAAACAGTTTTTTAGTACACCCAAATAAATTGTCACGAATTTTTAATTTTTGGGCATGAAAAATTTCTCACTAAGGTTAGTAATATATTAATACCACGAAACTAAAAAAAAACATATGTTTTAAACTCTTCGGCATAGAAATGAAACTAAAAGTTAATACTATGTAGTTTATTTTAAAAACACTCTTATTAGACCTAAGCTTTCAGTTTTATTTATTTTTCTCTGTGTGCTAGAAAATTTGGGGTAATGTTTATTTCCAACAGATCGTTTTACATATTTAAAGGGAAATTATTTTTTGAATTATTTAAATTATAGTTTTGTAAAATAATATCAAAGACAAAAAAATAAACAAATTGGGATCGAAAAATTCATTTAAAAATATGAAAATAATACAATATTTATTTTAGCTAGTATTGTCTTGTTTATTAGATTTATTTTAAACCCAAATGTACAAAACTCCAATCCATGCCTAGATTTTTAAGTTAAATAAATATATGCTCTTATTTAATTTATTTTTTTTTTTTTTGAGTGCCCTTCAGGTGTGGCAAAGCCAAGCACAAAGGGTGAAACTTTCTTGGAAATCGAATTTGCAGTTCCCGAGCATTGTAGATTCCCCTGCAAATATTGTCGTCGAATCAGCGGGCTTACACAACTTCGACTTCAAGTTGGGGATACAAGCTGAAATTACAGTTGGGTTTCCGCCCGCCAACCGTAATACAAACTTTTCGTGTTACGCAATATATGAGAATTTTCAGCAAAAATATTTGTCACTTGACTGGGACACAAGCTGGTAAAGTTTGTGCCGCCCCGACGAAGAATAATCGGGTTTTTTGGGAAGGGGGATGCCAACGCGTGGAGTGGGTCTGGGATCTGGGATCTGGCGGTGTCAGCCATTGGTTATTTAATCGCTACGCTCATAAATAATGAAAATCTTGAAGACAGCTTAACCCTATTAGGACGTTTCAGGCGTTGGCAGTTTTCAGCTATAATTTGCCTAGGGCACAATGAGCCGAGGGCACTGCGAGTCGAGGAGGAAGCCGTGCCCGGCTCCCCGGCTCATTAAAAAGTCAGAGGCTGTCATCGGGGCGTATACGCAACCGCATTAGGCAGCACTCGGCTCCTCAGCCAGACAACAGTTTCCATTGCAAGTGCTCACGTGTGAATCGCCTCCATGGGCTTAATTATAGTACCGGGTGGGTCTCGAAAGGCGGATTCTTCTTCAGTGGCCTGCCATTCATACGACGAACATTTGTGCGACGGCTAATTAGACTCGCCTGAGAGCTCAAAGGATGCGAGGAGCACGCGGAGGACCTTTCTCCTTTGTGACCGAGCACATACTCAATTAGAGGCGTTGAATGGCACGGGCGTGAATGTCTGCCAGGGGGTAAGTTAATTTTGAAACTTTGACCGAAAAATTCATAATCAGGACTGCCTCTCATAAATCTCTGCAGAGTTCGCAGAGGCTTTGGGCAAATTCCATTATTCATAGTCATAATCAAAAGTGTCACAAAATTGTCTAGACTTTAAGGAGTGCTTTGCGATTTTTCAAATTAGTTTATATATGTACTGGCAAAGGCGTTGTTCATAAATTTCATTTCAATGTTTCTTTGTATAACTAGACTAGGTTAAAAAGGACATTTAAGCATTTGCATTACATTTTAAGTAATTACTTAATTTAATTTACAAATTTTATTAACATAATAATATGTGATCCCTATACAAAGTCTTTATAAACCTGATAAATAAACAATTCCATTATTTATAGTCATATTCACGAGTCTCACAAAAGATTCTAGACATTTAGAAGTCATAAAGGACATTTAAACTATTGCATTGCATAACACATTTAAAACAATAATTAAACCTTATTTACATATTTTATTTAAATAACATAAAATATTTCCATTATTATTTTCAATAAGCATATTGTATAAAAGCAAGACTTTACAAGCCATATAAATAAGCGATTACCCTGCCCAATATAAAGCCAAATAAGTCCATAAAATTTAAGAACTAAACAATCGGAAAACTCCGCTCTTTTGTACCACATAATTAGATCCACTTCATGGCCTTATCCCATATTTAACCAACATGGCAGGCACGCTTGGCTTATCCGAAGTAAACCAGTTAGGACTTCATCATTATTCACAGTTATCGCTCGCAGGCGGCCAACAACGACAAGCTAATGGTGTTGGCCTAGTTGTAAACTCGCCTTGCCGACGGCATATTGTGAAATTGCAAAACAATAAAAACAACGACCACAACGAACTCGGTTTAAGGGTTTAAAGGGAGCAAAACAAAAAATTGAAGCACACATATGGCCAGGCGAAAGCAATTTCTGAGCCCAAAACTGCGATTTAGCCCATTTGGTATGCAAATGCGAGCAGACACATGCACGTACGCACACAAAAGGGACAGGGACACTCTGTATGTGCACGAAAATCGAAAGCAATTTAAGGTTATTTCTTTGTACGTGCATTTCGCATTTGGCGCAAACATTTGCGGCTTTGCTTTGGCCATTTGACTTGCAATCCCCTGTTTTTGTGCAATGCATAAACTTCCCGGAGCCAGGAATACAACTCACCTACGCACTTGGCCCAAAGCCTTGCTGCCCCATTTGTTTGTGTCTGTTGTAGTCTGACCCCAATGCTGTTTGCCTAATCGCTCCCTCACTAATTATTGTTCATGGCCAAAACGACCACCAACAAGTCAGCATGCCCCCAATCAAAAAGAGGGCCTAAGTCCTCCCCCAAAATCTATGGTAATTGAACTGCATCCGGATGGTTGTCTGCCATAATTGTTGGCGGATTCCATTCGATTATGATAAATTATCAGCGAGCATTAGGCCTGGTTTGCTCAATTTGTGGGTCATTTGATATACGTTAGCTACTGTTTGCAAAAACTTAATTGGATTGGCATAAACAAATAAATCATATTGTGTAATTATGAATATTAAAAATAATAAAAAAACGCTTTGATTTTGCTGCTAATTTAATTTTAATCAACGCTTATAAGTTTTAAAAATAATAAAAATGTATACCCTTTTCATTGCAAAAATCTGTCATAGCTTTCCCTGTATAGCTAAGCAGCTAAGATTTATCAATTTTAAAAAATGCCTCCTTTATGTGTCCACGATTTTCCTTTTTCTTTTTTTTAATTTTAGCATCTTTATAATTAGAAGTTTAAGAAACCATAATTTTAGCATTGTTTGAACTTGTAAATGGTTGTTTCATCTCAACATGACATCTTGAGGACATCAAAATCATGACCATAAATTCATGTGTCATTTTTTAAGACCTGTTCGTGATGTTGCTGCTAGTGCTCCCAACAGCAACAGCAACATGAACATCAGCAACATCAACTACATCAGCAACTGCGATAAAACAGCAGCGCAGAGCGTTCTCCTAATTGGATTTTCGGTTTTAAGCAAGCTTGTAATTCCATTTGCACCGCCCGGAGACCCACAAAAAACCAACAGTGTCAGGCCAAGCCATTTAAGTATAATGTTAAGTGCTCCGCCTGTTGTTGGGCGAACAAAAAGGCGGATCCAAAAAAACATGCAACAAAAAAAGAAAAATAAAGCAGGAGGAACAAAGGCGGAAACGACAACATTGACATGAAACACGCAATAAGCAGCATTCCAGCCAAAAACAATGTTTCAGCCGCTGAATTGGCGATTTTTTGCTAGCCCCAAGAAACCCCCACAAAAATTTATTGTATATACTATATATATATATATAGATATATACACAGGTGGACTGTGAACCGCAAAGGGGGCCAAAATAGACAAGAGAGTGTCGGAGGCTTGGACCCGAATTTATATTGCACGGTGGCCACAATATGCTTGTATATATGGCTATTCTCGGGTGACAGCTGGAGGTCGAGTGTTTATTTAGCTACTGCTAAACGTTTAGCAAGTGCCGACTTTGTTGGGCCTTTTAAATATTTCAACGATGCTAGCACCTTTTCGTGTATTTCCTGGCCCTTATCCAACGTGTTTATTGAGGCTCCAATAAAATTCACTGGGTTAATATTTAAATCCTCCTTTGAATGCGATTTCCTTTGCCTGCCAAGCTTGGAGTAAGCAATTAACTAGGTCACACACTTAATCGTATTTCACGAATTTTCAATCCTTTGCCTTATTAAATCATCGCCCTAATCCAGTTAATAATGGGCAGGATTAACTTTAAAACAAGCAAAGTTTTAATGAGTTTTCCAGCAAGGTTTGGCCATATTGCATAATAAGCCTTAATCAGCTTTTGTAACAAGGTTTAATATTAATTAAAGTTCTGTTTGAATTGCTAGGCCAGAGCCCCATCTGCGAATATTGGACTAAAATACATATTTTTCATCGTACTTAACGTTGGTAGACAAATTTGCACAAAATCTACGAATGCAAACAGGAGAGAAACCAATAAGTATTTCTCAACGGGTGACTGTTTGTCCTTCCAGTAGATTTATTTGCTCTAACAACAGGACCATGGAAATGAGAAAAGCACGTTTGGAGGAAAGCCCAAAGTGGACAAAAACTGAGCAATGCGGTAGGAAAACCACAAGACTTTGTTCTGTCGGAAATTGAAAAATGGGCTTAGTCCTTATGGCTGTTGGGTCGCAAGCAAGAAGCAAAAGTAGATGGCCAAAAGTAGATGGCCAAAATGGAATCTTGGCAACCGCAAAAGCTCTCACTCACAAAAACGTTTGGCTTAAAAATTCCATTTAGCGGCTTATTATCGTGGTTGATTTGTCACAATTTGTCGTTACTTTCAAAGGCCCACAAAAGTAGGCAATGGAGTCTGTGACCCAAAAGGTAAACTGTGCGTTTGACATACAAACTTTCGGTTGGCCATTTTGCATGATTTAACTCAAAATGGAGTCACAGCTGACAGAGATGTTGCATGACGATGTCCTGTAGTGAAGGGCCGAGCTTCTGGACTGGGTAATTAAAATGTATATTTACGACAGCAACTTAACATCGTAATTATGACTGCCGGGCGACGACAATGACAAACGCAGGACTCAGCACACTCTGTGCGAGAAAATAAAATTTTGCACGCCATAAATCATCAAGGTTTCCAGAGATTTCAGGGGATAAGTATTTATCTTGAATATTTACTTATAAGTACCTATTTATTTGTTTTTCTTACTGCCCACTTTACAATGTTGAACGTTGGTTCCTAGATACTCTTTTAAATTAAATTAAAGTATAGATTTTATAGAAAGATTACCATGGATTGAAGGCATGTATTTGTTTAATTTTTCTTTCTTTTTCTGAGACATTTGGATTTGATTTTCAAGACACACTTATTTAAACTTAGCCTTCATTTTTTTTTGATGTATATAATTTCTATGCTTTTACCTTTTAAAATTAATTTGCTCTTAAAGTGGTTTATAAAATATTTATTAAATGATTACAGTTACGGATACTTTCAAACTTATTGTAAGCTCAGTAATCACTGAAACAACTTTCTTCTATTCACTTTTATCTACCTTTGCAATCACAAAAAAAAAAACTGATAATTAATAATATTTGATACATTATAACGAATTATTATAACGAATCGAAAAACTGTTTTATGCGAAATGCCTGATCAATACACGAACTACCGGTTCACCCGAGTAGTAATGGTGCTGCTTCGCTGTTCGTGGGCTTTGTTCTATCTGTGGGTAATGATCCATGCTGCTGCCATTCTGCCGGTTCCAGTGGAGCGCTGGACGCCAGGTTTCTGGAGCAGCAAACGGTACTATGTACTAACTTATAAGAGCCTGATCGACTTTAATATCAAGACAGAGCTCTGTATCCATATCCTGGCGAATGTCCTGATGTTCTGTCTGTTTCGCTGCTGCAGCTGCAGTTTCTTAGGACCCCGATATCTGGTCGGTAAAGTGAACAAACCCCATATGAATTATGGCCTATTGGTCTTCAAAGCTCCGTATCTAATTGCCTTTCTTGTCTGCTGGGTGGTCAGCACCGCAATCACGGTACTCGGAGTGAAGCTTGTGGCTAAACAGGATCAGAGTGACTCTACCTATATTCTGTACGGTCAGTTCGCCATTGCCCTGCTGTTCAAGCTCCTGATTTTGGCCAATTTCTATTCGGTCTGTCTGAAGACCTGGGCCTATTTAAAGATATTCGAGGCGGAATCCAATGCAGGTCTGATCACGTACCAAAATTTCGGCGATCACTTGAGTTTACTCTTTCGCGTTTGAGAGAGTTCAATGATATTTTTACCACCTATTGTTATTTTGAGGGAAAATAAAGTTGGCTGATAAAAAATGCTCTTGTTTTATGGGATTTTTCACTTAATTTGGAGTATAGAGTATCCCTAATTCCGCATTTTGCGATCCAAAACATCTTGTTTGTCTATTTATGCTCATTATGTGCGTGTCTGGGTCGGTTTTTGTTTGTTATTTCTGACACAATTACTAAGCACACGTCACGGATTTGCACTTTCGCTAATGGAACTCATCGCCATACACACGCTCGCCAGCACACTGTCATATTTCATAGACCAGCTTTGTTTTTATTTTCCTTCTGTTTTAATACAAATTTGCATTGTTGTGCGAATGTGGGTCAAGAGCGTTGAATCCTCCACACACACACACACGGGGACACTCAAATACAGGGAAAAGTGATACACGTGTGCTGCAGCTTTTGCTTTCGTCCCCACTCAATATTCGCAATAAAAAGGAAAGCGAAGAACAGGTGGAAAGTGCTGGTGGATGTGTGGATGTGTGGCTTATGATTGATTTCATATCCTTTGGGGATTGCCGCTCAATGGAAGCTGAAAATTGGGTTATGAAAATAAGAGACACAGCAAAAAACTAAAAACCTTGAATTGAAAGAAATGTTAAAAAGAACCGAAACGGGCATGCAAATTAAGCAAACTCCAGGGAGAGCGAAAAACGAGCAGCGTGTTAGTCAGTCAATCAGTGGGACGTGACCGATTGCCCCCAAGCCCGGGCACATGCAAATCCAAGTCCCAGGCCAAGGTGTGCAGCCCCGGCCACTGTGCAAACGCCCACCGCCCCCGGAAGTGCATGCCATGCCCACACAGAAGCACTGACATTTTGCCAGAAAGAAAAGCAAACTCAATTTGTATGCCTCGCCAACAGGCAGGACATCAGGACATCAAGCAGATAGCAGATAGGAGTTCGCCGGACGAAGGACGAAAGACGCAGACACAAAAAGCAACATGCATACGGCCTGCTGACAACTTTTCCGACACTGGAGCTTAGATTTTGGACTTATGCGGTCCTGTGACAGGACACGCAGTTTACGTGATCGGCTTTTAACATGTGTTGCATGGCCGGCGACATGTGCAAGTCTCTGCCAAAAAACTTTGCACTTGGAAAAGCTAATACAGAAAATTCGCTAAGGAAAGTGCTAAAGAAACGTGTATTGATTTAAATAAGCTAGTTAAGTGGCAAGAATATGGGGTACCTTTTTATTCTTTCAAAAGTTTTTGTATTTATTTTATAAAGTTAAGTTCGATTATTAAATAACGATTTCACAAATGATAAAACAGGTCAAGTCTTTAATAAAATCTTATAAATGTTTCGATTGCAAAATTTAAACATACACATTATTGCTTATTTCCTTATATAGTTAAATAAAATCAACGACTTTTAAATTTGTTTTTTGTATACAAATAAACTATGGTAAATTTTAAAATATAGCTCTTTTTAGAAAGAGTAAAACTTTAAAGCGCAGATGCAATAAAGCTGTTGCCAAAAACAAAATTTAACTTTCTATAATCTAATTATATGTCTTAAATAAAGACATATTTTTGTTGTGTACATTTTGGTAAGGATCCAAAGCAAATAGAAAACAACTCTAAAAAAAGGAGAACAAATTTTTCCACAGGTAGAAGATTAAAACGTGAAAAGAGTTGGAGACAAATTCTATTTACGGGGCGTACGAGAACTAGTTGATTACTGACCGAGCAGCCGCAACAGCTCAGTTCGGCTCAGCCTGGCTAACTAGTTGCAGCCACATCCTGGCCCGGAAAATGTCACAGCACAGCTATTTGCACGTCTTGCTGATATTTTTAAATATTTTATAAATAAACATAAATGCAGCAGCGGCAAATGGCACGTGCCGTTCGGCCGGGTCACGTTGCTTAGCCGACTTGTGTGCGTAATATTATAAAATAGCACATGCCATAAGTTCTGGGCCAGGACTCTTCCGATGCCAGTCCTCTAGGCCTCGGCCAAATGCTTATCTTGGCCCAACTCCAATTACGCTTAGCGAATTAACACAAACCCACTTTCCCCCTGCCCTCTGGCAATATTTGCATGGCCCAGTGGGCTAACTTGGCCCGCAGGCAAACGCGAAATTTCGTTGCGGAAATTGGCCAAGTTAAATGTATGCACTTTCGTAGCGTAAAAATCTCAACAAAAAAGGAACATTTTTAAATGAGAACTTTCTCTGAATTTGCATAAATGCACAAGTGAGCAATGGGAAAAGATGACAAAAATGGGAAACGACAGCTGCAATAATGTAATCTTGCGGCTGACAACGTAGAAAAAGCGCGTTTTTACAAGGCTATGCATAGTTTAATGGTTTTTTCCTGTGGCCCGAAGTACACGTATTTCCCGAGCATTTTTACACAATTACTGGCTAATTAGAATGAGCTTGTGCTGGGGCAAAAAACTGAGTTAAAGTGGCACGTAGTGAAAGACACGCGTGACTTAACCGCAACCACATGCATCCTGGGCCAGCTGTGAGCTTAATTTGCGGTCAGTCTCCTCCATCCATCCATCCATCTGGTCCGCACTTGGTCTGGGTTATATATGCATCCCGCTGCGTCCAACGTTGCGTATACGTAATGAGATTAGCCGGGAAACGTGGTCAAAAGAAGAAGCGTGTATACTAAACATTCTGAAGAGCGGCGAGGGAATAATTCGCTTCGTGATTTCGATTATTTCCCTTTTTTACAAGCAATCTGGGATCCGTGGAAAATTATGGCCAGTGTTGGGCTATAAAATACGAAGCGGTGGTCAGATAGCGAAAAACTATAACAATAAATTAAAGTAAAAACCACACAAACTCAGTTGAAGCTGGCATAAGGACCCTGGCTAATTGAAAAAAGTTCACAGCAAATTCCGAGAAACAATGTTTGAGTATCATCTAAAGTTTCAATTGGCCAAGAAACACCAGACAAGTTTGGACACTCTTTTATATGTATTTCGGGGCGTTGGCCAAGTGGCCACTTAAGCGCAACTAGAACACTAATTCACACAAACTATCCGTTTCTTTTCGCTTTGCCCGCAGATCTCTGCCATGCTGCATTGAAGATTCAGTCCACTTTCCGTGGTCACTTGGCACGCAAACTGGTCAACAAGGATGCGCCAGAGGACGAGGACATCCAGGAGATAACCAAGAAGGTGGCCGAGGAGTTGGACATAGATTTAACCGATCCCGAGCTTAACAAGGCTGCCACCAAAATCCAGGCCTCGTTCCGCGGCCACAAGACCCGCAAGGACACCAACGCCGAGTAAGGAGTCCACAGCTGCACATGTGGAATTTTGTTGGTCCTGGCTGGTCGAGGCACAGATGAAACTTCAACTAATGCATATGCAAGTGAATAAAAAATTTGGTAAATTGTAAATGTGTAAGAGGCCAACCAAGATGAGGATGGGCACACAATTGTAAACTTTTTAGTGAATATGTTTTAGCCCGAACGGCAAAAAACCCCAAATGATTCTCATAATAATTATATAAACTAAGTCGAAAGCAAGGTTACGTATTATTTGCAAAGCTTTAATAAATTAACAAAGAAGAAATCACATTGTGCGAGAAATGATTCGGAATAAGAAAATATTTACGGAAACATATTTGCGGCTTGTCATATTTTGATTACTAACATTTAGAATCGTAAATTTGCGTTAGTTAATGTTTAATTAAATCTAATTTGGTTTTTGGAAAACTCAATTAATCCCAAGACAGTAACTAAAACCAAACTAAAGTAAACTAAAGTTAAATTTTCAAAGAAAAACCTAATGTTACAAGAAAAGTAAATAAATAAAAGGCACGATGTTCCATAAAGTTTATTGTAGGAAAATGCGAAACCAAACAAAACAAGACAAATGCAAGGAAAATGCTGAACAAATTTTTGGGAAATCATTTCCATTTTGTCTGGCCAATGCCAAAAGTAAAAAATTAATTGTACCTACATGCATACACATGACATGAAGTAAAAACCAAAGAAACTCAATGTTGTTTCAAATTAAGGCAAATTAGGGGTACCCAAGCAACATGATGCAGCTTCGAGACGTCAACTCAACAATTTTTCAGCCCCCGGGCTCTATATAAACTGATAAATCAATGAACATGAAGATAACTAATCTGGTGGCACAATTTTCGTTTTTCTACCAAGTGTATTACATATTTGTCTACTTAACAATTGATCCTCGAGAGGGAAACTGAAATACACATATATATATATATATACCTATACAAAGGCAAAGAAATGTATTAGAGCGAGTTGAATTGGAAAATATTTTTTTTCGGCCACGGCTGAGAAAATTGTTACCATGTGGGCAACCAAAGCCACTAAAGAAATATTTAAAATTCAAATCAATTAACTACAAAGAAGTAATAACAAGCTAATGAAAATAATTGAAATTATATTAGAGATCAAAGTCAAATTCAAATAAATTGCATAAATTATTACATTTAAAAAGCAGATGGGTAAAACCAGTTATATGTGGACAAATGACAAGAAAAAACAAAATATGAAAGCAAACCATATACAAGCCGATGAAACCAAAACAAAGAATGTCCCAACTAAATTTTAATTGAGTAATAAAAATAAATACAATAAAGATGCCAACTCTGATTATTTTAAATGGTTCAATGACAGGTAAGTAATGTCTGCTTTTATTCATTATTGGTAGGTAAAATTATTTCATTGACAGAAAATAAAATTTTGGTTTAATCTTGATCTAAATTTAATATTTTCAAAGCTCTCAGAGGAAAGCACTTAATCTTCATGGCATCCTCACATAATCATAATCATTTGCTGACCAGTTTGGCACTAGTCCTTAACCATTCTCAGCAACTCAACCACTGCACATGGCCAACATTTAACGATTTTTAGTTGCCACCTCAAGAGCTGGAGAACTCCTCCTCCAAAAACAGTGGCTTCCTGCGGCGATGGTGTGCTGCCACTGTAACTGTCAGTCGTCAAGGACATTTTAACGTTTTAAAGGATGGTGGTCCAAAAATACTCGAATCTCTGCTGAATTTTCCCACAACGTAATGGTTGGCATATATGTAAGTATTTTCTTGTGTATTTTACTGATGGGTGGGTCGGAGAAACCACTATATTCAGGTGGCTTGTGGCTCACAATTTTTGAGATTCTCTGGCCCACTGTGCCAACGACTGACATGAACTTCAGTGACAGTTTTAGCACGAGAAATTTTCATGACAATGACGTTGATGTGGCTGACTCTGACAATACTTGACCTAGATGGGCCTGTGTAAATTTTCTAGTGGAGGTAAGTCCCGGGCACTTGAGACGTCAGAGGGCCAGTAAAGGGACTTTCAGCGCATTATCCTTTGCGCCAGTGTTTACGGCTTGCAGGCTTAGTCAAAGGCAGCAAATATCTGAGCGGAAAATGCTCTGTGAAATTTCCCCCCTCCCTCCAAATCCGCAGAGAGTGCATCATCAAAATTTGGCAAGTGTAGGTGTGACTTTCAAATTGAACTTGCCACCAAAAGGACAGCGGATAGCGCGAGAAATTTGCATTCCACAACATGGTGCAGGCATGTCAATTGGGAATTCCCAGTCCTCAGGCGCACCACGTGGCTGTTTTAAAGTGCTCCCGAGCATTCAGTTAACTGCTTTTTCTGTTTGTTTTTTTTTTGCTCGGAGTCGCTTTACGGTTCGCAAATATTTCACCCCGTTGAATTTATGCGTGCTGAAAGAAGGAAACCATGTTGGCGATGCAACATGGCGTATGCGCAATTTATGAGGCTTTCAAAACAAAGCGATGTGCAAGTGCACAGCAACACCGAACAGAGGAGCAGGAGCTAAAATGGAGCAATCGCCTGTGCATTGAGTGCCCTGAAAGGGAAACAAATGTCAGTTTAATAGTAGTTGCCAACGCGCCTTTGACGAGAGCTAAATTTATCGCTGCAACCACTTTATCTGTGTTGGATAAAAGAAAAGCATGGTGGCGGATTTAGTTTTTCCTGCCGTTTTTGCTCATGAAAAATCCGTCGAACGTTCCGTTCAGTCAGTGTTCCCGAACATTTATCGCACATTTGCAGTGGCACACACATCGGCATTCAATTTCGAAAAACCTCGTTCGTGCGGTGGCAGCCGCCAGCAGCCAATGCCACCAAAATCCGTGCCAAATAAGCAACAGCCTCACATCGGCGTCACCGGATGCCACTCCCCGCACTGTCATGGCCTCCCACACCTGCATCTGCTTTAGCTGCAAAAACTGGCGCCTTTTAAGCTGCTTTCAAACCGTAAAATATGCCACGGAGACGCAGAGTCCTCGACAAACCCAACTGATTCCAAATTGGGTAATGGTACGGTCATTGTCAAACTAAATATGTAGTTACTAACACTTCTGTTCAGTGTTATAAGTTCCTGAATTTCATTTATTTTTAATTGTTTAGCAAGTGCTTAGCTTACAATTACAGCTATTTTAGCGGCAGAAAAAAAAATAAACACATGTTGCTCACCTCAACTGTAAGCTACATTTTTTTAAATTTTTCGCAGTTTGGACAACTTTTATACATATGAAACAACCATTTGAATAACAAATTCTGTTTCTCATTAAATCTCATGCATTTTAAAGGAAAACTTTCGAGTACATGAGGACAGAGAATTATATTTTTGTTTAACGAATATTATGTATGCGTCCAGTTGACCCACGAAATTTTGTGTTGGTTTTATTGTAAAAGTTGAAAAGCAGAAGTTCGTTTTCAAGTTGGAAATTAAAGTATATAACTTTTTAATATAGATATTAGCAGATTATATAGTAATTAGTACCGCAAATGTTTTATTAACTAGACTTAACATAAGTATCCGTACAAAGTACTCATAAAAATCAATTGCATTGTCTTCATGATTGCAATTTGTTCGCCAACTGCCTTTTTGCATAACTGCTGCCTGTAAACAAGTTGTTTTCAATCGCTTTTTCCCAATGCTGATTGATTGCTTTGATTGCTGAGGTTCATTATGACAAACGTCTTATAAATCAATCGAGCAATTTATTGCTTTTTATTTTTTTCATTTTTTGTCGCTTTTTAAAAATATTTTACTCTTTTGATTCTTCACATATTGATTTTATTAATATAGTGTTCGATATTTGAAAACCTCGAAGGATTATACTTTTTTTTCCTTGAAATGTAATTGAATATTACCTTCCGGCTCCAACAAATATGTCTTCGAATCACTTGCATCCTCTTTTTCTTTTACGCACATATTTCTCAAAGATATAAAACCTCTGGGACACTTCTTCATGTTTTCAGGGGACCTTATTTTTTTTCTTCTGGGAAATATCCAGTCATAATTTGACGTAATTTGATACACCTCTGCTTTGATGACAACCAGTATGAGCCAGCTGAGGGATTTTAGTTACGAATATTATGCATATTATATTCTGTTGTAGGTAAATAATACATACGTCGACATTCTTCTGGAGGATTTGTAGACTGTTCTGGGAAGCAACGTCTACTTTTTTTGTTTAAAACAAATCCTTCCGGACACCCGCAGCTAAGATCGAGGAAGCTCAGGGCTAAAAGCAAATATGAATACCTTCTATCCATGAGAAATCCAAAAATGAAGTGAAGTATTGTATCGATATTTTGACTAAGATGCTTTAGCCAAGAAAATTTGTATTGGCAACGGTGATTTTTCACAGCACAGAAAAAAAAATCATTCAGACAAACTACAAACTTGTTACAAAAAAAAAGATCAAAGATAAATTTATTGAAAATTTACGCTAAATGTATGTCTACGGGATTTTTTTTTAATTATCTAAGCAAACATTTTTTTTAATATTTTTTAAGCATTACGGAAGTGTAAACACCTCATAAGCCCCAAAAAATATTCATAAATGGACTAAAATTGTTTATTTTATTATATTTCAAATTAAATAACTAAAAAAAATTAAATTAGTTTTTAAAAGTTATTAAAAATCCATTTATATTGCTTGACATTAACCCACTAATTGCAAAACCTTAAAATCTAAATCCAATCTAACCAACGCAAATCAAGACTAATATAAATTTTTTTTCCAGCTGCTCCCACAGCAAATTGAGTGTCATTTTATTTAATTATCGGGTGGAGTGAGTACGCATATGTAAATGTGTATTGGGTGTTTGGGATTGGGGGTCTTCGTTTTGCATGGCCAGCTATTCACCTGACTGTAATTACTTTTACTCAACGCAGAACGAAACGGGGCGGTAAATTTAATTTACCGCTCTATTATCCAATTTGCACACGACAGACGGAAACTCACAGATAATAATAATAAAACTATAGCGAGGCAAAAAAATCGATAAACATTCAAGAATTTTTCATGCACACGTACTGCCGTTTGCGGATATTTTGACAGGCAATCTTGATTATATTTTGTTGCACAGCTCGCTCGTAAATATTTATTTTTGTGCTGGCAGAATGCATAAATGTAGTGAAAAGTTGTGCTCTTTCAATGGCTATTGACTGGTCAGCAAACAATTCACATACAATAGAGGTGTTTGTTTTTCACTCACTGAGAAAACTTCTAAAAATGAAGTGCCTTCAATGATTAATGAAAATTCTCAAGGGAGGACCAACCCTTTTCTACCTTGCTACCAATTTTGAAGACACATCTTAAACTTTATAAGAGTTTTGATTACGGCACAAATTGCTGCCCATTTGCTACATATTGAAAAAAGTCGATAAAGGGTTGTTTGAAAAATTCCCTAAAAAGGTTTTGCAACACCATGGTCCTAAAGTATCACTTTGTTTTGCCAGGAAAAAGTCAACTCAACCAACCAACAGAATGGCATTTAATTTTTCACATTTTTTGTCTCCTCTTTATTTGTCTGGAAATCCTTTTATTTCTGCAAATGTTATAAATTATGTTTATGCTTTTGTGGGTTTATTCCTGGCTTAACCCAGAAATTAGTTGTCATTACTTTTAATAGTCTCGCCTCACCTTTTTTTTATAGTTATTAATGCAGCAGACCCTAATGGTCTTTTTGGGTTCATTAAGTCCGACAGGAGTGAGGTCCATTGTCTGGCTATGAGCCGAAGTAATATTTTATACACTTTTTTGTCATTGGGTTCCACTGCCTACCCAATGGACATTTGCCGTAGCCACCGACGGCTTCGAAAATCATAATCAATACTACAATGAAGGGAGAAAGTTTCATTTCTAGTGAACTATTTCCCAGTTTTGTACCCCACTTGCCTCAACTTTATTGATTAGCCAAGGTTTGGGCCGTTCAGCTCCGAGGCGATAGTCACACAACTGCCAGGTTGCTTCGCTCCAGAGGGAGTAGTCCGAAATGAAAATGACAAATTACTGCGCCACCACCACACCTGGCAGTGTGGCAATCGAAGAAGTACAAAATGAAAATTTAGCCACGAACACGTTATTGGCCGCAGGCTCAGACCATTGATTGCGTTCTGTGATAAAATAGGGTTCTCGGCGATGTTTGGAAATGGATTGGGTACTTAACTTTAGATTACTCATGACCTTATATTCTTTAAACAATATAATGTATTGTTATTTATAGCCTTTAGTAGCGCATATTGATTTCTTTTAATTGGACTTGCAACTTATATAACAATAGAATAAAATAGATATAATTTATGTGCTCAAATCTAAAGTTTTCAAAACAACTCCCTCAGGCCTTTAACATTCTGCTTATACTCTCACCTTAGTGCCGACACAGTTTACTATTTAAACAAAAAGTTATACAAACTTTACTCACCATGTCTTGAGGAATACTTTATTTTTAAAATTCTTCTGTAATATAAATAAAGCTGAGAGAATGGTTTTTAACACCCTTTTTAACAAAAGTTTTAATAAGAGTGATGGCCAAAATTGTAATAGCTGTGTGGACTGTAACAAAGTAGAATTTATAATTATTTATCTTTTTTTTGTCACCATGTAGATGCAAAGAGGCCTAATTTAACATATGTAAGCCTTTAAGACTTTTCCTGCCGCTTCAGATATTCCTTATCCTCACGGAATTCGTATATAAACACCTTTGCAGCGAGAAAACAACTTAAGCACCGCTTAATGGGTCTCAGTCAGGCTCGGCGAAAGTCAATTCAATTTGCATAATTTCCATATTAATAGCACTGGATGGCACCACAACAAAGACACAAAACTGAGCCGATGGAAGTGTCTCTCTCTCCATCCGTCTCGCTGGCAATCGGCATGTATCCTGGATATCCTTCCCTTTCGATGGACCATCGTGTAGCCACGGATGCGCAGAGACGGAAGGACACTGTCGCTGTTTATGACAGCTGTGATTGAGGCCATCATTGACAGCGTTAGCTGCTCGCTGGAAATGGCCAGTTGGCCCTACAATCACAATCGCTTGGGTTGTCCTGTTGCTAATGGAAAAATGGGTGCAATTGTGGCTTATGAGAAGTTAGTGGTTACACAGAGGAAAATATATACTTTAGAGGACAGTTAAAAATGTATGATTATATATTTTTTATGTCCGCGTTTGGTTTTTGTTTTTAATATTCTTTTGTAATCCAAGCTAAATTTATAGCTAAGTGCAAAAAGTTAAAAAAAAAAATTCTGAAATTCTTAAGCTATGACTTTATTATTTTGAAACTAAATATCAAATCATTATATTAATTAAATTCTATTAAATATAAACATTTAAGAATATAGGCACCCTTATTCAACTCTTAAACTTTTTTCAATAAATTAAATTAAATAAAAAACATTGAAATATATTAGTCGTTATACCATTTATTGTGTCATAATGACACAAATTTTAACGTTAACCAAATATGATTCAACAAAGACGGCACCAAACTATTTTTGAAAAACAAAAATACATTTCTGAAATGCCCTATATTGCTCTAGTTTTATTTATTCCTAATAAAAAATTACTAATTTTTAATGTATATGTTTTCTTCCAAGCAGATACTTCTAAGCGGAAAATCTCTATAAGGTCTCTCCATGCCCATAAAGAAGGCTTTTGAGCCCCGCGTAATAAGCTGACAAATTGGGATGCAGATCATAAATCCGCACAGATGGCTCGGCACCCGCATTGTGCTCGTTCGGGGCGTAATAAAGCAATCTGCGGGATATCGGGCCGACAAACTACTTCGCACTTTCTCTGCTTCTTCGCCAGGAAAGTCTTGCAGGTGCAGCCAGAGGTGCTGACACACACAGCACACAGGCCCACCTATGACAAACATGTCTTATCAACATTTATGGCACTTTTATGGGCCGCTGGCACACTCACGTGCCCGTTAAGCTTTGGCGTGAGTTCTGCGAGATTCATTGGAGCGCAAAATGGAGCAATAGTCCGGGCAAAGTTTCCAGGTGAAAATGCGATGCCGATGGGAAAGCACCTGCATAATAAATAGCTGCACTTTTCGACGGAGTGTGGGTCAATGGTTAATTGAACATACTATGTTTTTCCCTTTTTTTTAATTTTACCGGTCATTAAATTATTGAGCCGCTATATAGATTACCCTTGACCACCCACCTCAGTCACAGCATCATCAACAGCATCATGATTATCCACGATGATGGCGCACATCTGAGTTCTGTTGGGAGATAAAAAAAATGGCCATGTTCAACATACATCAAGGCTATGCAACAAAAAACGTTAATACATTTTCCCGATACAGGGTGCCTTTAAGGGAATACAGAATATAAGCAAGTAAATAATAGCTTTAACTTATAAAAAATTCAAATGGTTCACCTCTAATTACAAGTAAGTCGATGCTTGTATGCCCCCTGAATCCCTTTAAATATTGATTAACAGATTACCCTGTTTTACTGCCAATTTCAATTGGCCTGCTATCATTTCTCATGGCCGGAGCGCGTTGCAAAACCTTTAAATATTTGATTGGACAAAGATATTTTGTATTCAGTTTTAAGTTGTAAAGGTAAGCACCCCCCGGTGGATATTCACCTCAGCGCCAGACCTAATGAACTGGACATTGCTATGTAAAGGAATCGGAGTCTCAGTCCCTCTTTATTTCCTCTGTGGACTGGCCATCGCGCTCTACGTCCATTTATGGCTTTCATCTGGTAATCAATGTAATAATTGCCAAGTGCCTTGATTACTGTGCTGTTGCATTTCGGTTTCGTCGGAATTGTAGCTTTGATTATGTGGAGCCGAGCCGTCCACTAATGAGTCGTCCAGCTCGTCGATGGAGATGGTCCTAATTAGTTGGTTGGTTGCTAGGTGGGAACTCTTGGACGCCGGCAATCGACGAGGTTAAATGGACCTAAAGCTAAAGCTAAAGCTAAAGCGAAAGGTTAACGGATGGCAAACGCTGGTCATTAAGAGCCAGATTCAGTTGGCTGCGGATGGAGAAAAAAATCTGATCAAGCTAATGTTATATCGAGCAATCATTAAGATTTCCCTTTCCTTTCTAACTCAGTTTTCAGAAAATTAAGCATTATATATTATATAGCCCATAACATAAAAAGGAGATTCATACCTGACTTTTCATATTACAAAATTTTCAAAAATACTTGTGCTTGCATTAAAATTATAAAGCCAATACTCATAAAAATAAAAAATAGTATAGTGCTTTTTAAGTCAGTTTTCAATTGAAACAGTTTAGTACATATGGTTTAAAATAGTTTATAAATTTTTAAAGAGTCTAGAAGTTTTAGTATTACTAAATTGATTTTTTTTTAATTTATTTTCTTATGCCCCAACTAAGTCTCCCACGTGCTATTATCCCAGGCACATTTATCTTACGAGGAAGCGTATGTAAATCTAACCGAAGAGCTATTGCATAACTTGTCACAAAATCGTCGGCAATCTGAACAAATGCCGCCTGCTTATGCTAATGTCTTTCCCATGTCCCGAGGCGAGACGCAGACAGATAACCGCAGTCACAAACGCCAGTTGTTACCTTAGCCGAAAGTCGGGCGTCGCGAATCTGACGCAATGCAAGTAAAAAGGTCAAATGTCAAGCGGGAAATATGCTAAATATGCATAGGGCCATCAGAAGATGAGAAGAAAGGGGTAGAGAAATCGGGGACTTTGTTAGCGCAACAACAAAACGTTTAAGCCTTAAGCCAACAAATGTGCTCCTTCTTGTCAATAAGATCAGCCAGATTTACCAACATAGTATAGTATAGTACACATTTAGTAGAGTGTGGAAAACTCCGAAGACAACCGAAGGTGCAAACAAGGAAACTAATTGAATTTATGCTAATTAGCCCACCGTGCATGGGGCATGCAGCGTTAATTATGCCAGCCTCGACATACGGGGCGTATGCGTAATGTAAATGAAATTCTAATCAATTGCTTGGCAAATTTGCATAATGGCCATGAAGTCGGCCCAGGCAGAGCAAGTGGAGCAGGCCAACACACATTATCAATCACTAATCGATATGAAATCGATAAGGTTAAATGTAAACACGCAAAACAAAGAGGAAAGCAGTGCCCCATTTTCCATTGCATTTTCTGCCTAATTAGGCAAAGCGTTGTCTCTCCTCCGTGTTTAGTTACGAATTCATCGGGTTTCCAGCCGATTGATTCGCCATCATATATTGCGCTTTTGACTGCAGTTTTTGGTACGCAACCACCTTCTTGCTTGTTTTCTACCCCCCGACCTCACTTTTTGTCGCCCCGTGGGAACCCTTCAATCATTTTTATTTCATGATTTATTCATCTAGACACTCGGAATGCTTTTCACTCGGCTGGAACTGCGGCAGCCGCAACATTTTAATGGCATTTGTAGCCAGCAAAGTGCGCACATGGTTATATCCTTATTCGCCGGCTTGGGACCGGGAACAGTTGCCCATTTTTATTTTCCGTCCCGTAGCATCGCGTTTTTCGGGACTTTTAAAAAGTGGCCCATCTTTAATTGCAATTGCAATTTAATGTTGTCATTTTTTTCTGCTCTCTAAAGGCCCAGCAGCAATGGGCAATGGATTTGAGTGTAGGAGCAATTTCTTTTAAAGAGGCCTCAGGTGTTTGCAAGGAAAATATACTGAAACGAAGGATTTCTTCCCGAGCTAGGTCAAATTTCGTAGGGAGCATTTGCAAAGCAAGATTGGCCAAACCCTGGAGAGATAAATATTATTTTAGAAGAATAAATATTTAGATTTATTATTTGTTGTAGGTACACAAATTTTCTACCCGACCCAAACTAGCCCATTAGAACTTCCCACTCTAAGCAAACCCGCACCAAGTTATCCAACAATTCGTTTCAGTTTCACTCAAGAAGCCACCGATTACTATTTTTAGACAATGGAACATTGGGATTGAAATTACAGTAGTAATTTTAACTGCTGCAATGTTAAAACGTGACTCACTCAACGTTGAGTGAACACCAAAAGGCAACTGGTAACCTAAAGACCTAAATCAAACAGCTGAAAAGCTTTTCGGAAGCTTTAAACCAGGATGTTGAAGCTCCGAATAAATACCTATTATTTTTAGGATGGGAAAATATCTTAGTACTTTTCTAAAGATAAACAGTTCGTTGTTTTATTTTACACATATGTAACTTTGATTTTTGTGCATCGATATACAGATAAGATACCTTATTCTGCATTACTTACATACATACACACTGGTATATACACGGATTTACATAACTTAAAGCTTGCAATAATTATGCTAACTGATTCTAAATCAAATCTGCTTATCCTAACGGGGGAGCCGAGGGCCCCTAAGCGTTCAAGCTCAAATCAGTGCAGATCGGAATCGTCTACGCGAACTGGCTTGCGTGACAGATAAAGAACAATGATGGTGGTCAAGGCGCTGACCAGGAATATGACGTCGAACCATCGATGGTAGAAGTTAAAGTGCAGATTTCCCAGCACCTCGGTGATGATCACCCGATACTCGGCTGGCATGTTCATGCGCATGAGCAGCACCGAGGAGCAAAAGTACATGCCCATGATCTGACCCAAGATCAGCACAATGATGTTGCTCGACTTGCTCGATGAAATGCGGTAGAAAAACTGGAAAAAGTTTAACTTGGCTTGGGAACATTGATAATTTAAGGTATTAAGCAACGCACCTTAGTGAGAGTTAGCAACAATCCTCTTATGGAGGTGACCACAATGCAGCCAACAAGCAAAAATGAAATATGCTGATTCCAAAAGGCAAAGTCTATGTCAAAACCGCACCAATGTATGGCAATCTCTAGGCCACGTGTCACTGGATCTTTGCGGCCCACTCTATCGAAGATGATGTTGATGCAACACTGTAAACAATAGATATTATTAATAATTATTAGGTTAAAAATATGTTTGTAGCCTACCATAAATATCTTGTAGACACAGTAAACACTAAAAAAGTGGCCCAGTACATTAAAGTATTTTCCCTTCAATGTTTGCGACCATCTTTGGCGTTCTTCCATGTTTTTTAAAGAACTTAGTTCCAAGAAAACAGAGCGTAGTAACTCCTCCAAGCCATAAACTTCTTGTTTCAACTGATTGATGTCTGAAAGTATTCAAACATTGAATTAAATTATAGACTCAAGCATGGCAGCTTTAAGAACCTTCGCCATTGCTCGTGTTGCGTTGAACTGCCGAGGTCAGCATATCCCAAATTCTGGGTTTGGCTGGGTGCAGTTTGTTGTGATTATAGACAGCCAGGGAAATCCTCCGCTTCTTGGCCGTCAGCATGTCTACCGTCAGAGCCAAACGCCGCTCGAAGCAGATGATGTCATTCCGCGACACTGGCCTGCCAAAAATGGGAAATAAGTGCATGTCACACAGAGATAAGGGGAAAAATATAGCATTTCAATTACTTGATGAAATAGGCCATGCTGGTGTAGGGATAGTTGACGGCACCGAAGCCAGAGAGGATGGCCATTACGGTGACCCCAATTACACTAATCCGGGAAACGCCCTGTTCGATTGTAAAGATGCCATGGGAGGCGCTTAGCAAGGGAAATGGCTCCCCAATCCGCCAGAGTCCGTAGAGAAAGACGAACCAACAGAATGTGGTCAGAATTCTGACCCATCTATCGGAAACTATAAAAAGTAGAACTAGTTATTTGGCAATTTGATCACATAGGGGCTCACTTACAGATCGAAATGCTGTGTATCACAGAGTAGCAAATGTAAATGGGTATCACAGCCGTCGTCATAAACAGTAGCAACGTGAGACCCAGTCGCCAATGAAAGTACCGCGAACTGGACTCCAGAACGCCGATGATTTCGAATATGATCAACTCGAACATGGTAATGGATAGCGCGAATGTGGATGAAAAGATCAACTGAACGGATATGTGTCGGATCTCATAGTGCTTGAAGAGTTCCTTGTTGAAAAACAACCAGCCGCCGGCGAAGAACACCATCTGCAATTGGGTAAAATGGGCGTTACTCTATTTCACACAATTTGAGACTTCCACTTGCCTGCGACACAAATACGATCACACAGTCGCCCAGGAAGGCCATTTTTGGGGCTCGTCTCCGTTCAGCTCGGATATGTAAATTACTTTTCGAATTGCCTGGTCACTGGCATTGCTTAGTTAAACTAATTAACGTTTAAAATAACTGCTCTAAGAACTGAAAATGCCAACAAGCAAATATAAACAAAAAAGCCGAATGCCCAACAATCGATTTTTCGATAGCATTTGAGTAAGGGCTGCTTACATACTGAAAAAATATACTATTTGGTATTTATTTTTTTTACTGTGCTGCTATTTTAGCTTTTTTAAGGCCAGATCTGGCTCTTTGTTTGTAGAGGTCAGAATATATAATTTTCTCAAAATGTTGGGTCATTATACAATTTATAAATTCATTAAAATAATTTTTATGATGGTTTCAATTGCAAATGTAATTTTATTAATGTGTGAAACTTGTATTTGACTTAAAAATTGGTTATTCCTTTTAGGTAGATTTTTTGTTTATTTTAGCTATAGCCATTTCTTCTAGCTGACTTATTTTGGCTGCGCAATTCTGTCAGCACTAGTGGAGGAACGGGCTGATTGGCAATGTTTATCAAATGATTACCTGCTGGATGCGCAACCGGATGCTTGAAAAGATCTCAGGGAAGCGGAAAGGACAGCGATGGCTTGCTATTATCGCCAGCACGAGGACACGACGGTGACGGTTCCGAGGTTCACCAACGAGAACTCCAGCGGCGGGGTGACCTACTACGACATCAAGTTGCGGGTGGGAAAGGTAGAATGGCTTTTGGAGCGGCGCTATCGGGATTTTGCCCAGCTCCACGATAAGTTGGTGGGCGAGATATCCATTAGCAAAAAGCTCCTGCCGCCGAAGAAGGTACGCCCCCATGGAAAGTGATATGGCAATGTGATTAACACCCCACTTTCAGCTTGTTGGAAATAGACAGCCCGCTTTTCTGGAGCAACGGAGGGAACAGCTGGAAACATATCTCAAGGAGCTGCTCATCTACTTCCGCACGGAACTTCCCCGGGCTCTGGCCGAGTTCCTGGACTTCAACAAGTACGACATCATCTATCTGCTGCAGGATCTGGCCAAGCTCTTCAACGAAAGTGGAGATGCCTTGCTCAGCTCCAAGAAGGAGTACAACCTTTCAGCCCTGGAGGTGAGTTTTTAACCTTTGAATTTATTGTTAACTCGTTTCCATCTTCCACACTGAAATATGTCAAAATTATTAGTATTTAGTTTTATACAAACTAGCCCATTGCAGCTTAGAAATTTCTTTAACAACCTTGTCAAAGCTAGAGGCATAAACTATTCCCTGGGTACGCTCCACAAACATCACACTAGTTTCTCTGCAGAGCTGGAAAAGACCATCAATTCGGAGATCAGTTTTAACAATATCAAGTACCTTTACAAGTATGTCCAGCAGCATAGTAAATGGTATCAGGAGAATGACTGTGTCAATCGACATTACTTCAACTATTTGTTGCTGGATCCCAGAGTTACCAACAAACTGAGGGAACGGGCAGGAAATCTTCATAAGATGGATGTCTGGTACACTTTCCTTCGAGCCATTTTCTACGTAGGAAAGGGCAAGGCCACCCGCCCCTATGTTCATCTTAAAAAAGCCCAGAAGTCACTGGATGAAGTCAACAGCATTGCATTAGTCAAGGATCCCAAATTAGCCCTAATAGTGTCCATTTGGAGAGCGAAACATGGGGTCCTACTAATGCAGGCTTTTCATAGCATCTCGTCAGAAGATGCGCAAACTCGTGAGGCTTCCATTATCGATGCTCTCAGTATGAATCACTTGACCAACCGGCGGTTAGGTGTTTACTGCGGTCCAGCTCGAAGTAGCTTATCAAGTAGGGAGCGAAAGTATCTGGGAATAGCCTTGCTCCATAAACTGCTGGGGAAATTCCTAGCAACCGAAGAATGTGAACTGTATCCTTTGAAAAGCACCAAAAATTTTAAAGACAAGGCTGCAATCGGAGCTTAAAATATATCCCTATGTAGTATTTACCATCCTGTTTTTCTTTTTAGTTCCCTTTTGCAGGTCTTCGCTATTAGTGAGCGGCTAAGTCTTCCCTGTCCGCCGAGCCTGGATCGTGGTGGCAAATTTGACTTCTCCCATGTGCTGGACTTTTGCACACAACTAGTGGCCTTGGTGGTGACCCCGGTGAAGGACAACGCCAGCTATGCCCAGGACTACAACACGGTGGATGTGCCCATCGGTCGAAGCAATATCATTCCGAATAGACTAAACTTCAATCTGAATGCCTTTCGCAATCTCAAGACGCTCAAGTTCTCGGCCTTGTCCACGGAGAACATAGTGGACATTGAGCTTCTCAAGCCAACGCTCCAGACAATCTGTGTCCATAACACAACCATACAGAACATAAACCAAGTGCTGCTCTGCGACAATCTGCACAAGGACTGTGATGTGCCAAGTCTGCTGCCGGAGGCAATCATTGCATCCTCCTCCGGCTGCAGTCCCTCCACTTCGAATGGTAGTGCCTTGCTTAGTGCTGACGCCTGGCAGGAGATCACCGAACTGGATCTGACTGGCAATCTGCTAACCCAAATCGATGGCAGTGTACGAACAGCTCCAAAACTTAGACACCTAATCCTCGAGCAAAATCGAATACGGAACGTCCAAAATCTTGCCGAGCTTCCTCATCTGCAGCTGCTCTCGTTGTCCGGAAATCTTATAGCAGAGTGCGTGGACTGGCACCTGACAATGGGAAATCTTGTCACTCTGAAGCTGGCGCAGAATAAGATCAAGACGTTGAGTGGTCTGCGAAAGTTGCTTTCACTGGTGAACCTTGATCTGAGCTCCAATCAGATCGAAGAGCTCGATGAAGTAGATCATGTTGCCAATCTTCCACTGCTAGAGACTCTTCGGCTAACTGGCAATCCCCTGGCGGGCAGCGTGGGTGAGTGTTATATTCTACTCTATAAATATATATTTAGAAATTAATTTTCATACCACTTTAGACTATCGAGCTCGAGTCTTGGCCCGTTTCCACGAACGGGCTGCTGAATTATCTCTGGACAATGAACCTGGAAACCAGCAAGAGTTGGATACCGCTCTGGTTTTGTCTGCCCTGCTACAATCCAAGCAAAGGCAGCAACAGAAATGATAATTTTTGATTCCATGACTTCACAAATCTCTCCAAGGAAGTTCATACCATTTTGATTTAAAAGTATTAATGGTTGAATTTTCCTTGCGATTTACCCTTAAACAAATATTTTTATGTAAAGGTTGTGGACGTTTAACCATTTAAAGATTTCCTACTATGATATTTCCATGTTTAGCCGTAATATTCTTAATTTATTTTACGTGTTCTGTATACTCCCACACGTTTTCAGCGAAATTTTAAATATGTTTTTTCGTTTTTGTCCACCCGAAGTGCAATAAATCAATGCTCACCTCCAAATGAATAGTTAAGTAAATTAAATAAATTATATAATCTGACAAAAACTGTTTCGCATTTAATTTTTATTCAAAAAGTTTAGTAATATAATGACTAAGTGTAACACGAATGTAACGCCAATTCTTAGTTCGTGTTATCAAAACGATTTAAAACCCATTTACTGATACGTAAAGATTTGGAGTAAAATTTGATTGGTAACGTCTATATCTATATATTACTAATTTCGATGTCAAAATGACGCTTGCACAATGTAACATTCCCTCTTTATTGATCATTGATAAGGCCAATCAACTTTGATTATATTTAATTATTTCAATTAAAGCCTACCTATAAGTCTGATGCAAGGACTTTGAGAAATCATAACCTAATCAACCACAATGCGTGAAGTGCTTGTATTCCTGCTGCTCATTTCCACTCGTGTCCAGTTGCAACTAATTCGAGGAGGTCACAACATAACTTTCGTGAAATCGGTGTTGACAATCATTGGCAGAAGGGAACATTGGAAAAACACCCCCATCTTTACGGGCCACAATACGAATGCGGATGAGCTGAACAGTCTGATCATCTGGCTTCAACATGCGATGGAAGTCACTTGCCACACGGTGGATACGTCTAGAGCAGCTCATGTGGAGCATCCTCTGGGTCACTACAACATAAATGCGGATAATTCGGTCAGTTTGCTCTTTTGCTTCAGCACCCAAGAACTGATTTGGTACAATCTGGATAAGGGACTTCGAAGGTTGCGTCGCATGCGGCTGATTGTCGTATTGCCCGCCAAGCGAAGTGCTTCTTACAAGGCAATGATGAGCTTGTTCAGAAGGCTGTGGCACTTTCAGTTCCTCAACGTTATTGTTCTTCACAAGAATCGGATTTACTCATACACTCCGTATCCAGTTATACGTTTCTATAAGCTGGACCTAAGCTCTGATCCACTTTTCCCGCCAAGAACACTAGATTTTCAGGGGTATGTGGTGTCCACACCGGTGGAGAATGATCTGCCGCGAGTGTTTTTCGTGCGGGATCAGAAAACTGGAGACATGCTGGCGAGAGGATTTGGATATCGCACATTTGTGGAGTATCTGGTGCGGCACAATGCCTCGCTGCACGTGAGCAATCCCCACCAGGATCATGCCACCAACAGTAGTGTGAATATGGGACGAATGATGCAGCAGATATGGGATGGCAAACTGGAGATCTCCTTGCATCCATATGTGGATGTGCCGGAGAAAATGGGAGACCATAGCTATCCGTTGCTGGTGGCTACCAATTGCCTGATAGTTCCCGTCAGGAATGAGATATCCCGTCACATGTATCTTTTGCTGCCTCTCGACCAGTGGAGCTGGGTAATCCTGCTCGCTTCTGTTATCTATATAAGCGGCGTACTCTACTGGATTCAGCCTGGACTGGAGCACCGCAGCTGGGATCAACGGATTGGCTTTAACCTTCTGGAAAGCATCAGTTGGATAATATATATATGCCCCTCCAGGGTTTACAGACCATCGCTGAGGTACTTCATGGTTTCGGTTCAGCTAACTATTCTGGGCTTTGTGGTCACCAGCTTGTACAGCATTCAGTTGGCCAGCTTCTTCACCACCCTGGTGGTTGGTGAGGAGGTGGACAGCATGGAACAGCTCATTCAGCAACAGCAGAAAGTACTGGTGAAGCATTACGAGATCAGCACTCTGTTGCGCCACGTGGAACCACATTTGGTCAACGAAACAGCCCGACTTTTAGTGGGCGTAAATGCTAGCGAGCAGGTTTCCGCTCTGCTGGCATTCAATCGCAGCTACGCCTATCCTTTCACCCTGGAGCGATGGGAGTTTTTCTCGCTGCAGCAACAGTACGCCTTCAAGCCCATCTTTAGGTTCTCATCCGCATGCCTGGGATCCCCGATCATAGGCTATCCGATGCGACGGGACTGCCATCTGCAGTGGTCACTTAACATATTCATCATGAGGATTCAGGCGGCGGGATTGCTGCAACATTGGTTCGTCTCCGACTTCAACGATGCACTGCGTGCTGGCTACGTTAGACTCCTGGACAACGAACTTGGGTTTCATTCCCTGGACATCGATTATTTACGACTGGGATGGGCTGTCCTGGGAAGTGGATGGCTGTTGTCCGCTATGATTTTCCTTTCCGAGCTCTGGCGTTTTTACCATCGCCACTAATTTATAATAACCTAATTATATTCCTAATATTATTTCAGCTCTAATTGGTATGTCAATTATATCATTATATTACCATTTACTTTAAATGGTCTTGGAGTATTAAAATGTTTCTTATTAAGTCATTAAAATATATCATCTTAATTAACACATATAAAAATTGATTTCTTGGAATTTCGAACTACCTAAAATCCAATTAAAAGCCACATTTAAGGACAAGTAGATTTATTAAAATTACAATGTTTTTGCGTCATTTACAAATGATTAGTTTCCAATATCCAAATGATTTTGTATGTATTAGAGATATTTAGAGATATAAAGATACAGATCCCATTGGAGAGGAATGGTTACACCGGTATAAATGAATATTGTTAGGCGTAAATGCGTAAATCCGGTGTGACCAACCTTTGTGCAAATGAGATTTCATTCAAGATGTTGATTAATGTCAAAAGTGCTTAAATAGATATCCTATACAATTTTAACTGCCTTCATATTGTATTGTTCGTGCTTAGATATTGCCGTGTTGATTTCAGTTGCTATAATGAATCCGGGATATGGCCGATGTGTGATCAGAATGTCAGGGATGAACTCCAGCTAGTAGTTCTGCCAGTGGAGAGTGTAGTCGCGTGATTTCAGCTTTCCGTGTGGCTTGTATCATTGTGGGTGGTGATGGTGTTGGGCGTGATAGTGCTGCTGCTCGGCGGCGGCGACTGCGTCGAACATGGGGGTGTGCACCTCGCCCAGAAACTGTGGCGTGGGAGGGGCATTCGGCTCGGACAGCTCGCCAATCAGCGGCATGTCAATGTCCGTGGCCAAAGAACTCTGGCCGTAGTTGCTCAATCCGTAGGGCTGCTGCTGCTGGTGGTGCTGTTGCACCACCGAAACTTGTGCGTAGTCCTGAGTGGCCTGCACCTGCTGCTGCTGCTGGGGATCCAGCATGACTGGGGCCGCCTCCATTTCGCCGAATTGTATTGCCCCTGGCTGCTGCACAGGCATGCTCTGGTGAACCGGAAGATTCTGCACGGGTTCATGCTCCACCGGGGCCGACAAGTACTCCTGTTGCAGCTCCGCTTGGGGCTCAACCTGTGGCTCCGGCTCATGCATCTGCTGCTGGTGCTCCACTTCCTGGTGATGATGATGATGCTGCAACTGCTGATCCTCCGACGGAGGCAATATATCGGAGTTGTGGTCGCCGACATCTTCGGCTGCCTCGCTGATATCCGCACCCTCGCCCGAGGTCTCCCCGTCGCGTCGCACCAAACCCAACATGTCCAGCATATTGCGTTTGACGGCATTCTCGTTGGCCGCCTCCAAACTGGGATAGCAGGTGCTAAGTCCACAGATGGCCAAGTGCTGGGCCATCTTGTTGCCATTGCCGGTGGCAAAGCCGCAGATGCAGTGCATCTCCTGCGGCATATTCACCTCCATGGCGTCCACAAAGTTGCCGTTGCAATCAACGCCATGACGGAACTGAGCTCGTTCGCAGCAGGTCTGGTAATTGCACTTAACGCAGTGCAGCCAGCCGCTAAAAACACAAAGAAAGAGTACATTTTTGATTAGAGGTTAGTTGCGTAATGTGCTCACACCCCCAAAAAACCTATCCTACTACTTATTACCTCACTTAAATCGGACCAATCAGGCTCTATTAAGTTGCATTAAATCAATTATATTCTAGCTTATAAACCTTTTTCCCGCTTTCTCACCTGCCACAGTTGAATTAACAACCATGTGCAAAGTGCCAACCATTCTTTTCCTGATTTCAATCGCAGAGGTTACAAGTGGTGGTTACAATGTGACTATATTAAAATCATTCCTAGTTCGGGAACAGTGGACAAATACTGCAATCTTTGTGGGGCACAATATTAAAAACGAGGATGTGAGTGGTCTAATCATTTGGCTGCATCAAACAATGTGTGTAACTAGCCTAATGACAGATTCAACTATCCAACCTGAGAAGCTAAGACCTCTGGCCATTTCAATTTCACCGAGAACAATGCCATCAGTTTGTTCTTTTGCCATGGAAAACAGGACGTGGTATGGTTGACTCTGGAAAGTAGTTTGCGTAAACTACAACGCAGTCGTTTGTCTCATCTTGCTGCACTCCTACAAGGTTATTTACTCCGTTTTCAAAACACTGTTTCATTATCAATTCCTCAAAGTTATTGTCCTGCACAGAGATCAAACGTACTCCTACACTCCATATCCGTCGGTGCGATTCTTTAAGGTAAATATTAATTCTATTACGCTCCTTCCACCTGCAACAACGAATTTCCAAGGATATGTGGTGTCCACCCCAGCGGAAAATGACATTCCAAGGGTGTTTCATTTGCAAGATTCTGTCACAAAGCGCAGGAAAATGCGGGGATATGCCTATTGTGCATTTGTGGAGTATTTGCATCATCATAACGCCTGACTAACCCTGATGAGGATCTTGGTCCTGCCACCAGTGTGAATATGAGCCGCATTTTGCAGTTGATAATAGACGGAAAATGGGAAACCTCCTTGCATCCTTACGTTAGCACCCTGGTCAACATCGTCAAGAGTCATCCGCTGTTCATATACGAGAACTGTTTGATTGTGCCAGTTCGCAATGAGATTCCCCGACAATTATATCTCTTACGACCATTCCATTTGTACACCTGGTGCATTTTGTTCTTCGATATGTGAGGTTTCTAGATAATGTTCTGGGTTTTCAAGCTATCGATTTGAACACTCTACGGTTGGGTTGGTGTGTTTTGGGATTTGGGTGGATATTGTCTGCTTTGGTTTTCACTTTCAAACATTTAGCTAATAAATTAGTGATTTAAAGATTCTGGCACTCACGTGTAATGTGTCTCCTCGCTGGCGTAATCGGTGTTGCACTCGGCACAAGTCTTGCCCTCCAGGAAGGCAAAGAACACTGGGCGCTTGTAGGTGGAGAACGGCGGCTGCTCCCGGTGATGGGTGCGAATCTTTGGCGGCGGAATCAATAGCGAGTTGTTGAGCAAGAGACGCACCGGTTTGTTGGTCTTGATCATGCTGACATGATGCTGCACGGCATGCTGCTTAAGATCGCCCTTCTCGAGGAAGGTAAGCGAGCACTTCTGACAGCGCAGCGAGGGATCCCGCTTGTTGATGTGCTCGTCCAAATGCAGGAAGTAGTGTTCGATGCGCAGCTGGTTAACAACGCCTCGTTTCGAGAAGTAGAATATCTGAAATAAATAAATGAATACCCATTATAATATCTTAAACAATCAACTTTAATCTAAGGTACTCACATCCAAGCAGTAGGGACACTGCAGGAAGTTCTGGTGCTTGTGGTCGTCGTAGAAATGCCTGACCAGATCGCGGTGTGAGGATGAACGATAGCCACAGGAGTGGCACCAATATGGCAGCTCCAGCGTGCTGTGCGCCTTCTGCAGATGGGCCGTCAGCAGGTGCAGGGAATTGTGACGCTGCTGACAGATTAGGCAGTAGTAGGAGGGCGAGCCCTCTGTCTTCGTCTCGGTTGGATGCATGATCTGGTTGTGCTTGGCCAGCACGGACTCCGTGGGGTGCTTCTCCAGGCAGAACAGGCACTGGAACTGATGCTGCTTGCCTTCGGGCGAGATGTGCGACACCAAGTGCGTCTGCAGCTTCTCGTTGGAATCGAAGGAGTCGCCATTCAGGCAGATGGGGCACTCCACCGTCTTGGCCAGGTGGCTGTGTGCAGTTCGGGGCGTGCTGTACGGGAACATCTCGTAGTACTCGTCCGTGCCGTCGCTAATGCCGTAGTAGAGCTCCTCGAGGCCCTTAAGATCGTCCACCTCCTTCTTGATAACCACCGGCATGTTCTCATCCTTTTCTTTAGTTTTTTTACCGGGTGTTTTAGGTGAAAGTGCCTTGGCTGCCAGCGATTTGGCCAGGCCTTTAGATGCCGATGCAGGTCCGAATGCCTTGGAAGTCGTCGCTTTGTCACCCTTTGGCTGGTTGGTACTGCCCGGAGGACGACCAGGACCCTTCTTAACTGGCATTAGCGGTGGTGGAGTGCTCACCGTACTTGGTGGACGGCCACGCTTGGCTCCAGTTGGTATCATATCCTTCTCGCGATCTTTTTCCTTCTTTAGAACCTTCGAGGAGGCAACGTAGTCGGCATCGTTGATTGCTAAAAACATACAACAAACCGATTTACAATAAAGTCTTACTAGGTCACAAAACTTAACCAATTAGCATACGAACTCTTCATAACTTAAATACTATAACATCCATTTCTCAGCGGAAATCTCGTGCCAATCAACTTAAATATTACATGTCACTTTGCGTTTTATCACTCCAAATGAAAAAGGAAATCAAATAAAAACATATTTCTTAAATTTCATGCAAGTTTATTGGTTGTTATCTTAAGAGTGAGCTTTAAAATAAGTTAACACGAAAGTTGCCAAAATGTAAAACTTAAATTTTATGTTAACCACTCGAGTATAACAAAACTACACTCCACTTCCAAAGATTGCATAAATTCCGAATTCACATAACACAATCAGAGGATAATAACTTGGACCTGAGCTCAGCATTTGGCTTAAGCGAAAGTGATCAAACAGAACGAAAACATTTCACTTTGGAGTGAGAAACGCAGGCACTTTCTTAACCGATTATCGATACGCATTATTTTAGTCACGGCCTAAATTAAAACTGGGTACAAAAGAACGAAACTACTAACGTTTCTTCAGGCGCTTGGGAGCCGCATTGGCCGGGGTCTCCTTGTAGTTGGCGGGCAGAACACTCCAGTCCTTGAACGGATTGGTGGCCACCTAAACGGAAGAGGCATTGAGTGGTTGCTGGTAGTCATTTCATTCTCTTTACTGCTTACCTGATACAATCGCTGGGTTATGGTCTCATTGGTGGTCACCCTCGTCTGCTCAGCAATGTGTATAATAATGTTGTTGAAAGCCTGCAGGGCATAGGTGCCAAAGGATTCCCGCCAGACCAGCTCGTCAAGGAACTGCTGGATCATCTGGCGCGAGAGCAACGACAGGGTGTTCTGGAACATGCGCGGCACAATCCGGCGCAGGTACTCCATTACCGCAGAGTTGTTGTGCTTGGCCGTGTTGTCGGTGGCAGCTGCCTGCACGATATTCTTGAATCCCATGCTGAACAGGGTGATCTTGTCCACGGTCAAGTCAATGCAAATGGTGCTGTCCTTGTGCACCCAGCGCGAAAGCGGCTCCAGAATGGCCTGGAAACGCTTCTTGTAGTTGCGATCGCCATCGGTGATTGGCTCCACCGCGCGCAACCGAATGGATTTCTCCGCGTAGTCATAGACGCCCAGAACCTCCACCTTAACCTGGCGCTGGGATCCGTCTTGTGAAGTGGTGCCCAGGGAAATGACGCCCACCTTTAATTAGGGAGTTAAGACTGTGATTGAAAACCCTTTTTTCACTGCCAACTAATAGTTACCTCCACAAATTTGCCGGGACCGCCCAACTTTTTGCACTTTTGATGCACAGCCAAGGTGCAAATGGCTCGTAGCCAGGTGTAAATTCCCTTGATGTAAACACTGTCCACCTTGACCCACTGCACCACGTTTTGTATGCTGGTCTGGCAGGCCCAATGGTAGATAAGTTTCAGCAGGAATGTGGGCGGGTGCTGGGCTCCTTCGAAAATGGAGTTGTTGAATACGGACACGAAGCGATAGGGGCAACATTCGCTGATCCAGACATAGCCACCAGTGTAGGGGAACTTGGTCACATCCGAGTATATGCCTAGGTTATGGAAATGTTCAATTAGACAAGGGTTTAATGATTGTAGGGGATCATAAACAACTCACCCAGTTTCAGCTCATTGTTGCGATGGTTGATGCAGTGCTGTTGGGCACGGAGCAGTCCCTCCTGGAGCAGCCACTCGCAGAACTTGTTGGGCGTCAGCATGAGCACCAGCTTGACCTTGGAGTCCAGCTTGCTGCGCGTGGCAGCCATGTCCTTGATCTTGAGGAAGGGCTTGGCCAGCACCACGAGCGAGGGGTATGTCTTGCCCTGCATCTTGTTGTCCTTGATCTCCTTGCCGTCCTTGTTGTCCTTGCTCTCGTCGGTGCTGCCCACCACCAGGCCACCCACCGAGTTGACTTCGGCGGGGCGGTAGTTCTTGGGTGGCGACTCGATGTCCGGCTTGGGTTCCTTCGGCGACTTCCCGCTGTTCTTCGGCAGGGGTGAAGATTTTCCAGAGGAGCCAACTGCAGCGGCTGCCTTCTTGCCCGGCTTTACAGCGGATGTGGAGGATGCATTGGCCACGGCCACGGCTTTTTTGCCCACCGACAGGGCCAATCGCTTGGCCAGCGGCACATCGTCGTCGCCCTCGTCCGAGGACTCCAGGTAGGCTATGTTCGAGGGCTGACGCGGCGGTCGGCCACGCCCCCGTCCGGTGCCAGTGTTTGGGGTGGCGGGCGACGGAGGGGGGTCCGCCGCCTTGGGCGGCTTCTTGGGCAGCGTGGCCTCCTTGAGCTCCTGCAGCACCTTGCCCTTGAAGGAGTAGGCCTGGAACACCTGGCCACTGAACAGTTCCTTGCCTTCGTTGGCGCTGACCGCGCTCTTAAGCGCCCCCTTCACCGCATTGTGCTCGTTGGTGATCTTCTCGTAGTACGCCAACTGTGCCGGCGACAGCTCCTCCACCCAGAACTCCATGTCCAGCGAGATTTCACTTCTCGTTACGCGCGTCATCTTGGGGCTTATTAGTTACCCGACCACTGCGCCAAGAAAGGCGTTATTTTTATATCAATTTGGAGCTACAAGAATTTTTTTCTCCGCTCGAATTAGCTTTTTTTGCGTGGATGTACCTGCCAGTGCGAACAAACATCGATTAATCTATCGATATCATCGGCTTGGGTCTGGCAGCAACAATCGGTTTAACGATAGTTTACACATAAATGGACATATTTTTTTAACCAATGATTTTTTTTAAATTATATGTGTGGTAATTCAATTATGTTTTATAATTATTTTAAATTTTATCCATCTTCTGCATGGTCATAGAAATAAAAAACATATATGTTTTTTTCTAAAATGATATGTGCTTATTTAGGTACAAATAATATAGGTTTGAATTTTTTATCTAGGGGTCATATCTTAGTTAAAAAAAAACAAGAGATGCTTACCTATGGACAAACTATATATTTTATGAAAGAAAACGTCATATTCTGTTACAACAAAATGATATAAAAAATTATTTTTAGTGATGAAGGTGTTTTTTGCTTAATTAAGTTTCAAATTCAGCGGTTGCACAAAACTGAAAATATAATTCCAAAGAAAAATAGCGCAAGGAAAATAACTGGTAAAATTCCGATCATGTTATTAACCGGCTTATCACAAAAAAAATTATTGAAAGTAAGAAGCCATATATGGCTCTGTAATTAATTTGAAAAAGTTAGCAATATACATTTATTTATTTTTTTAACAAATTTGTTAAATTTCTTAGATGGTTGTTCTTGAAGGTATTCCTTTAATTGTTTATTGTTTTAGTTAAGGAATACCCTCAATAGTAATATTACGAAAGTATCGATATTAAGAAAAGACATAACATACCTATCGATGTTTGTAGAAGCGATGACTGCCGTTTCAGAAGGCGCGAAATTTAATTTTAGGATTTATAGGAAGCACGTAATTTTCACACCAGGCCCTCGTGGTTTGTACATAAGTTTAAGGTTAATAAGTATTCAACATTGCCCGATATTCGCTGTTTGCGAAAAATCTTGTGAAATTTATGAAGGGAAGGTGAAAATTATATCGTTGCATTTTTGTTTACGTTAAAGAGTGTTAAAAATATTTTCTTTTTGTTTCTTTTAATTTTTATTAATTAACAAACTCTTAATTTAATTAGAAAGCTAAAAATAACTGTTGGCTATTTGCGTTGTTTTGTCACGGTGAAGTGACAAATTCAATTTTAATTTATGACCACTTGTAAATTGTCAGCTCATTAAGCCCCCGATTAAGTAGGCACCCGGTGAAACTTTTTTTTATCACAATGGTAAATAGCTTTATTATGCACTATTTATGTCATCAATAACTCGGTCGTAAAGAATTTCCTTGATATTCAGACCCCACAAGAAATCAATGTGGTTCCAACGCTCCTCCGGCAGGCGGTACGCACTTCTAAGGGCCTTTGGATTCATGGTGTACCGGAGGCGATCCACGTCGATCAGACTGGCGAAGTAGTCGTTGTCACTGTAGTACAGATAGGTGGGCACCTCGATGCCCTCCACGTCGTATTCCGGCGGAGTCTTGCTGCTGTACTCCTTCTTGTTGCGCGTCGAGCCGTAGTCGAACTGCCGGAAGTAGCCCGAGTTGTACTCCTGCAGGTAGTGGAAGATCTGGTTGACCGAACAGCCAGCCGGAGTGGTGGCCATGATTTCCGGCAGCATGGTTTCGTTGAGATACGGCGAGTTCCAGCCGCCCAGCAGGAACAGGATGTTGGAGCACATAAACTGGGAGATGGCCTCGTCGCTGCAGAGAAGGGCTCCGAACAGGTTCATCAGCTGCGTGTTGGGCAGGAACTCGGCGCTGCCGAAGAGCTCCACGAAGGCATTGGGCTGACCCAACAGGGGACCGCCCACCGTGGCCAAAGGACTCTCCATGTGCTCCATCCAGGCCACGGGAGCCAGCAGATGAGCCGACCTGATGCGACTCTTGAAGCGGGGGATCATCGAGTTGAGGACGAAAAAGGAGGTGGTGCCCTGGGAGTGACCCACATACGACAGTTGATCCACACCAGTGCGGTAGAGTACATAGTCCATCATTGCGGGCAGATCGTAGATCCCAATGTCGTGCCACTCAAAGTTCCAGAACGGCTGAAGGAGCGGGGATTTGGTGGCATGCTTCTTGGAGTAGGTGTTGCCCCTGGCATTGCCCATCCACACATCGTAGCCCGCCTCGGACAGCAAGTAAGCTAGTCCGCTGTGGGGTCCTGCGAGCACCCAGTCCGAGGAGGAACACAACAATCCGTGCATGAGGAAGACGACAGGTCGTCGGCCATCGTTACCAGTGTTCTTGGAGTAGGGAATACGATGCATGGTCAGGATGTAACCATCTGAGGTCTGCACCTCGTGCTCCTCGATCACATAGCCATGTCCTTTAACGAGGGTCACCTGGAAAATAGGGAGATCACTTGGTTAGTCAGGACTTTCGAGAGTGGGAGTCAAGGACCTCCTCAATACTTACAGTGGTCACCACACTTGCTCTTTCCGAATCCGCTGGCAAGGCTATAACCAATCCCAGACTTAACAAACCGGCTATTAATTTTAGCAACCACATTTTTTATATCACGGCTGCAGGTGCTTTGACCACTGACTTGGTCGCCCTTGCCTTTTATATGCCCCCCCAGCCACTTGATAATAATTCCTAGATTTGGCCAGCTAATTTATGACTGTTTTTTTTTTTTTTGACCACAACGTCGTTTATTCGCCAAGACTGATAGACCGTGTGGGAATTTCGATCCTAGGTGATTTAACTTACTAGCGGTCAATGGCGATAAGGCTTTCCCTATCACTCTCGTTAATCTTGATAGCTTCTGATTAGCCATAATTGCTGTGCGTTTGAGAGCAAATAGTATTTCCTGCTTATACTCCATTGAACTAGGCATTACTTAACAAAAATCAGGTTTTTGCTTAAGTACCAAAAAATAGGTAGAATTTATATATTTTATTATTAATACTAAACGCATATACTTATCATATTTCAAGATTAATATTTCTAATTAAATATATGTATGTACATTACTATATAGATTTTATATATATATATTTTTTTTATTGAAACAACGATAATTACAATTCAAACTCGCGCCATGTTACTTATCGATATACCAGCTAATCGATATTACACACAACACATTTAAACAACAATTTAAATCGATAGGTACACTATATAGATATTGCTCATCCCTAATAGTTGCAAATTAAATTTTTATTTGTGCCCACTTTTTAAGTAGGATAATAAATAATGAGGGATCGGGATCGCCGTGACAGAGATCGTGATAGGGAAAGGGACAGAGATCGGGAGCGGGACAGGGATCGAGACCGGGATCGCGACAGACGCCACCGGTCCAAGTCGCCCGCCAGAAGCAGCCGGCAGAGCTCCAAGTCGAAGAAGAAAAAGTCCAAGAAGTCGAAGAAGTACTCCCGGAGGAGTCGCAGCAGCAGTCGCAGCTCCTCGCGAAGCTCCTCCAGCAGCAGGAGCAGTTCCCTCAGCAGACACAGCAAAAGCAGGAGCAGGGACCACAACAAATCCCGATCCGCATCCCAGAGGACCACAAGAGCTCCCAGTTCGGAGAGCAACTCCCGATCCGCAATCACACCCTCAGTTGCCCCTGCCAAAACAAAACCCATTGATCTGATGGACACCAAGGTGCTGAAGGCTCTGGAGACCATAGACGAGGACTCCTTCAAGCCGGCCTCCTTCTTTAGCTCCCGGGATTCAAAGGAAACCTCCGAGAAGGTGATCATAGACCTGAACAACGAAACAGTCACACTGGCCAACAAGCCAGCCATTGCAGTCCGAAACGAAGATGTAATATTCCATCCGAACGTGAGTGGGTCACCTGGTGCTCTGATCACCCTGCTAATGGTATTTCTTTTGCAACCCCCACACAGTTCCTTGGCGATCCGGATCTCAAGGCAGAGAAGTGGCTGCGAAAACTCTACAATTACCGCCAGAAGTACACGCAGGAGTAGTCGAGTTCATACTCTGTATTTAAGAAACAATAAACCTATGTCTAGAATATATCGCTGCCCGTCTTCCGGGCGCGCTGCAGGGCCTCCGCCGGAGTCAGTTGCTCATTGGCCGAGGGCTCCTTGGCACTGCCATCTGCCTGCAGAGTGCCCGCTTTGAAGTCCTCGATGATCTTCTGCGAATAGACGGCATTGAACAGGTCCAGGCTGGTGAACTCCGATTGGACGACATCCGGCGCCTTGTAGGATACATATGGCTTCAGTTTGCAGCCGGTCAGGTCGGGCACTATGATTTCCGGAATCTTCTCGGGAATCTCCACGTACTGCCCGTCCACCATTATGCCCGTGTCGCGCACTCCTCGCTTATGAATGGGCACCGGCGGATTGGCCATCGTTTTTTGGGCCTCCTTAACCACGCGCGTTCCCCGTTTGTTGTACACATTGAATTTACGGAAGTTCCGCTTGCCCTCCAATACGGATGAGGTGCTGATGGTCCTCTGTTGGCACCGGAGTGCTATGGGCACTAGTTTCACACAATTATTCATTGTTATTTAGCTTTTTGGCGAGGAAAATGGTTAAATAACAAATGCGGGTGCACTGAACAGCTGATTGCTGGACTAGTGATGACAATTGGATAAGGAATTGTTTCGAGATTAAAATTGAATTTAGAATTATAAATGCCGTAAATTATAAACTGTTATAAATGTAAGGAATATTTTAAGGCTTGTTGGTGCTTTATTAAATATTTAAGTTCGAAAGAGGAACTTGATTTTATTTATATATCTGGAATAAATTATTTTGAGTGCAGTAAACATCTCTAGCTTATCGATATTCTTATCGACTATTTGTGCCGCCTGGCAGTGTTGAAAAGCACTGTTAGATTATTAGTGCAATTAAACTCCCAAAACGGCTTGTGTTTCTTATCACAAATTTATAAATTGAAAAACTGCCTTCTTTTTAAGCAATGTCGTTGCCGGCTGAAGAGGAGGAATCAGCGGAAGGTGCCGCGGATCATGATTTCATCGAACTGAAGAGCATGGAGGATGTGAAGGCCTGCGAGCAGCAACAATTACTGCAGTACGTCGAAAAGCTGCACGGAATTATTCGAAAATACGACACCAAACTAGCGGCCTACAAGCAAAAACTGGTGCACTTCGTGAGTTCGGATATTCGGGTTACCTAAAACCATCTCATTTAAAGTGATTTATCCCCAAAGCTAAACCAAGAAAAGACTTCCTGCGACAAAGCCGTCCAAGCAACCGAATCGGAGTTGCAGGAAAGCCAGGATTCCCCAAACAATGATGAAGACACCGACAAAAAAGACAAGCCCAGCGATTGTGAGTCAAGAGTTTCTTTATTCCTTCTATTATTGCTACAAATGTAGTTAGTACCTACTTCGATTTGCTGGCCACCGCGGCCACCAGCGCGGCTCCACGTCCTGATCCGTCCTCCGAGAGCATGATGTCCCACTCCTTGTCCGCCTTCACCAGCTTCTGCAGCGTCTGCCGCATGTAGGCATCAAACTTCGGATGATACCGGTACACGGATCCATCCATGCCGACTATCACACGACGGTTGGAGGTCCTGTTGACCAGGCCACTCACTCCGATGGCCACCAGAGTGGCCGCCCGCTTGGCTACGCACTCGCAGATGTACCTCAGCGTCTGGCAGTCCTCCACGGAGGCCTTCTCCAGGCCGAACAGCTGCTTCACGATCTTCCTGGTGCTGCCAAACTCCGGGAACGAGTCGTCCTCGATCTCCGAAATGTAGCGCGTCTCGAAGACCTCCGGGTTCTTCTGCAGCACACTGGCGAACTCCGGTCGCCGGCTGCTTTGCTTGAAGATCAGCTTGCGCTCGAGGGCGCGTAGCAGGACAAGGCGTACTAGGTTGCCCAGATACATGCCCGCCGTCATCTTCTCGAACAACTGCTCCGACCGGTTAATGGACTTCTCGTCCACCTCGCGATCGTACTCGGTGCGCACAAAGTCCAACTGCCCGCCCTCGCCAAAGGCGCCCCACTCCGCGTTCACAATCACCTGTCGTTTCGTCCTCTTAAAATCCGCTTGAAGGAGATCCACATTCTCCACATCCTCCACGTAGCAGGCATTGCAGCCAGTGCCCACAATGACGCCCACACGGCAGTCGGCGTTGCGATGGGCGCAGGACATCAGTGTGCCTGTTGTGTCGTTGAGAATGGCCACCACGGCGATGTCGGCATCGCCGCGCCGCTGAATGGCCTCGTGCAGCATACGACCCACATCCTCGCCCTCCACGCCGGCACAGTCGAAGCCCTTGGTCCAGCGCACCAGGAGGCCCTCCTTGAGGCCCAGCTGCACGCAGGGAAAGGAGAAGGTGAAGCCCAGCGGCAAATAGGCGGTCTTCATATCGTGCTTCTCCACGAACTTGGCCAGGCAGCCGGCGATGTGATCGAACAGCTCCACGCCCGGACCCACCATCAGGTCCTTGGGCACGGCGTAGATCTGCGATTCGACCGTGGCATCGTGGTGACCCTTCAGCGAGACGAGCAGCACCCGGAAGTTGGTGCCGCCGAGATCCAAGGCCAGGTACTTGCCCATCTCGTCGCCCGTTGGCAGATCCTGCACGTACGTGGGAAAGCACTTCACATTGGCCTGCGGATGTGTGGAGCGCTTCAGGCCGCGGGCCACCTCCAGGCAGAAGCGACTGTACACCTCCTGCACCTGGTAGTCGCTCAGCACAAAGGGTTGCATAAGTTCTCGCACCTCGGCGTCCAGCATTTTGCTTGGCTAATCTTGGTTGTAACCGCCTCGAACGATGAGTAACGACTAACCAGGCGCCTGGCCAGCCCACGGCGATTTGGAACTGCACTGGGAACTGCCTGATAAGACGGGATGCAGTGCGCCAGACGTGGAAACAACTGCTGCCATTGCAATCTGGGCGCTGCGTAGCAAATTAAAAACGAAAACACACCTAAGTAGCTGATTTGCGCCGATTCGGAATCTAAATCTGAAACTACAACTGCGCGATATGCTAATCGCTTAAGTCCCGGCTGCTGCTCGTCAATTGCTGGCGATAGCTCCTGATTTGCCACCCTACAAATTAGTTATAGATCGAGGCTAGTTTACTATTTGGATGGTTATAAAAGGCCACCATTCAGCAATGCAACTCAATCAAGAGAGACATGTATTACTAAATACTTAATTTTATTTGTCAATTTTAAAAGGATGGCATATAAGGAGAACGACCCTCAAAAATTGGTTTTTTATACTCTTGAAAATATTTAAAAATGTAGAATTGTCTAAAAATTCATTTGGTAAGGTTCTCAAGGTTATTGACACAAGTCAGACCTTTGAATAAATGTTTAAGGGTAAAGTTCCTAAGATTTATTATTTAAAAATTAAATTATACTAAAATTTCTTATAAAGAGAGTGCAAAATTCGTGCAAAAAAAAATGGCAAGGCCACTTTTCCATTTCCTGGCCACCATATCAAAGACAATAAAAGTCATAAACTGTCACTGGGAGGGTAAAGCCGAAACACGCCTCCTGAGCTATCGCAGAGATAGTGCGGCTTCAAGGAGTGCATCTTACATGCACAGCCCACCCACTTCCCTATCTGTAGGGGTCTCAGGTCGATTAATATAGCGTGCGTCAAACATCCCGGTCCGCTAATGCCCGAGATTAGCGCTAAAGTGTCGCACACGGGCTAACGCCACTGCCCCTGGCTGAAAAGCGGACCAGCCCTTGACACCACTTCTGTTATGATTGCAATGATTGCACAAGAAAGCCGGTTGTCACGTAGCCTGAACTTCAGTTTTACGAGCTTTAATAAGGATATAAATCAATAGTCATATCTAGAACAATATTTATTTAATTGATCGATATAAAAATATACCCCTTTAAGGCCTTTTAAATATTTTAATACCTAATCAATAACAATTAAAGTATTTATACTTTCCATGTCTAAAAAGCATCTAAATTTTGCAGTATCGGCGACAGATGCATTCAGCTTCGTGGATGAGATGCGGCAGGCGGCCAAGCACGCCGAAAACCTGAACAACTTCGTCTATGAGCCGACATCGGGCATGTACTACGATCCCAAGACGGGCTACTACTATAACGCGGTAAATAAGCTATAAACAGCGGACGTAATCTTTATGACGTTACGTTTCGTTCTATTCCGCGATGCGCCGACTGCACCGACTGCACCACGGTGACTTTCAGGGGTTATCGCACCGGCGAACCTACATCAATTTGCTAATCTCCGCCTGCTTCTCGCTCTCTTCCTGCTTCCAGGAGTACGGGTTGTATTACGATGGGAACACAGGCTGCTACTACAGCTATGACCACGGCAAAGACTCGTACGAGTTCCACTCGCAGGCGCAGGTGCAGGTGAGTGACTCCTGTGCCACACCACGACCACACTAACCACCGTTCTTCTCCTCCTCGCTGCGCAGCCTGTGAGCGACTGCGCCTGTAGTAGCCTTTTAGCCGATTTTCACAAACTCAGCATAGACCGAATGCGTAGCAATGCATTAGGTAAGCGCCAAGGCCCAGAACTAGCGATAAAAACGCGGATTTCTTTTCTCCACTTGGTTGCAGGCGAACGAGGCGGCGGCGGCGGCGGCGGCGGCGGCCAAGCCGGAATCGGCGGACGAGGACGAGCAGCAGGTCGAGTTCGATGAGCTGGGCGGCGTCATCACGGATCCCGAAACGCTGAAAAGGATCAAGGCCGAGAAGCAGAGGGTTAAGGAACGCGCCGAGAAGTCCAAGCGCAAGGCCAAGGCAAAGAAGAAGTCGAAAAAGCACAGCAGGAAGAAGCGCAAGAAGGAGCGACGCCACAAGTCGAGGAAGCGGCACAGGGACTCAGGGGATGACCGCGATGAGGATGCCGAGGAGGGCGAGTTGTCGCAAAGCAGCGACTCCAGTTCCGACTCCAGCGATAATGATGCTCAGAGCAGCAGCAGCAACAGCGACACGGAGGACAGCAGTGTTCCGGTCTTCAAGGCTGCCGGTCGCTTTCAAGGTGCTTAGAAATTCCGCGTTTTTATCGTCGTTTTCTTAAGTTTAAACCACTAACTTTTTCTCCCTTTTCGTAGACATTGCCAAGAAGTACCCGCCCTCGCTGCGCGTCATTGTCCAGGAGACCAATGTGGATAGTCTAAAGGTGGGAAGTCTGCATTTGATCACCTACAAAGGCGGCTCATTGGGTCGCGAGGGCGCCCACGATGTCATCATTCCGGACGTGAACGTGAGCAAGTGCCACTTGAAGTTCAACTACGAGGCCAAGCTGGGAATCTACAAGTGCCTGGATCTGGGCTCCCGCAACGGCACCATTCTCAACGGTTCTCCCATGGCCAGCGATGCTATGGACCTGGTGCACGGCAGTGTCATCACCTTGGGACAGACCAAACTCCTGTGCCATGTGCACGAGGGCAACAGCACCTGCGGGCTGTGCGAACCGGGTCTGTTGATAGAGACACCGGCGCCGGCTGTGGCCACAGTTGGCGCATCCACCGCCACTGTATTGTCCCACAAGGAGCAGCTCAAGAAGCTGCAGCGCAAATATGGCCTGGAAAATGAGAGTGAGTCTGCCTTCCTTAAAGCTTCATAGATCTAATTTCTCAACTATATTACGTATTTCAGAATTTGTAGAGACCAGTGGCAATGGTCAAGCCTCCAACTACAACGATCGTGCCGCAACTAGACGTGTCAAAGTGGGCAGCAGCACGGATAAGGAAAAGACCGAGGTGGCTTGTGTGAACACGTGAGTGGTGGCTTATAAAACTGATCCTTTGCTGGTTGATCAATGGCTATATTTTTTAGTGAGATTGGCAGCTCAAACAAGGGCTTTAAAATGCTGAGCAAACTGGGCTGGCAAAAGGGCGATACTCTGGGCAAGACCAATGCCAGCACTGGACTTTTGGCGCCTGTAAGTATTTAGGAAAGCTTAACATATTCAAAACTTACCCATTGCTCATTCTCTATTATTCACAGATCACTGTGGTGGCCAATGAGGGCACAAGTGGACTGGGGAACAGTGACCCAGTGAGCTCCCGACCCATGGACAAACGAAAGTTGGCCAACTTAAAGATCACCCAGGCGCGATATCAGCGCGCCAACGACATATTCGATGATAGTGATTAGAAAAAGGCATTTTTGATTGTTGGAAACACATTTAATTAACAATTACTCAAACATATTCATAAGTATTGGGTATATATGTATGCATATATACATCGGTTCTATATATATATTATATGTATATATTAATTCAAAAATCTTGCTATAAGGTTAAGCTATCAGTCAATTAATTAATTTAACTTCGCTTATGAACAAAAAGAATAGAGGGAAGGTAATGTTAAATAAATATGACGTCGCGTATGTGGATCGGATCTAAGCTAAATGCGAGCGAAATGCGCATACAAACCAATCGTTTAAAGTAATTACCGTTTAGCCTATGTTAATGTTAAATACAAAAGCCTCTTAAGATATGTGGTTTCTCTTGCGATACATGCTGGATAAGAATTGCTGCAATACGTTATGTTGTATGTTGTATGGTTGATAATACTTTGCCCTGTATGTATGTAAAATGTATCCGATAATATAGTGTAGTGTAAGCATGGTTGGCAACAGCCTAAGGCTAAGGCCCATCCACCGATTACAACACGAAAACGCACAACGAGAATCTTTGGATGTTGGAACTACGGAAGAACACGCTACATTATGTGGACTCTGTGGGTCGTGGAGATGCCTCCTCAATCCTCTAGCAGCTCCCCTGGGACTTGACGCCAATAAAGTATCGGGATTCGCAGGAGTGCTTGTGCATCTCGCACCACGAGTTGTATGTATGGTTGTTGTAGCCGCATATTTTGTGTACCTGCTTGAATCATTCACTCACTGATTAGTGGAACATTTGGGTATCGAATGGACTTCTATACTCACCGGTCGCTGCTGTTTCCGCGGACACTTGTAGCGACAGGACACGCACCGCGGCTGGCGCGTCTGCAGATCCACCAGGCAGCTATCCTTCGGCCCACACTTGATGTCCGCACAGCTCACAGCTCGGCCCGCTGCAATATAAAGTTTACGATGCGAGCGCATTAATGGCGGCTGCCTGTGGTTAAGTTTCGGCTTTGTTTTATGACTGGCAGTTTCGGTTTAATGGCCCCTGTACACTCGACTGCATGTCCTGCCCCCCACGAGACTTCGGGCAGGTGCTGTCCAGATTACAGGAGACGAGTTCCACCAGTTTGGGGAAAACTTTCCAATATTTTAGGGCCCAATTTGGGGTCAATTTCAAATAAAAAACTTGCCCTTGGCGATTCATTAACTCAATAAGATACAATTTGTATGGATATTCTAAGAACTTAGTCTTTAATACATTGTAATAAACTTTATACAAATTATTTCTGTCATTTTATTTGGTACAAAAACATAAATGAATCGTTGATTTAAGGGGATAAAGGATGCATATGCATATTTAAATCTGCTGATCCTTCCTTGTGCCTACTGCAACTTCAATTTTCTAAGCTGACACATTATTTACACCACGCGCTATAGAGCGGACACAGCAAAACAAATCCACACAGAAAATAATAGTTTCAAGAATCAAATGTTTTTAAAAAAATATTCTGTATATTAAAAAATAATTTAATTTAGAATAATAATTTAGTAAACATTCCATTGATTTCGGAATAAAAGTAGAGTCACTTTTTATAAAGCATTTTGCTTAATTAATAGGGTTCAAAAGAAATGGAAACGGGTAACTAATAGTTGAGGCACTCGACTATATCGTTTCATCTAGTTTACTTTCCTTACATTCAAAATAGGGGTCCTAAAAATCATTTATTATTTCAGAAGAAATATAAATATGAAACATGAAAGCAATAGCAGTACTTTTCCCTCATTTAATGCTTGTTATTATATGCGATTATAAAAAATAAATTAAGAATCAAAAAACATAATGTTATCAGTTTTTTGTTCACTTTGCATAGATTGAAATATGCATTGCAATGGTCATTTAGGATAACTAAGTTTTGTTCTCGTTTGCCTACCTTCTTTAAATCTGTTATACTAAAATATCAATAAGATCACCGAGATGGTATCATATTTTTTTCTGTGCACAAGGGCTCTTCCTTTTGCCTTTCCTCATCCGCAAACCCATCCGCATCCCCATTCCCCTGCATCATTGAGCCATCCGCGCAAGACTGGTAGCATCTTCGGACCGGGCCAACAGCCAACATCCGACTGGTGCGACTGCCAGTTAGCCAGTCAGCCAGTTAGCCAGTTAGTCAGTTAGCCAGTCAGCCAGTCGAGCAATAAAGCAGCCAAGCGGTGCGCAGCCGCAAATGCGGGGCAAAATATATATGTGTTTATCGTCGACATGATCTGCGACTTGGCAACATTGTTGCACAGTGCCCTCCGGGCATTGTCGATCGGAATTGCAATGGCAATGGAGGTGGAGCTGGAGCTGGAGCTGGAGCTGGAGCTGGAGCTGAAGCTGTAGCTGGAGGTTGTGGCATGGGTTTGGGCTTGGGTGGAGCCGCCAAGGGAGGTTGGATGTATGCGACTGCATCTGTAGTTCGGTGCGTGAAAGTCCGCCGTCTAGCAATTCGTAACAGTTAAAGTTTATTAATTTCAACTGCCAATTTAGCTTTAGGCAGATACGTCCTTTACGCAGAGAGGTGGAGGAGGGGTGGTGGGGGGATAGGTCCTCCCCCCGCTCGATGTCCCGCGCACTTGTTGATTGTGATGAATGTGGCAGTGGCCTCCAGAGCGGGAGCTGCTGCACCGCTGGTTATGCCTGATAATGCCGTCACAAGACGAGCCAACTATAATTTGTTATGTCGACGTGGTTTAATCAACGCCGGCGGCCGTTGGCGGAACTTATTGCAACATTGTGTGGATGGGCTCTTCTGGTCCGGTCTGCTCTGGTCTGGTCTGGTCTGTTTTGGTCTGGCTGGGATGCGTCGTGGGTCATGTGTCTGGTGTACATGCGTGTTCCCATTCAGACCAGACCGGCCATTTTGGCATTGCGTGTTGTTTAAGGTGATTTTAATACGATCATAAACTACAGTCGGCCCAGAGGAAGAAGAGCCAGACGCTCGACCAGACAAAAGTGACGTCGCGACGACGTTGGACAGTTGGACAGCTGGACAGTTGGACAGTTGGACAGATGGACATCCCAGACCCAGACCGGACTTCATCCACTCCTCGAGAGTTTGCAATCACAGAACCTGCGTCGCCGCAGAACGTTGCGAAAATGGCGTTTTAATGGTTTGTACGTGTAGTCATATTTCTTGGAGCCAACGGCAAACTTTTCGTGGCTTGTGCCGTGGTTTGCCGGCACTGCCCCTCTCCCCTCGTTTCCCCCTCTTGGAATTTTTTCAAGCCTGAGCCCGGATCGCGACGGAAAATATTTATGTGAAAGCAGACAAAAACAAACAAATGCCCAAAGAGCCATAAACTTACTAACCATGAAGATAAAAAGGCTGAGGAGCCAACGCATTATCTTATCGCCAGACGATCCACGTAACATAACGAGTACAGACGCACATTAAGCAGCAGGAAGGAAGCCCAGAGAAGCGGAAGGAGCAGGGCTCGATACCAGGGGCATTCGCTTGGGACGGGCATTCCAGATCAACAAACTGCATGGACTCACGCACAAGTGTTTTTCAGCTTGGCCATAAGACTAAAAGCAAGAGTGAATAGTAGCTAACGATCTTTATTTAGAACCCGGCTACCGTTAAGGGGGATTACGAAAATGGACGGACAATCAGTGAATGAATATGCAATTGCTTGTATCTCTTCGGCAATCTAGAAGCTATGAAAATGTTATTAGCAGGTAGGCTTTGAAAAACATATCTTAGAATTTAGAGCTAGTTGTGCTTTACCTAAGGAAAGTTTATTCAGTTTTGGTTCATTGTGCTGTGAGCTCATATACAAACCACATCAAAATTATTTATAAAAAAAGAAAGTTACATAAAAAAAAATCTTGGATGAATTTCACGACTGTGAGTTAGGTGTGTTAAGTGAGAAATGTGTATATAGAGTGGTGTTCTAAAATTAAGTGAAAGCTAAAGAAATCATGTGAAACCGTTAAAATCTTGAATAAATCGAGAGTGGAAGTGAAATGTGTAACTAGAAATATTTTCAATATTTGTGCGCTGTGTTTTTTAAAATTAAGTGAATGCTAAAGAAATCATGTGAAAAACAAAACAACCAGAATGGCCCCAAGAAGTTCAAATAAGTACGGTTTCCTTTTTAACAATTTGTTTTTCAGGTTCAACTTTTCCAGGTGGATATATCAAAATGCATGAGCTCAGATGGGTTAAACGTTATACGCAATAAAGGTTAAGAAATGAAGTATCATGTAGCGACGCCGAATACTTATTATGAAAATTGAGGACTACTGCAGAGCCACATCATTGATAAATAATAATACCGAACAGAATGACCGTATGGGGGAATTTTGTCAATGGCAGCTGCTGTTGAAGCTTTTGTTTTCGCATTAACTACACGCTGTAATTTGCAGCAAAACACTGCAATTAACAGGCAATTGCAGCACGGCAGCCCTCTTTTGTCTTCAGCCCCCATGGCATACTAAACTAGTTTATTCCGTCCGTCTCCATCTATGTCTCCCATCCCATCCGATTTGCTCAGAGGTTCTCGAGTTCGTCTCCGGATTTGGTGCGATAGCACACGCCCTCCACGCCTTCCAGCACCACTGATTGCCACACGGGAAGAAAATTTATGATATATACCAATTATTTTACATTCAAATGAAACTATTGCCCTAACGTTTAAACAGAAATGACAGTAATGAAATTAATAACAGCTTGAGACGTGTGATGACTGATTGCCTCCATAAAGATACTTGTTAGATCTGTTAGAATGAATACCTAATATAAAAAAATAACTCATCAGAAATGAATACCAATATCAAACCAAAACTCATCAAACTGAAACTTTGTTTTAAAAAATGTTGTTAAAACGAGTTTGACAAAGCAAATTTGAACTAAATGTCCAAGTTACGAACTGCGAGGAATAAACATATATTTTGGTTATCAATGTATAGATTAGTTCAGTTATTTCGGTTTTATAATGAAACGTTTAAATTTGTTTAAATGGTTACGTTAATATTAGTATTTAATATAATTTTTTTATTTTAAATGAAAACATACATTGTATAGATCAATTATAGATGTTAATGCAATTTTTAAGAAATTTAAGTACGTGAATGGCTGAAGAAAAGTTATTATATAACCAAAAACGTATAACTATCTATTTCGTTATATGCAGAATGTAACAATTGGATTTAACAATGTAATTAGCTCAAGCAATACATGTTTTTTTAAGCAAATCAGATATTTTTATGAGAAGTTTGCTGATAAATTTCTTAAAAACAAATGTAACCGATTGTTCCAGGAAGAAAAAATGTTTGGTTCGAAGGTCTTGGTAAAAAAAGAAATCGTTTCAATTAGTTTAATAATTAGCTTAACTTTTAAATTTTTCAGCATTTTCTTTTAATTTAAATCAAATATTACACATCCTACGAAATGAATATAGCGTTTGCGAATTGTATTTAACGAAGACTTAATGAAACTTTTAATCTTAAATTACTCTTTCTGGTGGAAGCGATTGTTCCGATAAAAATAATGATTGGTTCTAGGGTTTTGGTATAAAAATAAATCGTTCCAATTGGTTTAATAATAATTGGCTTAACTTTTAAAATTTTTTCAGAATTTTCTTTTATTTTAAGTCATTAAATAAATGTTTCTGGTTCTCGCACATATATGGAATGCTAAAAAATAAATATTATTCAAAGAAAATAAATAATATCCATGTTACATATATCAGTTTGATATTATGTAATAGATGAATAGAGAAATGTCTATCGCAAAATACAAAATTATGATTGAGCCTCGGGTCTTCATACATTATATTAACAATTTTAATCAATTTATTAGATTTAATTAGATAAACGCTTTACATGTAGAAGATATATTTCTGATATCGATTAAGATTTTTACTTTTCCTAAAAATCATTAATCTTGTGCTCAAAAATGACACAATTTATAAGATTTAATTTGCTAAACACTAGTTTTGAAAGGATATAGTTCAGATATCGAAATATTTTTAAAAAATTAAATTTTCTTAATATATTAAAATGAAAAATGATTAGTGAAAAATGTAAATGACACATGATATATATTTGGATGAGACTATTAACTGTTCAATGCCATATGCCATTTACTATGACAAGGGTGAGACACAATACAACATCCCAAGATTTAATTATTCCTGCACTTTTTCTATGTCTCGGGATTTATTTATCCCTGTAATTCCTATACAATATCTCAGGATTTTCCACAGCACATCGGGATTTAATTAATAATAATAATAATAATAATCAAACTATGACAAGGGCGAGACATATTTGTGAAATCCCTTTACCTTCTATGGCAGTCATCTGACAAATATGAGGAATGATACTTTACAATGAAGTTGGTGTGCATCTCTGAATGATTTTTCGCTGTGCACTTTCTGTCGTGGGCCGACTTGGGGCATTATAATTAATTGGAAATCGGAGTCGATCAATCGGATGGCAACCGCAGAATTAATAAGCATGAATGATGCCGACGACGCGAGTGTTGGCTGTAATTGTGGATGCGCCAGTACCCGTACTTGTAGTCAATGTGGAGCAGAGCTGACGGGCTAATCAAATTGCTGGCAATCATGGAGCCGTATAAGCAAATGTAGCAATTTCAGTCAAACACCGAGAGAGCCGGCAACTTGATATGGCCAAGCTGCAGACGACAACAAACCCAACAGCATCAACAACAACTTGTGGCTGTGACGCGATTCGATTCGCCTTTAACTCAACTCAACTCAACTCAACTAACGCGGTTCAACTTGGGCTGGCTGGAAACCTCAGTCAAGTCAATCAAATGCAAAATTGCGGTTCTTTGTTGATTGTTGTTAAATTCGCACAACCGCTATTCAGCACCGCGATTGCAGGCAACAATTTGCATTTACCGACTGCAACTAGGCTTTCCATACCAATTAATTTGATGGATTTTCGCTGTCTGCAGCCAAAAAATACATACCTCGACAGGGTCCCGGATATGCCACGGCAATGGAACGTCCAATTTTGCAAATCATTCGATTTATATCACAGGCGCTCCTATATGTCTTCCCATCCACGCCGCACACGGCCTCACTGGCATCCATATCCGCATCCAGTCCATCCCAGGGACACTCAATCCGGCAGGAGATGCAGTGCGGCATCATGTACTGGTCCTCCACGCAGGTCAACCCATTCAGGCACTGGACTCCGCTGCAGCTGTCTACGGAAGGTGGATAAATTAAAGGATTTTGTTATGAAATATGAATTATTTTCTGGGATTAAATGTACAATGACTTGGAAACTGTCTCAGCTTAATAATTATAGGGTTTATGTGGTTAGCTTTCTGTATTAAAATTAACAAAACAAATATTTACTTATTGTTGTTCTATCTTCACAATACAATTAAATGTATGCAGCACCCTAAATATATTATTTCTCATTATTTTTGTTGTAAACCACACCCTAAATATATTAGCACAATCAGCACTATTTATGTTATTTGTAAACAATATTGTCATATCTTAATTATCATATGTAAACCACACCTAAAATAAATATATATTGTACTTTTGTAAACCATATCATAAAATAAATATTGTATTTTCCAGTTTGTAAATAAAATTTACCAAATAATTGCTTTTTTTACAATGTAACCTTTAACCTCTGATTAATAAAATGTTTTTAAATCAAGTGCGCACTATTAATTTTTTAGTTTTTGTCCCTTTTTAACCATTTGAAAAGAACACGGCCACTAATCATCGCAAGATGTTGCACCTTGCAACTATGTTTTTGACATTTACGAATGCTTTTCGCATAGAGGCGCTGATTGTGCCTATAAATAAGTAGTTGGCCAATGTCTATGATTAGCCTGAAGACCGTACCGTACCGTACCGTACCGTACCCCCACTCGTGGACTCTCGGATCTCTTGGGATATATGTACATGCGCTTATATGGCTGGCAATAAACTGTCGAAATTTATCAGGGGGACATATGCGGCCCGTTGATGCGAAAAAAAAAAACGCGAAACGCCTTGGCGCCAACTGTGACACTCGCGAAATATTGCAATCATTTTTCTGCTCGCAATTGAATGCGAATGAGTGGTCGCCGGAGATCGGATCGGAATTGCCGATTGGGCATTCCATTGGATATATTGGCACGCGCCAACGTTAGATTGCTGGAATTGCTGTGTTGCTGTTGCTGCTAGCCAACTTGGTGTTGCTGCTGTTGCTGTTGCCACAGCCATTGCCGGTTATGTGTTGCAAGTTGCTCGAAGCTAGTTGCTAGTTGCTAGTTGCAGAAGCAACAGAACAGAACAGAATGTCGTGTGCTTGCGGCTAATCCAACAAGTTCTTTGGGTTCTTGGCTCATCGTTCTTGTACGCCGTTTTTATTGATCATTTGAGCATGTTTGCGAGTGCTTCCTGTATCATTAAATTATTACACAACATTTCTGGCTTCAGTCTGGCTGGCTGGCTAGCTGCTGGCTGGCTGGTTGGCCAGTTGATTTCACCACTGGCGACAAGTTGTTGGCCGTAATTGAAATGTGCAATAATTTGTCATCTAATCTAATTGTGGCGCTGCTGCGTTTTGGCACGCGAGCAACCCAGTCCACCTACACTCACAGAAATGTTAAGAATTAGCCAAAATAGTCACTTAAAAAAGAACACTGCCTCAGTTTAATTTGACCACATTTTTGCAATAGGATGAAAAATATTTAAACATTAAAATTAAAAAAGAGCGTAGACCCAAAACAAAAACTATTGTTACTTAAATTTTAAAAAATATTGGGAATGAACAATTTCTCAATAAGATAAGATAATTATTTTGTACCAGTGCAGTGTCTATAGCACATTTTCTATATTTGGCAAACATTATTAAAATTTTATGGAACGATAATGTACGTATGCATGTAGAATTATTCAATTTGATGTACTATTTTGTACCAGTGCAGTGGATATAGCAAATGGAAAACGTTATTCTAAATTAACTAATTCCCAATTTAATGTATTATTTTTTCCCACTGCAGTGGCTATAGCATATGGCGTATGGTAAATGGTATTGGCGGACTCACTCTTGCAGTGGCCCCGATAGGCGACCTCCAGTTGGGCGTTGTTGGTGCGGCAGGCGCGCTTGCGCAGCTGGCACTCGGTGTTGTAGGTGCGTCCGTCGGAGCCGCAAACCGGATTCGAGTGCAGTTGCTGCTGTGGATGCCGCTGCTGCTGCTGCTGCTGGTGAAAAAGCATCCGAGTTAGCCCCGAGGAGTAGGCAATGGTCAGTAATCAGTGGTCAATGGTTAGTGGTCAGTGAGTGAGGAACAATGGAGAATGGAGGAGACTCACCAGCGGCAGGGGCTCATAGATTCCGATGCCGATTCCGCCCAGAAGAGCCAAGTCATGGGCATTAGCGAGGTCCGATGACGCAGCCGTTTCACTTCCGCGTTGCAACTGAAAGATGCGATTTGGCTTCGGATTCGGATGTGAGCCAGAGCCAGAGACAGAACCAGAGACAGAGCCAGACATTGTGGTATTTGCTGACTGCTGGGCTTCTGTTGCCATTCGATGGTGGAGTCCATTGTCTGGACTTGGACTTGGACCGGGATTTGGAGCATGCTCAATGCGTCTGGCATGCTGGTGTCTGACTCTAGCCGACTGTCTATTAATGTCGTTGGCGGGTTCATTAGCATTTGCCAAGTCGCCAAGTCTAGACTGAGCCAAGTCTGCAACTGCATCGGCATCTGCATCTGCATCTGCATCTGCATCTGCATGTACCGACGACTGCCTGGGCGTCTTGTCTGCCGGGGACGAGTCATTGGCTCTGGCTCCTGTCGTCATTGATCTTGTTAAGTGTTTGCCATGGCTGTTTCTGTGCCTGCGCCTCTCATAGCCCCTCATCTCCACTCGGCCACGTTTGGCAGTGCCAGCATTGGCATTTGCGTTTGAGTTTGAGTTTGTGGGCTGATCTGGCACTGGCACTGGCTTTGGCTTTGGCACTGGCACTGGCAAATTGCTGCTGTCTATGATCAAAAGTCTTCGGTGCTTCGACTCGCTCGGCAGCTGCAGCTTTCTTTGGTTATCAGCACGTTGGCGTTGCCTGCCGCCGTCTAATTCTAAATTGTAGTTGGAATTCTCGCTACTTAGGCTACGGGATTCGCGCGACATGTCCTGTTGCTGTTGCTGTTGCAGTTGCAATTGCATTTGCCGTTGATGTTGCTGTTGCGTCCTGCGACGCAGCGCTGCTCCGCATTCGGGGGCACAAACGCACTTGGGCCGACCTTTGCGCTTCACACACTTTTTATTGGTCCCGCACTTGAAGCCCTTGCAGCTTTCTAGTAGGCATAAATAGGGCATAAAATAAAAGTTAAAAGTCCCCAAACCATAGCCACTCACCCATGCAGGGCGAGCACTCCACTCCGCCACCGATGGCCGTCGCAAAGAAGTACTCCACGCTGCTCAGCTCGCGATCTGTGTAGGAAAAGCTCTGGCTGGCGCCACAACACTCCGACCTCGAGATGTTCGTCGAGAAGACCTGGCCGCACTTTCCGCTGCCCAGGTGCGTCTGCCAACAGGTGCCAGCTAGTAAGGATAACAAAAATTATTTATTTAAAAATTGTACAATAACTCCTTTTAAGCTAATTCTCTCCAAAAGTAAACCTCTCCTTGTAACTCACCTAAGTTTTAAGAAATCTATTTAAAACCTATCGCTAACAATTCTAATGTATTATTTAGACACTCGTTGTAACCTACTTGTTTATCGGGTTGCTGCAGAAATGTTATTCCACCAAATACCACTAATAACTACATTTTTATGAAAAGCCCAAAATCTTTAATGAACAATTTTATACTCAAAAGCATTTGGGTGCCAAATTTCTTAAGATTTTTATAATTCATAAAATAATATAGCCTGACACTTCATTTTTATCACTGAAAATTCTTTGCCAAAAAATATATTCAATCGAAATATATATATTACATATATGTATATTTATGTAAAAACATTAATATATATTTTTGGAAAATCTTTGTTTAAAATTCTTAAAACTCAAATGCCAAATGTATTAAATCTTTGAGTTTGACATTGTTTGAGTAGAAAACTATAAAAAAAAAATTATTTTTATAGCAAATACCTTTTAAGCTAATGAATAACATTATATACAACTTCTAAAATAAATACACAATACTTTTCATTTTTAATGGTGTAATGAATCATGCTAGCCATGGCCAAAAAATAAGTTGAGTGAGCAGTTTTAATGTGTTTTCGATTTCTCAGCGTTTATATAAGGTACATGAAAACCCTCCAAAAAAAAGGTGTAAAATAAAAATGTTATTTCCCGGAGCTAACCGGAAGAAAACAGTTCAAGCTCCCCTTTCGCAGTGGTCAAATTACTTGCAGGTATTGGACTAAGCAAAACAAATATTATTTGTTTACGTTTGAGATTCAGCAGGAATGCGATGTGCCGGCTGCTAATGGAAATCATGCAAATATTGCTGAGAATTCGCGCGGTTTTTCACACATTTTTGTTCATCTGCATTTTGATCTTCTGCTTGTTGTGATCGAATCGATTTGGCAGACCCAAGCAGATTTTTGGATTTGCTGGATAAACAAACAAGCGGAGATATGGGCTGTGAGAAATTGCGTCACATTTGAGAATAATGTGACACATTTATCGAGGCGAATGAACTGGCGAATATACATATATGCAGGCGCCACTCTCTTGAGATACTATTCAGAGATTCAGATACAGATGTATCTGGCAAATGCGGAGAAACTGACATGCAGCTAGCTAACTAACTACTTACCCGCCGCCAGGCGAAAATTCAGTAGCAGCAATCCAATTAACAGAGCCATCAAAGGCTGTCCAACCAACTGATGGCCAGCGCCAGTAGTTGCTGCTGCTGCTCGCGGTGTTGCTGCGGTGTCGGCTGATGTTGCTGCCGTGCCTCTTGGTGTTGCTCTCGTGCAGCGCATGCTTTTCATTGGACTAGAACTGGCCAAGTGTTCGTGTTGCTGCTGGTGTTGCTTGTGCTGCTGTAGCTGGTGTTGCTGTTGCTGCTGTTGTTGCTGCTGTTGATGTTGTTGCTGATGTTGCTGATGTTGCTGTTGTTCACGTGCCATTGACACCTCGTCAGAACAATCAGGCAACGCATTGACGTCACGGCCATGGCAGCAGCAATTGGCCAACTCTTGCAAAACGCTCCATGCGCTTACTATAAATAAACTTAGAATTGTTCTACATTCGCGGCTAGTTGCTCTTGCCAATTGTGTTGCTTCTGATGTTGATGTTGCTGCTGACGTCTTTGACATTGCTGCCGCTAATTGGCTCAGTGTACGCGCTTCCGCTGCCGTCGATCTCGCAGGAAGTGCGCGGATGGCCGGCATCGCTGCTCTGCGCTTGAATTTGTAATTCGATTTTAGAAAAGTCAAATTGTTTTGGCTGCTCGTCGGCTGATGATGATGATGAGGCATGACAACGGCAAGTGCTGCGGATAAACAAAAAGCAAGGGTAGGCAAACGCACTCGAGTAACAGGTAACAGCTAACAGGTAACAGCTAAGAGGTAACAGCTAAGGGGTAAGAGGTAAGAAGTAAGAGGCAAAGGATGGATTCAATTAGACAAAGCACACTGCCACTCCAGCTCGAAGTTGGAGTGGCACGCCAGCAACATGATGCAACCGGCGGCGACAGCAGCAACAGCAGCAGCAGCAGCAGCAGCAACAGCAGCAACCACAGTCAAGCACCAAGAATGTTTTGCACAAAAACGACGGCCAAGAGGCAACAATTAAGTCTCAAACGTTGAGTTGACATTGAGCAGGCGGTTTTCAAAATGCGACTACTAAAAATAAAGAACCTGTTGCTGCTGCCACCGCTGTGTTGTAGGTTTGCCGCATTATGCACCGTCTGTCTGGCTCCGTGCACACAGAGAAAGTTTGGAATAAATATATTGTTCATTTTAGTTCATTAGATGGGCAATCAAATACCATTCAACAATTTATATTTGTGGCAAATAAAAACCATACATTTTCTAATTTCAGTTCAACCTTATAGTAGAAAAAATTGTTCCTAAAGACAAGCAAAGACAGAAAAAACTACCCCATTCTAGAACATCGATTTATTTTTTCAAATTAAAAGCTTTCGGGAGCATTCTTATAATGAATTTTACAAAGGGGCTAAGTTCGATCGGTTGACTTTGCTTTTTTTGGGAACACTTTTGTTATAATTCTTGATAGGGTTTTTTAAAAATTTTCGAATAAAAAGCTTTTGGGAGCATTTGAATACTGAATTTTTTGATTATTAATTTTATTATTATTATTTTTATTTATTTTTTAATTTTATTTTGGAAATTTATTTTATTTTAATTGCACTTTGCCAAATTGCATTCCCATTATCCATTTAGCACTCTTACAGGTATATAAATATGTATCATTTTTTTCACTTTGCTTTTTCTTGTTTTAAATTTTTTTCTTTGAGTGTATCTTTCCCCTTTAGTAAGCCTCTCTCCCTGTCTGTCTGTCTGTCTGTCTGTTTGTTTGTTTGTTGGTTTGTTTGTTTGTTTGGCTGGTTGTTTGTGACTTGCAGTTTGGCGCGCTAGTTTGGCATTTGTTTTATTTTGGCTGCCGTTGCCATCGCCGTCGCCGTCGACGTCGCCATGTCTTTAAGGACGTGCTCAAGACAACAACATATGCAGACGGAAAAGAACAGACTGAACGTGACTGGAGTGTGACGACTTGGCTGGAGTATCCTAATTTGGCCAACTCGGCGAACGTCCTTGAGGCGACTGTGCTACCCTATTCAATTAGCCCACTTCAGCTGGGTCTGCCCCTCAGCCGCTCAACCCCTAAAGCCCTCAAACCAGTATCGCAAGTTCAGCTGCTGTTGCAGAAACCGAAACTGCAGCCATTTCCCGCCGGCAATTAATGACCTACTGCGTCTGGGCCTGGAGTTCATGTCCATGGCCCGGCCAAAAAAAATTATTGCGTTAACACGCGTTGCGACATTTTAGATGGCGGTATGTCGGTCGACTGCAGTCGGACTGCAGTTTCGTCGACGTCTCCACATCCGGCGGTTGTCCATTGTCCAGTTGGCGCGCCAGACGATGTCTGCACTCACACAGAGCCGCAGAGAAAAAATATAAAAAAAAAGAAGCACAAAAAAAATAACGCACGCACTTGCCGTCGAGCTGGCGATTGGCGATTGGGATTGGGGATTTTGCACTGCAGTTGCATTGCAGTTAGAGCTGCAGCTCGGTCTTCGGCTCGAGCTGCATTCCTGCAGCTCAGGCTATTTTTAGACCCCGGTCAGTCAATGGGTTTTTATAACCTTTGCAGACGGTATCGCAAATAACTTGGTTACGACAAATGTAACGGACTAATCCACATGTACGAGCATATATCCCCCCGTTTGCACCGAAAAAAACCGCTTTCGATTTAAATACTAGTCTCGAAATCTATTTAAAACAAGAATTAAACTTTGATTTTTGTCATATATTATTTATGTACAAATTGCATTTTTTTGGAACTTCAATAATTTTCTATTTTTGAAATACAATACCTAAAATTTTAAAACGACATAGAACTTGAACAATAATATCAAATATATTTAAAACAGGAATCGATTGCATGAACTAAACTCTGACTTTTGTTTTATACCTTTTCGTCCAAATTGCATTTGTTGCAAGCTTCAATAAATTTATATTTTTGCAACCGTTTTAAAGTTTAAGCTCTAAAGTTAAGAAAGCTCTACACAATGCATTTTTAATGCAATGTGTTTTATTTAATTTCTTTATGTCCCTTTGTCAATAACTTGTATGTTTATTTTGTATTGTAATGTATTGTTACAATTTCCAATATTGCATACAGTTCTCAAAGGATCAATTCTTATAAATATATTTATGTTATCCTTTTTTAAAACAATCAAAAATTGTTAAATTCATTTAAGATCCTATTTTTCTGGCAGTGCGGTGAAAGTGTTAATCAGACGTAGCCGTGCCTAGATAAAATGCCGCAGATTGCAGCACCCACCGATCGCGACTGATCCGCTAAGGACTTTCGTTTGGCTGACTGGCGAACCTACCAGCTTTTGCTGTACCCAACGTTTTCGTAAGCAAATGCTTCGAATTCCTTGATGCTCGCTGAAATGTCTTTTGGGCACAGCCACAAATAACAAATAAGAAAAGTACAGGAGCAGCAGCGCGAAAAAATGCAAGGAGCGCCGGAGCAACAAGAAGGCACAAAATGCATTCTCTTCGGCAACTGCATTGCCAAACTCAGGGTCCACACACACACACACACTCCAAGAAGCAGACTGCCTGGGGCTTTATATATATATATATACATATATAAATATATATACAACATATCCATACCATATAACTATGGCGAATGCCTTCTTCTGGAGATGCAGTTTGACCGTTGGCCGCCGCTTAAAAAGACCTGTTTTTATGTTTTTGGGCATTTATTCTGGATTTTCGCAAAATGTGTTTTTTTTGTTGTTGTGCGCATTTTCGTTTGTATTGAATTGCATCTTCTGCTGCGCTGATCCTGGGCTGCTGTTGTTGTTGCTGTTGTTGTTGCTGTTGTTGCTGCTGCTGCACTTCAGCAACAAGTGCATAATTTCAACCTCAAGCTCGAGGCTGGCCAAAAAACTTGCATCAAACGTGGTGCTAAATTTCACTGCGGTTCTCTCAGGTATTCCACCATAAACAACTTGCACCGCCTTCAGTTACATTTGCGTATTAGATTAAGCTGCTCCCAGGCATTTCAGATCCCATATCCCAGAACTCTAAACCATCTGATACGCAATATTATGAGGTGGACTTAGTTGAAAGCACGTGCTCTGTGTCCCTTCGTCCGGCCCAGAAAACCGATCCTCCAGACGGCGGCCCAGAATAATTTAGGCAAAACAGATAGAGTTGCCAAACAAACAGAACGCGAAAACAAGCGATCCTATCCTGAGAAACTTTTAGATAAATAATCAATCCAACTGCACAGAAATCAATTAATGCGTTAAAAACAAACTGAGATTACTGACAAGTTTCAATTGGGTTATGGTTTTTATCAATTCGATCTGTGAAGAAGTTCTTTGTGCTTAAACTTCTCTAATTAAAAAACATGTTTTAGGTTTCTTAGTTTTTGTGCTATATAGATTGAGAAACTAATCTAGGACTTCACAAAAATCTTAAGTTACGTTGACTGTTTTCTGCTAATTTTGGAAATTTTCGAAGCTTAGTCTTTTATCCATTCAAACGTATGTTCTTTACTTACTCTTTCTGCTTTAATTATACTTGGGTTATTCACAATTAAGATTGGAATAATTGCAAGTTTGGATTTATCTCTTGAAGCCTGTTGAAACTTTTACTATTATTTGTGTCATACATTCTAACTTCCTTCAAAATCTAGAGCTATGGTCAAAATGATCGTTTTACGACTGAAGTAATGTCCTCGTATCGCATCTGATTTCTTTCCGTGTGGCTTAGCATCCATTCTACATTCGCCTGGACTCGCAATCCAGTCACCACCGACCGACTTTGAGCTCCATTCAGGCCGATTGCGCAATACCGATCGCGAATGCCAGACCCGGCTCCAAAGCTATTTTTAGCTTTGTCCGTTCTGCGGAACCCTGTGGGTCGCCCAACAACTGAATAACTGTGCTCTGCTGTGCTGTGCTTTGAGGTTCAAATCGCTAAGAAAAAAACAAAATAAAAAAAAAATAAGGGTCAACGTATTTGGTTTCATAAGAGTAACAAAACGGCCCAAATCAAAATCAATGAGGCTGGCCGGAGATTGGGGGATTCTAAGGAAACAGTTTGTCATTCGCCAACAACAGGAAATTCCTTTCGGCAAACTCATCAGCCAAAGTAAACTGTGCGTCTCCGTTTTGGCGCGAGATGAGATTAATGACACTTGGACGGCAGCCCCGCCCTCTTTAACGCCTACGCCCACTTGGGCATTTGCATATGACAGCAGCAGCAGCAGCAGCAGCAGCAGCAGAAGCAGCAGCCTCGTTGTTTGTTATGCAAGCAGTAAATTTTCAATAAATATACATAAGCCAACAAACAAATCAAATCGAACCGACAGTGGCTGTATCATCAGCAGCAGCACCGCAAGAGGAGACAGCTGGACTGCCTGCACGGAAAGAAAATAGGCTAAATATTAAATCGCAGGTCAAATAGGTAATTCCAACAAAATTGATGACGAGCTTCCATTAATCACACTACCACCTGCCAGTGAAGTACTGGAGATTTTACTACCTTTTTTGCAATAAAAATAGTTTTGCCTTGAGTAATGAACTTTCCATTAAATAATAAAGTTTATAGAATTTTTTTAAATTTTTTTGTAGGTTTTGTAGGTTTTAAAAAATATGAGGAAGGTTTTAAAATAAAGAAATAAATAATATTCTTTGTAAACAAGAAAAAAGTGTAAAACTTTATACTCTAATAACAAAATAGTCCTATAAACTTTGAGCAATTTTGAACTTTTCTGTGGCTAGTGCCCTAAACATAGATGATCGTGCTAAAATTGCAAAGCTAAATTATAAAACAACACATATTAATTTATTATTTTAATATCAAAATTAAATATTTGAAAGTATTAATTTCACAATCAAATCAAATTAAAATTCAGTCTCCATAATGTTAATTTAATCGAATAGATCATCATATCATAACCATTTTTTTCTAGTGCACTGTTGTTATTGCTGCTCTGGGCGGAGGCTCGGCTGATAAACACAGACATATAGACAGTCACTGACCAGCGAGATCCGTAGACTGCGACAGCTAAATGTTTGTTTTGCCAGCGCTCGAATGCCACGCGTTGCACATACGCAGCGTTGGCCGAAAAGAGGAAAAACAAAAACAAAGAACGCCACTTGTCACTCGAAACTGTTTGTAGTTGATTCGCTTAGAAGAATCGTTCGACGGCTCATTAGCGACGGCCAGAAATGTCCAAAAGTAAACAGGAAATATACAGGATGGCCGGGCGAAAAGCGCGCGCGCTCTTCAAATTTGTTATTTGCTTATTTGACTTTGCCCCACTCATCATCTTCCGAATCTGAATCTGAATGAGAATCAGTATCAGAATCGGAATCTGATTCTGGAGCTGGAGCTGGAGCTGGAGCTAAGGCTGAATCTGAAGATGAAGCTGTGAGCTGCGAGCTGCGAGCTGCGAGCTTCGAGACTCAGCAAACCGCAAATAAAAACAAATATCGGCTCACATGAAATCTGAGCTGTTATTGAGTCTTTCGATCGCCTTTTGTTGACAACTATGCAAGAATTTTGTTATTGTCTGAGATGGGCAAATGGTACGTGGAAAAAATTGTCTGTTGCAAATGTAAATTAAACAAAATATCCAAATGATACCAGTTTGTCTGGGACTGGGATTTCATTCCGAAAAGCGTTTCAGGAACTCCTGAAAACTGAACTATAATTATGAACTCACCTTTTTAACTGCACCTTTTAGCGATGTTGCGGTTTTAGAAATAACTTTCGCACTTAGACTTGTTTGTTTACCAATTAATTAGCGGCCAACATGCAGAGAGTATGTGTATGTATATGACACTTTTAGGTATTACAAGAAATCAAGTTTAATAAAAACCCAAAAAAATAAAAACATTTTCTGCACGAATGAAAACAAAATGAAAAGTTGCCGACTCGCGATCGCACTTTTGCCCAAACTTTTTGCTGAGCTTTCGAATTTCAAAACTTTCTGCCTGGCTTTATTTACATTTCCCCGATTTACTCTGTTCTGTTCTGGAATCGCGAAACTGGACACAGCACTAGTTTTTACTTGTTACTTTTAACTGGGGACCAGAGACGTGCGCTCCATCTGATGGTCGAATGCCGACTGAATTTTGAAAACCAAAGTTCTCATTTAGGTAAGAAAAGAGGCAGCACTCTTACACCCATACACATGCTAAGCGCTGCACTGTGGGACAAGCCAGCACATAGAGTGCACAAAAATTGTTTATTAAATTATCAACATGATTACATGCCAATTTATTTTAGACTCTATATAAAAATATAACCAGGCCTAATAATTGTTTTTTAAAAGAAAAAAGGGTAAAGAATAAAATTTATAAAAGATGTATTTTTAAAAAAAAAAATTACAATCTTTATAAAACACTAACTCATCTTTACATGCGTAACGTTTTTAAAGAAACATGTAAAGCATATTGTGCTCCAAACACATATAAGCCACCAATACGATTGATTTAATTTGAAATTTATGATCGCTAAAAGGGCATTTTGTCCCATGGTGCAAGGCTGCTGTGCAGCTGTGTGCGTGAGAGACACGCAACATTTGTCGGAAATGCATTTCCGGTTGGGTCGCAACATGTTGCCGCAACATGTAAGCTCGAACGCTCATTAAATGCAGCGAAAATCATGCAGCGACCATATAGAAAACATATCTTTATCTGCGGCCTTAACTGTCTATTGTTTGGCCAGAGCAAAGCGGCAGTCAGGCAGCCGAGAAAAACGATTTCTTTATGGTGCAAACAGCGTCATAATTTAGATCTAATTGTCAGATACTCATACTCGTACTGCCGGGCCACAAAACTGCATGTCGCTGGGCCCAGCAGCCTCGGAAAATGTGAAAATGTGGAAATGAAGACATTTGACGAGGGAGCCGCCGCACTGGACAGCCGTGGAGCCGCTTTGCCAGTTGCGATTTTTACGTCAATTACGGCGCGGAGCGTTTTATTGGGCAATGGCGTGCTGGGCGCGTATTAAGCCCGCTCGCTGATAGCAACCACCTTCGCCTTTCCTTTCCACTCGTTTTCCGCTCACCTGCCCATCTGCCCACCAGCCCACCTTAACCCACTAATGATGGCCAGAATGGATACAGATGCATGCGGCTGCCACATCGACGGCTATTTATTGGAAGTGCATCTAATGAGACATTGCCATTGCTCGCCACAATTTGAGGCGAGTGAATCGCCGACGCTTGTTTGATACATGCCATTCACCCTTTCAATGGCAAAGGAAATGTTTGAAAACGCATTTAGTTAAACAAAAAATAATATAGCCATGTGCAAAGTATTAGTAGAAAACCTATTTGCAAAAATAATACATTAACTTATACCTCTTCGAGAAAAAGCTTCGATTTTATGTATTAGAAGAAAACCTACTTGCAAAAATATTTCATATACTTCCGTTTTTCTAAAAAAAAATGCAATTTACTTGACAATAACAAAAGGATATAAAAAAATTAGCAAATTTACAAGACGAGCATTTTAATACAGATTAGGAGAGAAATAAGACATATATTTTAGGAAATGCATGTAATATTTAATATATGTTATAAGTTTTTATAAACCTTCTACTTTAAATATTCTGCTACTTTTACAAAAGCTTCAAACTTACTCAAAAATGGAATACTTGTTTACTTTGCTTAAATCTCTTGTAATCTGAATTATTAATTGAGTTCTAAATTTTAAAGATGTCTAGATTTAAATGATCTTAAATCCCTAAAGCAAACGTAGTAAGGTTATTATTTTGCAATTATAGTAATTATGCTTTCCCGTATTAAGCTCACAGTTCTATTATTTTGAGCACGGCTGTAGGTATTGCAAAATGCATTCAAAATAAAAAAAAACCAAGTTCATATACTCACAATGGCTATAGAATTCGATTTTATGAATGAAATTGGCAACCACATATTCCTCCGCTTGTTTTAGTTTCCGCCCATCAGAATAAATCAAATGTCTCAAGCACATCAAAGCGCCTTCTATGACATTTGAACTGAAAGCGGAAATGAATGAATGGTCTTTGAAATAATTTGGCTATAAATAAACCCATTTCTCCGAATTCAATTATGCAAATCCAACCGACAACGTTGCGTATGCGTGATATGGCCAAGTTCAGCTATCTTTGACATTTCTCACGATAATTAGTACCAACCAGTGGGCGGCAGTAGGCGTTGGGCGGTGGGTGGTGCAAATGGGGCGTGGCTCAGGTGGGCCTGGGGCAGCTTAAGTGACGGCAATTTGCGGTGCCTCAAGGATATTCGATGACAAAAAGAAATTGCTTTGTATTAAGCCGTCTGCCAGTGTCTAGACTGATTTCCATAGCCCATGTGTGGTGTATATGGACAAATATATTTAGTGTATGTGTGTGTATGGGGGGGAGTTGTGTGTAATAGTCCGCTTAGGCTTGCCATGCTGTCGGCACTTTACATCAAAGTAAAGCCATTGCAATTGGCTAGACAGCGCCTTATAATCCTCTGCCGTTAGTCGGCTGTGTGTTCCGTTCCGTTCCCGAACTCCATTCATACGCACTTGCTTGTGAATTTGCTGCTGCGGTTTGGTAATGGATAGTGCTGACCAGCTAGCACAATTGGCCCATGCATGATTAATTGCGTTTGGTGTTTGTTGGCCAGCGAAGGGAGCCCCAGAATCTTGGCCAAAACTGAGCTCCCAGTATGTGATTTTTCCCTGGGCGGCATTTCCGATCGCCAATGCTGTTCGTTTTTATTTCACTTTTAGTACGTGCTGCCCCTTAAATAGTTTAATGCATTGTTTTATGGCCGAATGACTCATTTCCTTGGCAGCTCAGTGATAGGCTATTTCAGTCAGGCTATTACAAGTTCAGAAATTGCCAGTTGGAAAAAAAATAAAAAAAATGTAAATTTGAAAGTATTTAATTATTTTTTTTAGAAAAGTATGTTTAGCAAATAAAGTCAACACCAATATTTTTGAACATCCAGCGATTGTGTACAAAAAAATGTTAACAAATAAAAAATAAAATTTGAAAAAAATTGTTTGTAAATCTATAAAGTAAACAAAAGATAACAAATTTGAAAACATTATAAACCGATTTGTTTTAAAATTCCGATAGCAGATACGACTCACTCACTATCGAAAAGTCGGTTTTAGTATTTTGCAGTATCTACATTTTGTTGGTACAATGGCGGCCTCTACCTCTAAGCATATGCTACAGTGGCGACCTCTAGCTCTGATGCAATAAACACTTTCATTACCATCTGGTAACGCTATGCTTAACTGTCTATAGGCAGTTTTAAAATTTAAATAATATTGATATCATATATTTTAGTTTCGAGTTTGGTCGAAGAAAGCAAATGTTTGAAGAACAAACTGTTAATTTTAGTATCTGTTTTCTTACAGTCGATAAAGACAAGATAAAGTTAAATTTCCAACATATTCATAACCAAGCTAAATAATATAACGTTTTTTAATCAAGTAATTTTAATATACCCTGATAAAAAATTTAAAATAAATTGTTTTATTAAAGTGCCTTGTAAATATGCTGAGTAGTGAAAAAATTAGTTGCCAATTAATTATGTAGGTTTTTCAAAACTTGCAGATATGTTTGGAAAAGATAAATTCATTTAATTTATAACGTTAATTACCTCTTATTAGGCTTTAGTGTGTCCTTAAGACACCAATCAATCTGCACATGCATGCATATGTGGCTGTATTGTGAATAGAATAAAAAACAAATACAACGATAAAAGAAAGTTATATTAAAAATAAATATTTGAATATTAAATTAACGTGTTTAATATAAAAGTATTTAAATTAAATATTAAATCATAATATTAAATACATTGCATATTTAATAGCATGAATTAATATGTACCTATTTAAATTAATGTGAAAAATATTAGATTTCAAGTGGTTAATCTTTGTTTTAAAAAATATATATTTAAGTTTAATATGTTTATATTTAATACTCAAATATTTAAATTTAATAGTTCAGTTTTTTATTAGTACCGTTTATTACGTTTTCTTTGATGATCATATTTTTTTGCGCGATCTTGCTAAACATTTTACTTGAATTAGGTTATCACGCTCATCCTTGCCGGAAGAAATACAAAATTTACACCCACCATCAACCACGCCGAGAATAAAATTTGATTACAACAGCAAAGCTCATAAAAGTATTTGGTAAGTGCCGTTTTTTTTTGTTTATGAACATTTCAGGGACCGCTAGTAGCGTATTTAAATTTTTAAAATTTTAAATTTTTTTTATAAAAGAATAACAAAGTTTTCAAACTGCGAATACTTGATTTGATTAACAAATTGTAGTTAGTTTTTCAAAAATTGCAGATATGTTTGGAAAAGATAAATTCATTTCATTTATAACGTAAATTACCTCATATAAGGTTTTAGTGTGTACTTAAGACACCAATCAAGTGTATAATGGCATACAAACAGTTTTATATATACACACGTATATTTAGGTATGCATACGTTCCCCAGACTTTTAAGCCTAATTATGTAAAAAACCATAAGCGAAGAAGTAAGCCTTTGTTGGGAGTTTGAAATGTGTGCAGTGGCTTTGCGTTCATAAATCCGAAAAAAACCAAACGGCAGCTGTGACCGCAGCTAATCACGTTCTTAGCCGCTCATGATTTGAATTTTAATTTTGATGGCTGTGCTGGGCAGGCGACGACAGGCACTCGCTGTTTTTATGTGATGTGTAAGGAGCATTTAACAGATAGTCTGATTGTTTTATGACGACAACGTGCCAGGCGCAACGAACGAGTGCCGATGGCGACACTAAAGATGACAATTACAACTGCCGATCTTACGGATCGAAATGGCTCATTTGCAGTGACATTGTGGGATTCGAAACACGAGATTGCTTTTCAGCTAACCCTGAGCCAAAAAATTAAAAAAAAAAAAATAAACGATCAAGACGGCTTAAGCTGACGTTTAGCGTATCAATTACATGTCGTTCGGTTACTCCCTGATGGTAAATTGCGGTCCCACATCTCGCATTACACACTTGACATATATTTCGAGAGTCCGGCATATATTTCGAGTTCAAGAAGCATTGGAGACAGAGTACAAAGATCACAGCCGGAAGGAAAGCGAAATGATATTTTGTGTTCATTCATTGTTTTACGACACTATCGCAGTGAAAGTGTTTCATGTTTTATGGCCAACTTTTCGCATGAAAGGTGGCATTATGTGGGCGTCGTCTGCCACTCATTCGGCCTCCGATATTTGGGCCAGTAGATCAATTACGAACTGGCCTTTTTTAATGAGCCCAACCTGTCGCCGGCGCTCAAAACTCAAAGGGTTGTTAGTTGCTCATTAGTTTTACGACTCTGTCTCGCTGGCTTACAATATACCTTGCTATTCCTTGAGGATTTATTGCTCACCTCACTAATATGCAATAATTTTATTCTATGAACTGCATAGAGTTATATTTTTCTGGCTGGCAAACAAACCCCTCTACTATATTATTAATATTTTGGTGACGTCATAGGAAGGCGAACACCTGCATTGATTCACGGACGTGTTCAGTTTTTTTTGTTTCTTTACACTTCCTTTTGACATTTATGCCTTCAGAATGTCCAAATAAGGCGCCGCAGCTCTGCACCTCAAGCTCTCGTCGCCGATTCGGTTAATATACGTATAAGTACATTGTATACCTACAAAAACACACGAAAAAAATATACAAATTGTCATGGATATTTATGGTTTTACAAATTTTAAATGCTAGACATTTTATAGTTATGGTTAGTGCCAAGATACTTAAAGTTAAAGCTCCTTCAGTTGAAAACATGAAACAGTAGTTAAAAAATAAGTTAAGGAGGAAATTAGCATTGTCTTAAAACCCATTTTAAACTGAAAAAATATTAATACATTTTCAGCTGTAATTGTCTGTAAAACGAGATTGAAACAGTTAATTATTATTTCTTTAAAATTATTTATTTTTTAAAAAATTATTTCTCTATAATTATTCTAAAAACAGCAGGTGTTTTATCATATCTTGGTTCAAATATGGCTGAAAACTATTTTTCTTAGTGCAGCATACACCGCCACGGCTGTGTTATTGTCGATTTGAGAGATGCATGTCGCTGCGACTCCCGTTCAACTATTTAATCACAATGTGCTGATAAATGCCCGCCGCTCACAATGCAATTGTGACAAGTTGAAGCGCTGAAACTTCCGCCAAGTGTAGCGACAGATTGTAGCTGGGAGCGATCCATTTCAAGGGCAGCTCCCCTATTTCAACCATTTCATAGGCTCATAAGACCGATTCGAACAGTTCAATTTGCACCCTGTTTTTGTGCGCTGCATGCTCGTACATCTGGAGAATGGGATGTGATCCAGAAATAGCTGCCCCCGATTGCGGAGGAGGCACTGGGGTTGGGGGGCTGGGTCATGAACTTCAATTATGTGGTTGTTAGGGGGGCGTGGCCTCTCCGCCCCCCGCAACAAGCCGCCCACCAGCAGGTGACGTGTTGTTGCTGTTGGGGCGCTGCAATCGTTGGCGTTGCTGGCGTGCACTCATGTTGCCGGCGGGCAGCAACACATAATTGCTGTCAAATCGCCTGGCGGGCATTTAATTGTGCATTTCACTAGCGGCATGGCCCAAAAACACTTGCCACGCCGCATTTGAAAGCCGAATTAGTTGCCCTTTTGAACTTCTTGTGTTTACTTAGGGCCACGCCAAGCATTCGATTTTAAAACTTTTAACAAGAATTTTATTTATGAATCGAAATAGGAGTGTTCGACGACTTGTGAATTGACTTTTATGGGGGTAATCTGCTGCTGCTGATGCTGCTGCTGCCACGGCTGTTCTTATCGGTCCAACTTTACCAGACCTCAGACCCAACTTTCGTTTTATTAGTTTTTATTGTTATACATTGTCTTGATAAACGGAATACGGAATGGTCGGTCTGCGTTGGAAATCAATTACTTGGACGCACAAACACTGGGCGATCTAAGCGCGGTTTTCCATCTTATCAGGGCAACGTCAACTGAAGTTCTCCCCTGCTGATCTAATTGAACCCACTGAACCGCTGAACCGCTGAACCGCTGAACCGCTGAACCCCCGCGTGCTGGGCTCAATTTCATGTCACCGTATCGTAAAGTTAATAATTTGTGGTCACCATCCAAATCCAACCTACCCCAATGTTGGGTGGATAGCGCAGCAACTCGTATGCCAGGCAAATATTAAATGTGCCCTAGAGCTGATAAGCGGTTTGATTGCTATATAAACAAGGAACTGTGGCCAAGTTCAATGACAGCGTATAGAGCCACCCGTGAGCCGCTCAGTTCGGGTGGCTACTCGACCGGGAATCGTGATCGGCATCCTTTATGTCCGCCATATGCTCTCCGCTTCCATTTGCACTCATCCACATCCCAAAATGTGATCACTCAGAGAAAAATGTAGAGATCATTTCAAGATTGATAAGTCGTCAGTACAAAACAATGTAGAGAAATGCACATACAATTTATAAAAAAATATGTATATACTTTTTTAATCAGATGGGCTATCTTTAGATATACAATTTTGAATGAAATGCTAACATAAGCGAATACTGCGCCTATTGGCTCACATTAATTGTTCTTTCTTTAGCTTCGAATGAAGGAGATAAAATATGCAGCTGTAATCTAAAACTCAAAGGTCTTTACTAGTCCTACTTTTGATGTGATAAATATATGTTCTAGTTGGAAAACATTCTTACTAGAAATGCAATTGTATTTAAACCTTAAGTTATCTTGGAATATCAAGTTCAATTAGCTCTTTTTTACTGTGCTAATCTTGGAGGGCCTGCGTAAAGCCCATTGTAAATATTAATTATAACGAAATATACAAGATGATGAGGAACAAATAAGCAGGGGCTCCTTCAATAAGTATTCATAATAAAATACGGCTCCCTGTTGCAACTCCATGGTGACAGGCGGCGAGAAGGCGACGCTGCTCACTGTTTTCTTTCTTTTATTTTTTTACACAGGCCCTCGCACTTGGGCGTGCACTTATTTATGTATGTGCGTCCCAGTGTGTGCGGCAATCGCGTAGGGGGAGTGTAAATGCAAGTTGCGTTTCGAACAAGGAGAGCCACCACCCGAAAATGTCAAAAGCGGATTGAGGTTGTATTTAAAACGTATACCTATGTTCAACAATGTAGTAACATTGTAACATTCACACATGTTCTAGATTAGTCATGTTATACAATCGTTAACTTTTTAACAAGAATAAATTAAAATGATGACTACATCACTACCTTTAAATCAGTTTTCTTTTTTGGCACTCGAAACTTATACATAGAATCTTTCCCAAACTGGTAAAACAGGTTTAAACATCTATTCAATACTAGTTAAATTTTGTATTCCCAATACCTCTATTTGAAAAAATGATTGTTTAATATAACAAGAATATTTTAAAATAATAAGAGGGAATAAACATAAATGCACAAATAATATTGGTCTTAGACTTAAACTGTTTACTTTATAATTCTCTGTAGTACCACAACAATCAAAAGAAATTACAATAATTAATTAATTAATCAACATGAATACAAAATTATATATTCAACTTATCAATTAAAATAAATAAAAATCGAATGTGTTTTAAAGCACAAAAAGATAATGCATATTTTAAATCTTCACAGTCGAACATACTTTATTGTATCTTTGCGGGCCATAACTCTGTGATATATGTATTGAGGTCTTCGACACAGTTCAGAATTCCTTTTTCGACCATCGTGTGGGGTGGACACACCGGGCAGAGGAATCGACGACTGCCGCTGTCCAAGTGTGCTGCAGCACTTGAATTCATTTCATTTCGGTTCGAGTCGTCGGGGAGTGAAAACGTCCCAAGTTCGGTTGCACCACTGATCTCTTGCCTCGCTTTTGGACTAGTGTTGCGGAAACAAAATCCCATATATGCTGTGTATATATATGCTACATATTAATGCAGATAGCATGGTCCACTAGTCGTTATAGCGTGTGGTTTACAACAACTTGTCGCCGGCAAAAGTGACAAAAGCCAAACAAGTTTGGCCCGATTTTAAGCTAGATCTCGCGAGAGCATGCCGAATGCCGGCTGGGCTTAATTAAATTAATATAATTTCGGGAGAACGATCTCGAGTGTGTGAGTGCTTCAATTAAATCCAATAAATCATAAATAAGTGAGTGCCAACCCAACGGATCCTGTTTTAGTGGTGTGTTTCCCTCGTGCAATTGTGATTTATTGGCCGGGGTGAATTCAAGTGGAATTACGAATGCGAAAACTTAATTTTGATGAGTTCCAATGAAAGTTGAATCGAAAATGTTCCCCCTCATATGCCTCGCCCTCGTGGCCCATCTGCCATCGCAAATCGAAGCCTTTAATTTCATGCCCCGTGCGAGCATGGTGATAAACGCCCCGACGAATCTTAAGTTCTACATGAACCAAACTCGCAGCTCCTACTTTGGATACACGCTAGTCATTCGTGAAACCAGGTGAGTGCTTGCCACAGCCCATTTTCCAGCTGGGAATCGCTGTCAATATTTGCATACATGTAGGGAGTGTGAAACTTGGATACTCCAGCCGATAACCAACATACCCACCAAGTGTTTGACTTGGCGCAAGACAAGCGAGGGCTTTCAATTCGGAGCCAACACCTCTGTCAATATTTTGAAACTTCTGGCACACGGAAATGACGAACCGATGCTTGCGAAATGGGTACCAACAGAAGTTGCAGCTTGACAAAATTAGTATAGCTATTGGTCGGTTTATTGGCACTTAACACTCAGTCGCTCTATTTGCCTAGCAATTAAAATGTTATTTTCGCCTACTCGTAAATGGATGCCCAGCGAATGAAAGTAGATCGAATTTCAGGACAGAACTAATGGTGTGTCGAAAAAAAACCCAACTTAAAAACCTCTCGAAAACAATACCACTTCAGGCGGAAATTTCTAAAAATAACAAAAAACTGGCTACTTCAACTTCAATTGCCAGCAGTTACAATCGCCACAGATCTGAGAGATCGCGACTCAGACTTGAACAATTGACAAACCCGAAACACTTTTCAGTGAGCTGGGGCGACCTACATATCATGTATGAAATGTAGACCCGATGGCGGCGTCTTTAGCTTGGAGTACGGGCCCCAGAAATGACATCACACACCTCAAATGGCGCCACAAATCACAGTTAATTGAATAAGAAGAAAGTGGCCAGATCGAGGTTTAGATACTCTGCTTGAGATACTTTGTGAAATATTAACCCTGAAGTACTGGCTCAAGTTTTATGGTTTAGTGGCTGTTGAAAAAAGAGGGATATTTATTTTTTTAATATTCCCTTGGAAATATAGAGTATAGAGTATCTAAAAAGTTGACTTTTAAATTTTGTTTGCCAAAATCCAGGCCACAGCTTCGGATAAAAGACTTTTGTTTTTTTTTCTACCTGATGAGTACATCCATATCTTGTTTTTATTCTGGCCATCAGCCAGCCTAGTTAGAATGCAGTACTCGTACGTGATCATAACGAGCTAGCTCTTGACCATACTTTATTTCCATAAACCTGGGTGGGTAATTTGGAACTTCCTCTACAGTGCCCACTATTCCCCTCTGCTCGTTTTTTATTACCAGCACTTTAAAGCCAAAAAATACCCATGACTCTTGGCCATTACGAAGTGCGCCTAATTATGTACGGAAATTGCGCGTAAAATCACGTCAAGCTGTAATTTATTTCCCATCAATTGAAGTTGGCTGAAACAAACAAAAAATTAGGGGGTTTGTTTATGGCAGCAGGCCGTTGTATGTGCTGAAATCGAAATAAATGTAAAGAAGAGTGCACTCCACTGCTCACTGTTGCCCAATACCTCTTGCATTCTGGCGAAATGAGTCACAAGTGTTTCCAATCCGATTTGGAGGCGATGGCGTCTGCAGAGCCACCCCCTCATCCCGATCCCCGCCACAACTCCCCCTCGACCAGCTGACACCACACACAAATATTTTTAGTCGCCTTACTTTGGGTCATTAAACCGAATTCCGAAAACGGAGAAAAATATGTGAAGACTCCACAACGGAAAACGCTGCAGCTTGGTTGCTTTTGTTCTTAACATTTGATGACCGCAAGCTGCAGCGCTTCTTTGTTTTTTTTTTGTTTTTGTTGTCTTATTTGTATTTTCTTTGGCTGATGGAGATGGCGCGGGAGATTTGTGTGGTCCGCATCATGGCTTATTGTCCGCTCACATAAACAGTAAACAGTTCCTTGTTCGGCATTTAAGCATTTAAACAAAGCGCCACCGCCTCGCACGTCTTCTGCGGAAGAACTTACATTAAAACATAGAAGTATAGCTTTGACTCAATTGTATTCCATTTTCAAAAACAATTTCAAATTGTTTGATTCAATAACTTCTCAATCGCCATGATTGATTTGGAATAAACAATTAGTATTTGCATATATATAAACCTGGCTGAAAAGGTTTTTTATTTATTTTAGTAGTTGCCATGATGCAAATGGCACATTCCTTTAATTTTAATTAATTTTATGGCTTTAATTGTTAAGCTTTTAATCCATTTTCTAAAACTTATCCCTAAAATTATTATTTATAAAAAGCTAATTAAGATCTAATAAGAATTAAGATTACAAGTCATAAACTAGTCCTTAAAATATATAAAAAGAGTAGGTAAAATATTTTAAAATTTTATGAGGTGCATCTTTTGTACCACTAATGTGAACCCGGCTGTTTTTATGCACTAAGGCCAAGAGAAAAGTGGAGTTGGGGGTCATATGCGTGTACGTCTTACGGTTTACGTGGTCATGACTCATGTCTTGGGGAAATATGTAAGCGACAACTTTTGTACTCTTGTCTTACCACTCAGACATGCCGAATTTTCTGCATTTCTTTGCCGCCATCGAAGTGAAAACAAATGTTTGCTGACTGTTTACGGACTCACTACACCACCACTTTGTTTTACTTTTGGCATACACAAATTGTGGATCAGGTAGCAAAAGTGACGTGTGCTTGTTACTGGCCTAACTCAATCTGTTGACATTCTTTTTTTATTTATTGACGTTTTTTCACGCATGCAATCAAGCTCAAACTATTTGTTTCGCGTCGTCTTGCGTATAAAGTTACGACTGAAATCAGGCCAGGGAATAAATGCAAGCGTTGTGAGTCACCAAACTGACTAAGCCAGAGATTCGTTCCGGGGAAAACTTGTATATAGATGTACATAGTTGTATGAACAATAAAAAGTAAATCAACAAGCTAGCGGAGGTCACAGTGATGCTTGAGAATCATTTGATGCTAATTTTTTTTATTTAAAGTCAACCAAAGTAATATGCTTACGGACAAAATTAAGCAATTGGAAATATAATATTCTTTTCATTTTTATATTAAGTAAGTGCCGGTATAAACAAGATTTTATTATTATTTATTTATTATACCCATTTCATTATATACAATATTTTATCACTTAATGCACTATCATGTTTATGGCTTTTATTTGTTGTAAAGGCCTCTTCGGTTTTAACTGCGGAAAATTCATTTACAATCAATTGGGTGAGACATGAGTCAGCCTAAGCGACTGATTAAAAAACACTTGCTTTGTTATAAACCAATTGTTGATAAATTTCCTTTAGAGAAACTCATTATGAGAGCCTGGCTGGATAAGGTAAAACTGTATATCTTCAGAACTTACAAATTTGATTCAATGCGTGTTATTTTAATAGATTCTTTAAATAAAAAATTATATTCATATTAAAATATATTTGCAGTATAACTTTCAGAACATGAATTTTCCTAACTCTAGATGTTTGTAATAAAAACATACGTCTAACTATATTAAAAAAAGCTTACAAACTTTCTCATTATTAAGATATTGACTTTCGGTAATCTAAAAACAAAACAAAAAAAATAAACAAATCTGTTAAAACCCGGTAAAAAACAAAAATTGCACTTAAGGCCCGTTTTCGGGTTCTTATGATAAGCTAAGTTCCAAGGCTGACAGGTTCCATTAGACTTCTCAGTTTAAAACCTACTTTAAGCTTATCATGAGGACAATAAATCGTTTTTATCAACGAGCTCTTTGCCAAATAAGACACCGGAGACACTTTGGTATTCAGAATATTTTTGCCTAGTATGTTGAATTTTGCCTTCTTGTACATTTAAAAGATACAATATTATAAACAAAATAAAATTGATCTTGGATTTTGTTCTGTATTCGATTCGCTAAGTTCAGAATGTCAGCAAATTTAGGCTTTTGTTATGGTTGGCGAGATCTAGTACTATCGATGGGTTCAGATATGAGTCAGTCCTGGAGGCTGCTAAAAAAAACAAACACTTTGTTTTCCTAAAACTCCAAAGTATTACCCATGAATAGTCCGAAAACGGCAAGACAAGCGTTTTGAAGATGGTATTCACGGCACTCCCACGAGAGTGCCAACGGTAAAGTGAGTAAGCTTGGCCAAAACAGAGCGGCTCTCTCGCAGCTTTCGGCTAGCGGGAGATGAACGATCGTGTGTCGTTGGCTCTCTCGTCACCGCTGCCGAATGTTAAAGTGCTGGTCGATGGGTCTTTTCAATAGTATTACTCATTTAGTAGCTAACAAACCCTCAATCGGAACGGTTTGCAATCCATTTCCGTCGGTGGTGTAGATGCGGTTGGAGTTAATAAAACGAAAGTGATAATATATTCGGAAGTTAAGATAATACAGACGTCGATCGCGTGGCTCACCGTGTTAACCAGTTAAATAATCGTGGTCTACACAGAAATAGAAAGCTCTGTCTCTGCTGTAAAACTGCATAAATATAAATGGCGCGGCAGCAAGGTCGCGAATTCTGGGTGGTGCTGGTGGTGCTATTTGGCTTGGCCAGCCACTGCAATGGCTTTAATCTTTCGCCACGACCCAACAGGCAGATAGCGGATCCCCAGTTCGCCACCACTCTGCCCAAAGTGCGTGCGTCATATTTCGGATTCACCATGAGCCTGCGACCCAATGGGTAAGCTCCCGCATCTTCACTTTACCCACTCCACACTCCAAAAAATCGGGGGGTAAACAGGTTGTGAGCGATGATTCACGCTGGCCAACGCCAATCGAATTGTAGCTGTAAAACTGAATGAACTTTTTTTGAAAAAAAAACAAGTCCAGTGTCAAAGAAACAAATTCCGTACACTTAATGCCTTGTGCAAACGATGAAGTCATACTCTTAATATCAATTATCTACACATAGCAAAGAGGTGTAGTCAAGTACATAATATGCTATATATATGTGCAAACATATTTTTATGGAGATATCAAGCTCAGTCGCGGTTCCCAACTGGAAGTTATGCAAATATTTGCAACGCTGCACGTCCGAACCTTTGTTGGCTCAATAAGTCAGCTATTTAGGGCGGAGTTCGTTCATTTCTATAACGTTTAGATTTGTCAATGCCAATTTGTTATCAGCCAACGTTGCCAGTTTCGTTTAGTTTTTTACGATTTACGATAAGATTGCCGCTGGCACAGTGAAATTCCGCTAAGGCGGCCGCACCGTTGATAAGCCGCCCTCCAAATACACAGAGTATTTTTGCCCGGGAGCTACATACAAGTATGTTGCAAATTGATTACGAATCCAGGTTGATTGGTCCCCCCTTCTAAATGTCTTATCGAATTTCTATTGTCAAGCCACTTTACCGACTGACTGACTGTCTTTGAGTTCAGCGGAAAAGTCGACTAATAGATGAGACATACACAGTAAATTGGCTTTATTGCCTGACTAATGCGAATAAAGGGAGAGTAACATTATCCCATATATTTTCATGTTTGCCAGGTAAAGGCATATATATACATACTCTACTTTGAAAACTAATATGCATAAAATATGGTAGCCCTTGCCAAAATACTTATCTCGAGGTGCCATTTCACATTTATTTGTTTGCAAATACTAAAAGAATGCTGTCAAGAGTTTTGTTTGTAATTGAGTTTTTTAAAGACTTGAGTACACTATTTTAAATTAGTATGTTTGATACATTTTTATTAGCAGGAAGAGCAGGTGTTTATAACATGATGTTTGCACTTCCAAAATACTCTTAAACAAAAAAACATAAATTAAAATCACATCAAAATATTAAGAGTATTGGAAATATATGTGTATCTCGTAACTGTTTTTGTTTTTGGATCTTTTTACGAAAAACAATATTAAATCTTAAAATAATAACTTATCTTAACTGGCACAGAGTTGAAGAAACATATTAGATAAAGCTAGAGAAATTTTCATAAGTTAATCAATTATTAAAGTCATGTAAACTGGCACAGAGTTATAAAAAATAAATAAATAATTGGTTAATAAGGGTCACTTGATATTTTAAAAATATATTACGTAGAAGTGAACTACGGGTAATGATAGAAATAATAATAAACATAAAATAAAGCCACATCTTTCGCATCTATCTGTTTTCCAGCATCATAGTGGGAGCTCCTCGGGCGCAATCCACTTTAGAATCGCAGCGCAACATCAACGAGACCGGGGCCATCTACCGGTGCTCCCTGACGGACGGAGTCTGCAGTCCGTATGTCCTGGACTCCCGAGGAGATGTCGATGCGCCGTACAACGAGTACACCTGGGACTCGATGCGCAAGGACTTCCAGTGGCTGGGCGGATCGATGGATGGCGGCACCCGCGACACCGACAAGCTGCTCGTCTGTGCCCCCCGATTGTACGCGACCAGTCCCAGGGACTATCACCTGCACGGCGTGTGCTACTGGGTCAACAACACACTGGCCAGCACTCCGGGGCATGTGACCCGCATCTCACCACTGCGCCTGAAGGCACTGCAGGTGATCGAGGAGGACGACGGCGTCAAGGCCAGCTTCAACTACATCATGGGCGAAATGGGTCTGAGTGCCCATGTGGCGGACGACAATTCCAAGTTTCTGATCGGAGCCCCCGGCATCAATACGTGGAAGGGATCGGTGGTCCTCTATCGGCAGGTGGATCCCGTGGAGAATCCCACCGCCAGCAGACGTGACACGAGCAAGGCGCTCCACCACCGCGCCATCCGTGATGTGGACACCAACGAGTATATACCGGAGCACTATGCCCCTGAGATCCCCAAGCCACTGCTTTGGAAGCAGGAGGATGACTCGTACTTCGGCTATGCCGTGAGCTCCGGCTACTTTGACAGCTCCAACCCGAAAACCCTGCTCTACGTGGCCACCGCTCCGCAGGCCAACAAGCAGTCCGGCGAGGCTTACATCTTTGATGTGCGGGGAAAGAGCATCCACAAGTTCCACGTCTTCCGGGGCGAACAGTTTGGCGAGTACTTTGGCTACTCCGTTCTGGCGGAGGATCTCAATGGCGACGGCAAGACGGATGTCATCGTATCTGCTCCCTTCCACGCTCTGGAGGATTCCTACGACAATGGTGCCATCTATGTGTTCATCAACAAGGGCTTTGTGAGTAATGGGATGCCATAACTATTGGTGGGCTATTCCTAAAACACGAAGCTGACTAACACTCTCTAATCATTGCAGTTCAACTTTGAACGGAAGATTTTACGTTCGCCAGTGGGCACCAGAGCGCATTTCGGAACTACTCTTGCTCGTCTGGGCGACATCAACCACGATGGCTATAATGGTGGGTATACTCATCCTACTTTACTTGCCTTATTTTATTATTAATAATAATGTTTTCTAAAGACGTGGCCGTGGGAGCTCCCTTCGCCGGAAACGGATCGGTGTTCATCTACTTGGGCGGCGAACTTGGCTTGCGGGATCAGCCAAGTCAGCGACTGGACGCTCCTGCCCAGCAAGCTTCCAAATACGGATCACAAATGTTCGGACATGGTCTCTCGCGCGGATCGGACATAGATAATAATGGATTCAACGACTTTGCCATCGGAGCCCCCAATGCTGAGGCCGTGTACCTGTATCGCGCCTATCCCGTCGTTAAAATTCATGCCACCGTGAAATCGGAATCGCGGGAGATTAAGCCGGAGCAGGACAAGGTGAAGATCACCGCCTGCTACCGGCTGAGCACCACTGCAAGGGCAACGGAGGTGCAGCAGCAGGAGCTGGACATCCGGATCGCCATCGACACGCAGTTGAAGCGGGTTAAGTTTGCCCAGTCGCAGACCAATGAGATGAGCTTCAGGGCGAATGCGGGCCTAGGCGAACAGTGCCGGGTGTACGAGGCACAGGTGCGCTACAGCGAGAAGGACATTTTCACGCCCATCGACCTGGAGATGCACTACGAGCTGACCAAGAAGATTCCCGACTCGGAGGGTAAGCTTTAGGCTTTAGATTTAACCGAACCAAGTGACTAATGTCTTAACTTTCAACAGTGTTCTGCGAAACCTGCGTGGCTGTGGATCCGGCGGAGCCAAAGGTTTACACCGAGAAGATCATTTTCAGCACGGGCTGTGCCACCGCTGTTTGCACCGCCGATCTGCAGTTGAGGAGCAAGGATGTGAGGTGAGTAAAGCTGTTTTGGAAGTTGAAAACAAATGTTAGGGATGCCAAAGGAATGAAACAACCGTCTGAATTGAAAACTAACAGTACCAACTTTTATGTCTTCAAAAGTCTCTTTTAAATATTTTACTAACTGCTCGATTGCTCTATCTAGTTTGCTGACAACTCAAGTAGGAACCATTTTGCTACAACTAGCTAGCTTTCAATAACTAGGTTTCCTCAGCAAAACCTTATCATCAAAACTTTATCTATCCTCTTCACTACAATTACTACTACAATTTTTACTAATGCCGAATGATTACTCATCATACTGCCTCATGAACTCTAAGGACATATATGGTAGCTCCTCAAGGGCCTCAATGGCATTTGTAATACAAATGTTAGAAAATATTTTCAAAGCAGTGAATGTCATAGGGGCCACTCAACTAAAGCGATATTCCTTGTTTCGCTTGATTTTGTTAAACGAGTAAACACTTTCTTTTTGTATCAGAGTGATGACTTATGCCATCTTGTTTTATTTGTCCACAGCCCCACTTATATTTTGGGCAGTGCCGATACCCTGCGTCTGAATTACGAGATCACCAACAACGGAGAGACCGCCTATCTGCCCCAGTTCAATGTGACCAGCACCTCGCGTTTGGCCTTCGCTCAGGTTCCCGGAAATTGCAAGGTGGCCGATGCAGTAATGGTCTGCGATCTGAACCGAGGACGACCACTGGCCAAGGGTGACAGTGACTCCGTGACCATCAGCTTCGATGTGAGCCAACTCAGCGGACAGTCGCTGATCATCCATGCGGAGGTATTCAGCACGGGGTACGAGAAGAATCCCACGGACAACAGGCAGACCAACGTGATTGGCCTGCGGGAGTACACCGAAATCGATGCCAGCGGGTATGATTATATATATATAAACTTTATAGAAGTTTCCTCTTAACCTATCAATTCCTCCTTGACTTACAGTGGCCAGACAAACGATCAAATCGATTTGGAGCACTACAGCAACTCGGCGGAAATCATCAACCAGTACGAGATCAAGAGCAACGGGCCCAGTGTCATCGAGCAGTTGACCGTGTCCTTCTACATACCCATTGCCTATAAGGTGGCTGGCCAGACTGAAGTGATACCCATCATAAACATAACCAGCCTGAAGATGCAGGCCTCCTATGATTCCCAGCTGCTGGGCGTGGATCTGTACGACCAGAACAATACGCTGCTGATTGTGGAGTCCCTTGAGGTGGCCACTACCACCACGCTGAGCGGAGGCTTGGAGCGCACTGTGATCACCCAAAATGGACAGGGCTACGACATCCACACCAGTGGACATGTGCACCAGACGATGCAGGTGCTCGACCCCGACATGGTGGCCACCGCCTCCATGTCCCGCCGGCGTCGCGATCTCAAGGCCTTGACCGCCCACCGGGAGCAGTATGCTCGCATCTCGAATGTCAAGGCCCACGATCTGCTGAGCGATGACTTCAAAGACAAGCTGCCGGTGAATCGCACCATCGTGTTCAATTGTCGCGATCCCGAGATGACCATCTGTGTGAGGGCCGAAATGCGCGTCCACTTTAGGCCGGAGAAGTCCATTAACCTGAACATGCGCTACAAGGTGGATCTGAACCAGGTGAATGCCATTCTGATGGACCCCTGGGAGTACTTTGTCATCCTCACCGACCTGAAGCTGCTCAAGAAGGGCGATCCCACGTCCAACACGTTTCTGATCAACCAGAGGATCGAGCCGAACATCATATCCAAGCATCTGGAGGCTGGACTGCCCATCTGGATCATCATTTTGTCCGTGATCGGTGGCCTCCTGCTGCTCGCCGCTATAAGCTATACTCTGTACAAGGTATGTTCTTGCGTAATTTGAATGAATAACTAAATTCTGACTTGATTTTATTAACTATCATTAGTTTGGCTTCTTCAATCGCGCCAAGAAGGAGGAGCTGGACAGGTTGGTTCAGCAGAACCCCGTCGAACCGGAGGCGGAAAATCTGAACAGTGGGGCCAACAACTAGCTCGGGACAAGATGTTCCCTAGCCGTATACACATCACATTCTAAATGGATGGACCAGTTACTAAAGCCTAGTTTCACAACGGGAAGACTACCTACCCACTGAGTGTGTTCTCAAGCATTTAAAAAAGCAGCTTAAAACGAAAAGCGATCTACGAAAAGTACGTGCAACTTGCAAACCTCAAAGCATTTAATGTTCTTGTTGGTTTCATTTTCTAGTGGCACAAGTCGTGTGCCTTGTAATTTGTAGCCTACAACTAATTTGTACGAAAGTCCCATGTGTGCTGCACCAGCCATATTGCCATTTGTTGTATATATTTATTAAACTTTTTAATTAATCGTAATTTTAATGACGTTGTAAAGGCAACTTTACATGGCGACGTAAAAGACTTTATTAATGTGTAAATTGTAAAAACGAAATATAAGCGATATCATAAGCCCCAAAAACAGATTGTTTAGAACTTATTCTTGTATTATAATAGAGTATTAAAACAACGAAGAATGAATAAAAATGAAAACGAAACAAAGCCACGTCGAAAAAATGGTAAATTTATTTTCAAGGTAGAGGTAAGATTTCAGCCAGGAATTTGAAGATTAAAAATAATCATTTTAAATAAAATAATATATTTTTATATAAAAATAGTTATTCAATTTAATTGTGATGTTTCTTAATAATTAATATGACTAATTTTATTAAAATATATATAATATATATAATTTTATAATATGAATTATTTTTTCTTTTAATATGTATTTGAATAATCTGTTAAAAAACATCGTGTGGTTACGTATTTTAATATCTAAAGACTAATGAACTTTGCTCATGACGAGATGAAATGACACACAATTCCTACAGATCCGGCGCCTTGCCAAATGTCACAATTCAGTTCAGTTAATTTCGAGGAGTCGAAGAGTTCGGTTGTAAAAAGTTTGACTCGCAAAAAAGTGGTTTAAAAAAAGTTCTACTAAGCATATTGAATAAATAATTTGGTTTTTAACAATTTAAGATAAGTCAAAATGTGCGGCCTGATTTTTCTGGTATTTTTGGTTGTGCATTCGCAAATCGAAGCTTTTAATTTGTCGCCTTATCCAAACCGCGTGATAAAATACCCGGGTCATCCGAAACAAACTCGTAGTTCCTATTTTGGTTACTCGCTCGTCATCCGACCGAAAAGGTGAGTTCCAGTGTTCCTAGCTAGGATCATAATTCAGCAAATAATTTAAGTTGATTTTAGCATGTGAGTGTTTTTATCCTGATATGCTAAATAATTAAAAGAGAAATAAAAGGGAACAGTGAAGACGAGTGCCTCGCTAGCATAAAAGTTAGTACGGTCTACTGACCGACAGATGCCGCCAGGCGTAACAATAGGGCTGCTACTGACGCCATCTGTCGGACGGCAGACCATGTTGCTATTTGGCTTTTGTTTCTTAAGACCTTCTAAACAAAATGTTTAGTTTACAACATATACGAAAGATAAGCAAAATATTATCTAACATTTAAATTAAATTTAAATTTAAATTTAATTTGAGTGCTATAGCGATTTGTGAGTGTTAAAGCAGGCCCTCTGAGCTAGTTAGATATGGCTACAATTAAGTAAGAGTTGTGCTAAATGCACTAAGCTTTAGACATAATTATAACATGCATATTATGTTTACTTTTTTTATAAGTTGTTAGTCATTTTTTGAATTTCCAGCCATGACTCTGGATCAGTGATTTATTAATATGAGTAATTATTTACGAATTGGTTTTTTCCGAGAAATACCAAAACATAAATCAACTCTTTTTATGACGTTGCAGCATAATTGTGGGTGCACCCCGAGCTCAATCCACATTGGAAACGCAAAGCGCCATTAACGAGCCCGGGGAGATCTACAGGTGCTCCCTGGAAAACGGGGACTGCACTGTGTATGTCCTGGATTCGAATGGAAACTATGATTCGCACGAAGAGGAAAACTTGAGCTCACATCACAAGGACTTCCAGTGGCTCGGCGGATCAATGGACGGAGGCACCCAGGATACCGATAAGCTCCTAGTTTGTGCCCCCCGACTTTACACCCACAGCAGTGGGTTCGTAGATGATGTATACCAGCCCATTCAATACCACCTGCACGGAATCTGCTACTCGGTAAACAACACACTGACCGCCCGTCCGCAGCACGTGACGCCGATTTCCCCTCTCCGTGCGGCAGATATGCAGGAGATCAAGAATGGAACCGACACTCGCAAGTACTTCATCATGGGCGAACTGGGACTGAGTGCTCATGTGCCGGATGACAACTCCAAGTTCCTGATCGGAGCCCCGGGCATCGATGACTGGAAGGGATCGGTGTTTCTGTACCAACAGCCGGGTTACGTGGAGACCACCTCCAACGTAGCTAAACGTGACACGAGTAGGGCACTCAGCCAGTTACGACCAAAGCGGGATATCTCATCTAGCAAGAAGATACTAGAGCCAAACTGGGACCAGGAAATTGACTCGTACTTTGGCTATGCCGTGAGTTCCGGCTACTTCAACAGCGCTAATTTGAGCACCCTGCTATACTTGGCCACCGCTCCCCAAGCCAACAAGCAATCCGGTGAGGCGTATATATTTGCTGTGGATGAAGGTAGAATCCACTGGCAGCGCACATTTCGGGGCGATCAGTTTGGCGAATATTTCGGCTACTCAGTACTGGCGGAAGATCTCAATAGTGATGGAAAAACGGACTTCATCATCTCAGCTCCCTTTCACTCTCTGGATGATTCCTACGACAATGGTGCCATCTATGTGTTCATCAACAAGGGCTCTGTGAGTAATAAGCTGAGCTGCTAAGTCACTTTTCGGATTTGAGCTGACTAATGCTGCGCTTATCATTGCAGTTCCACTTCGAAAGAACTATAGTGACGTCGCCAGTGGGCAGCAAAGGCCGTTTTGGAACTACTCTTTCGCGTCTGGGAGACATCAATCACGACGGATTTAATGGTGAGTTTTGGTCCACCCTATTGAGTCGAATCGATCTTGCCTTAAACGTCTATCAGTCAGTAGGTAGGAATCAAATACATTATGTAAGAGCTTTAGATTTGAAGCAATTTATTTAATGGCAATTTGCATAAAAACTAAGTAAGTTTGAAAATTAAATTTATTAAAAATTTGTTCCTTACACAGACATTGCCGTGGGAGCTCCCTTTGCCGGAAACGGATCGGTGTTCATCTACTTGGGTGGCAAACTTGGATTGCGGGATCAGCCAAGTCAGCGACTGGACGCTCCTGCCCAGCAGGCTTCCAAGTACGGAACACACATGTTCGGACATGGTCTCTCTCGAGGAGCGGACATAGATGGTAATGGATTCAATGACTTCGCTATAGGAGCGCCCAATTCTGAGGCCGTGTACCTGTATCGCTCATATCCCGTCGTTAAAATACATGCTACGGTGAAGTTCGAATCACGGGAGATGAAACCGGGGCAGGACACGGTAATGATCTCAGCCTGCTTTAAGCTCAGTACCACAGCCAACATGGCTGGTGTGGAGCATCAGGAACTGGACTTCCGGGTGGTCATTGACAAGGAGCTGAACCGGGCTAGGTTTGCCCAGACACAGTCCAATGAGATGAGCTTTAAGGCAAATGCGAGTCTCGACGAAAGATGCCACGACATCGTTGTTCAGATGGGCTATAGCCCTATATTCGATCCCATCGATCTGGAGATGAGCTACGAGCTGGCGAGGAAGGTTCACAACTCAAAAGGTGAGCTCAAATTTGGTATTTAAATCAATCACTTAATGGTGAGCTTGCCTTTAATAGATTTCTGCGAAACCTGTGCGATTGTTGATCCGTTTGATTCGAAGGTTTCATCGGATAGGATCACCTTCAACACGGGATGTGCCAAAGATGAGTGTGTCGTCGATCTGAAACTGAAAAGTAGGAATGTGAGGTAAGAGGGTGTTATAGTATATAGTTATCATAAAGCTTCCATAGGAACAACCGGAAAAATAACTGTTTAAGTTATATATATTTAATCTAATTTTATTTAAATCGGACAAAGATTTGATTTCCGCGGAAAATCGATATAACTTTCAATGTTTTTAAGCTAATTTCGTTTCTTTTTTTGTACTTTATTTAAATGGACTCACTTTGTTTGCAGCCATACTTTTGTTTTTGGCAGTGCCAATACCATAAGCTTAAGCTACGAGATCACCAATAACGGAGAGAACGCCTTCTATCCCAAATTCAATGTGACCAGTTCGTCGAGCCTGCCTTTCGCAAAGGTTCCGGGAAATTGCTTTACTGCCGAAGCCGTCCTGGTATGCAAACTTAATCACGGACGACCGTTGGCCAAGGGCGTCAGTGACTTCATTACCATCAGTTTCGATGTTGGCCAACTCAGTGGCGAATCGCTGACCATCTCTGCAGAAGTGCATAGTGCCGGAAGTGAAGAGAATCCCACGGACAACATTCAGATTGACGAGATCAGCTTGCGGGAGTTCACCGAGATCGATGCCAGCGGGTAAAATTATAAAAATATCAAAAAAAAAATCTGAAATACTAAAATCCGATCAAAATCCTCTTAAATTTGCAGTGGTCCCGCAAACGGTCAAGTTGCTCTAAAATGTATATATTCCTCCGCGGAAATCATGAACCATTATGAGGTCAAAAGTCGCGGTCCCAGTAGTATCAAACAGTTAACGCTGTCATTATATATTCCCGTGGCATATAAGGCGCCAGGATCTGAAGTATATGTGCCCATCATTAACATGACCAGTTTGCATATGCAGGCCACCTACGATTCCCATATGTTGCCCATCAAGCTCTACGATCAGAACGATACTCTGCTCAATACCTTTCCCATTACAAACTCCACTCACGGTGGACTAGACTACGACCAGACCCGAAGTCGTAGGGATCTCCAAAGCCTACTCGTCAACCAAACAGAGGAAGCTGGCATCTTTTTCGAAAGGCTTTTCGAGAAACCGCCGCTAAATCGCAGCATTGTGTTGGACTGCCGGGAAACCAACACGACTATCTGCGCACATGCCGAGATGCATGTCACATTGAGACCATATAAACCCATCAACATAAACATAAGCTTCAATGTAGATTTAAGGGACATTAAAGAGCCCTGGGAGTACTTTGTCATTCAGACCGATGTGGAACTGGTCAGGGCGGGCGATCCCACTTCCAGTTCGTTTGTGATAAATGGGCAAATTGAACCGAGCGTGCTATACACGCATGCTGGACTGTCCATCTGGAAAATAATTATGGCCGTAATCGGTGGAGGCTTGATCCTATCTGCAATAACCTATGGTTTTCACAAGGTTTGTACTGCATTGGCTAAGAAACTTTGTATTACTAACATGATTCCCTTTACTCCATAGCTTGGATTCTTTAAGCGCACCCTTCGCAACGAAAAAAGGAGGTTGATTCGCGAAAGTTTTGAGGAGAATATTATTAAAAGTTAAGAATATATTAAAAGTGTGTATTATCTTTAATCATCCAAGTGTATAAGTTTTTGGCTGCTATCAGAAAAACTCCTTAACTTTATACTGTAAGTAATACATATAATGTTAAAAAACATGGTTGTAATCATATAATAAATAACTTACATTTTTAAATTGTTTGTTCGTAATTGTTTCTGTGGAACGAATAGCACAAATTCTTGGCCTTAAAGCTATGAACTATTTTAAATTAATAAGTAAACATTAAGGCAAACCAAATTTAAAGAGAAGATAACCATATAAAAAAAATTAACTAATATTATCAATCAAGAAGTAGTTTTTACTTTTAAATTACAAGGTAAAATGATAAGACAAAAGTATTTTACATATTTCAAGCATATTGTGATATATTAATCTGTTCATGATATGACCTCACATAAAACGGCATTATCCAATAATTATTAATCGCTTTTTTTAGTACAGTGGACAAAAAAAAGTTTACAGTGTACTTAAATTTGTTTTGCCCACTACATATTTATTTTTTGCAGCAAGTCAACAAGAGTAAATAAGTTGCTTATTCATATCTTAAATGGTTTTTATTTTTAATATAATGCATGTACAATTAAATTTAAATAGATTATTTCACAGCATTATATTTACAGAACACTAAGCATCATAGTGATGCTCACTTTTGTTAAAATTTTGAACAAAACAAGAAACGAAGCACAATTCGGCAAGCCGAAGTTTGTATACCCTATCTACCCTAGCTATTACAGACATTTTATATTCTTTAAAACTACTTTGTTTTGGTTTTTATGTGTATATGTTTAAAAACAATAAAGATATATCGAAATTGTGCAACTTAAAAAAAAAAATAAAACAGTAATATTATTTACATATCGAAGAACATTCAAATAAATTGAAATACCGAAAAAGGCCTCCGCGTTAACATCCACAAAAATCCATTCAATTATAAAGAAGTTTTGCTACAGTACAAAAAACAAAATGAATGAGTAATTTAAGTATACAACTTGTAAATATGTTGATTCATGTGTATAATGTTTTATCAAACAAAATTAAAACTTTGCTCTGCAGCATCTCATTTCATTTACTTCGAAGAATTCGCAGAGTGAACACTCGAATATCGGCTGCCAGCTTTATCTATTTAAAAACAAATTAGTTATTTTATAGTTAGAACATATTTGATAAACTAAGTTAAGTTAAAAATGTGTCGGCTACTTTTCCTGGTATTTCTTACCTTGCAATACCAGAGCGATGCTTTCAATATTTCTCCTTATCCGAACCAAGTAATAAATTACCCAAGCCATCTGAAGACCTATTTGAACCAAACGCGAAGTTCCTACTTTGGGTACTCGCTCGTCGTCCGTCCTTCCGGGTAAGTTGTCCAGTTGCTAGTTGTGAAGGAAGGGTCCAAAAGTGAAATTAAACCTACTGAATTGTTCGAAATTAAATTAATTAACATTTCACACAATAAAAACTATTGTATGGAATTCTTAAAGTGGCCAAGCTTACCGATTTCGGAATTAAGGGTTATTCATGTGCTTTATCTTGATATCTGTGAGTGTGTTCTCAACGTATTATTTCTGGAATTTGTAGAGATTAAGTGTGTAATATAACTTTGGCAAACTGAAAACCCTCAACCCTATATTTAAATCATGATATTAACACACACTGCATATTAAATGACATAATTAAATATTTTAATTGATGAGGAACACATTAGATTTAAAATAGTTCGTAATTGATTAAAATGCATTTTATTCAAGTTAAATATGGTTAAAATTTAAATTTAATATTTATATTTATATTTAAATAACTATAATCCGGAATCAAAGCGAAATATTATATCTTTAAGTTGAGTACGAAATATAGGGACCTACTGCTTTTTTTATTACCAGTGCTTTTCATTTTTGATTGCAGCATTATAGTGGGAGCTCCTCGAGCTCAATCCACCTTAAAATCGCAGAGCAATATCAACGAAACTGGGGCGATCTTCAAGTGCTCCCTCACAAACGGAACCTGTTATCCGTATGTTGTGGACTCCCGGGGAAATGTTAATTACAAGCGACTTTGTCCCATTTTCGAGGGGGAAGGAAGGGACTTTCAGTGGCTGGGCGGGACCATGGACGGCGGTACGAAAGATGCGGATAAGTTGATCGTCTGTGCTCCCCGATTCTACGCTCCCACCGCTATGGAATACTATATGAATGGAGTCTGCTACTGGTTGCAGAATACAAATGCCAACAATCCGGAGAATGTGACCCGCATTGCACCCCTACGCTCGAAATCGATGCAGGTACCCAAGGCCAACATAAGCTACTACTACATGATGGGCGAACTGGGACTGAGTGCCCATGTCACGGATGATAACTCCAAGTTTCTGATTGGAGCTCCAGGCATCGATACTTGGAGGGGATCTGTGATCTTGGATGACAAACCGACCGTAAGTCCTCAATTAGAGGACATGAACTCCAAGGAGTGCCCCCCCGACGACAAACAGAAGAAGCCACAAAACTGGGATCAGGAGAAGGACTCGTACTTTGGCTACGCCGTAAGCTCCGGCTACTTTGACAGCCTCAATCCTGCCACCCTGCTCTACGTGGCCACTGCCCCTCAAGCCAACAACCGTTCCGGCGAAGCCTACATTTTCGATATTCAGGGAGAGGGCATACACAAGATCTACGAATTCGAGGGCGCACAGTTTGGCGAATATTTCGGCTACTCAGTACTGGCGGAAGATCTCAATAGTGATGGAAAAACGGACGTCATCGTCTCAGCACCCCTTCACTCAGAGACTGATGATTCCTACGACAATGGTGCCATATATGTGTTCATCAACAAGGGCTTTGTGAGTAATAAGTTGAACTAGCTTTTCGGATTAAAACTGACTAATGCTGCGCTTATCATTGCAGTTCCACTTTGAAAGGACTATAGTGACATCGCCAGCGGGCAGCAAAGGCCGTTTTGGAACTACTCTTTCGCGTCTGGGAGACATCAATCACGACGGATTTAATGGTAAGTTTTTGGTCCACCCTATATAGCCGAATCGATCTAGCTTTAAACGTCTATCAGTCAGTAGGTAGGAATCAAATACATTATGTAAACTATGCCTCTTTTAAGAGCTTTAGATTTGAAGAAATTTATTTAATGGCAATTTGCATAAAAACTAAGTAAAATTAAAGTTAAATTTATTAAAAATTTGTTCCTTATACAGACATTGCCGTGGGAGCTCCCTTTGCCGGAAACGGATCGGTGTGCATCTACTTGGGCGGCAAACTTGGCTTGCGGGATCAGCCAAGTCAGCGACTGGATGCTCCTGCCAAGCAGGCTTCCAAGTACGGATCACACATGTTTGGACATGGTCTCTCCCGCGGATCGGACATAGATGGTAATGGATTCAATGACTTCGCCATCGGGGCCCCCAATGCTGAGGCCGTATACCTGTATCGCGCTTATCCCGTTGTAAAAATACATGCCACGATAAAGCCGGAATCGCGAGAGATAAAATTGGGGCAGGAAAAGGTGAAGATCACGGCCTGCTTCGGGCTGAATACCACTACCCCAAAAAGGGGTGTGCAGGAGCAGGAAGTGGACTTCCGGATAACCGTTGACAAGGACCTGAACCGGGCTAGGTTTGGCCCAACAAACACCAACGAGATGAGGTTTAATGCAACTGCTAGTCTTGACGAGAAGTGCATCCACTTTTATATTAAGGTGCGACATAACGGACACATTTTTGTGGCCATCGAATTGGAGTTGCACTACGAACTGGCCAATAAGATACCCAACTCTGGGGGTGAGCTTATTTCTTTAAGGTTTTAATAAATAAACTAATAGAGAGCTCACTTACAATAGAGTTCTGCGAAACCTGCGCCATTGTTGATCCGGCGGACCCGAAGTCTTCCACGGAGAAGATTATCTTCAGCACGGACTGTGCCTCCGATGTTTGTGTCCCTGATCTTCAAATTAGCAGCAAGAATGTGAGGTATGCCAAGTGCAGGGTAATATATATTTATATATGAGTAATACGCATTCTGTAATACTTATCAGGGTCATGACTCATACTATTCGCATTTCAATTTTCATAGCTCAAAATATATTTTGGGCAGTTCCGATACCCTGCGTCTGAATTATAAGATAACCAACCAGGGAGAGAAGGCCTACCTGCCCCAATTCAACGTGACCAGCACATCCCACCTGGCCTTTGCTCAGATTCCCTCAAACTGTAAGGTCGTTGACGCAGCTATGACTTGCGACCTGAACCACGGACGGCCGTTGGCAAAAGGTCAATGTCTCTCCATCACCATCAGCTTCGATACGAGCCAACTCGGTGGACAGTCGCTGGTCATCCATGCAGAAGTCTTTAGTGCCGGAAACGAGAGGAATCCCAAGGACAACAAGCAAGCAAACAGTATAAGCCTTAGGGAATTCACAGAGATCGATGTCAGCGGGTTAGATTCAATAAACATCTACATCCAACTAAATTAAACTAATGAGTCATATTTATTTTCAGAGGTCCTACAAATGGTTTAATTGTTCTGAATCATTACCCTTACTCCGCGAAAATCATTGACCAATACAAGATTAGGAGCCTTGGTCCCAGTACAATCGAACAGTTAACGATATCATTTTATATTCCTGTAGCCTATAGGCCAAATAATTCTATGGCAATCATACCCATCATGAATATTACCAGTTTGCAGACGGAAGCCACCTATGATTCCCAAAAGTTGGTCATTAACTTGTACGACCAGAATAATACCCTTCTCCATGGTTACCCCTTGGAAAAGTTTACCCGAAAACCTAGGGATCTTGGCCGGGAGGCAAATGATAGCATCTCGGAAGCCCTGACCAACGAACTGCTTGTTGGGAGCAATCGCAGCATTGTGTTGGACTGCCAGCAAACCAACATGACCATATGCGTCCGAGTCGAAATGTGTGTCCAATTAAGGCCGGACAAACCAATTAACCTAAACATAAGCTTTAACGTGGATCTCAAAGAAGTTAAGGATCCCCGGAAGTACTTTGTCATCCTGACCAATCTGAAGCTGCTCAAGAAGGCCGATCCCACAGCCAACTCGTTGAAAGTCAACAGGAAGATGGAACCAAATGTGATTTATAAGCCTGCAAAGCTGTCCATTTGGATAATTATTATTGCCGTGGTGGGAGGCGTGCTGCTGCTCGCTTTCTTAACCTATGCTCTTCACAAGGTACGTATTTGTGTTGTTTAAATTGAATTTCTTATATTAAATGCTGTTTGCTCCTTAGTTGGGATTCTTTAAGCGCCAAAAGAAAGAGGAACTTAAGAAGCTAGTTGAAAAGAGTCGTGAGGAGTTGGGGGCAACTGCGGCGGAAGAGGGTGAGGAGCTGGAAACAGAGAAGCCTTTGGAGACAGAGCTTTTCAATATCTACTAACTCAACCTCCTAGTCAAACCCATGATGATAAAATAACTCCTTTGATTGATTTCTTAAAGTGTTAATAATTTATTTTAATAAAAATAACATACAATTCTTAAAATAAATAAGTACAATCATAAATAGTTTATTAAAATGCATTGTTATTCTTAATCCTTGAAAATATTTAAAAACTAATCTAAATTATTAGCACACACTGGCCAAACATGAACAATTTAACCGATCTTTCTCATATCTCATGTATACCTAAAACATTTACTCTATTTATGTACAATAATATCTGGGGCCGCCATAAAAAGGTAGCTGCTCATAGAATACACGAACTTCTCACCCCCACATAAGCAAGTAAAACGGACTAGCTAAGGAGACGATATACACACATTACACAAGAGCTGTGGACTACAACATGCGACACGACTCACAGAGTTACAGGTATAAGTAAGTACAAGTACATTAGGCTGCGATAAGTTTCTAATTGAGTTGAGGTAAGCGCTCATGATCGGCTTAGATAAAGTAGAGTGGTTGCTTTCAGATATGTTTTGTGTGAAGGTTGCATGCAACGTTGCAATATGTACGACTGACTACAGCTAGGAGTTCTGTAAAAGTATCGAATATGTGAATATGATTTAAGTGCGATTTCTTTGGTGGTTCCTATTGACACGAAAACGATAGTAGATATTCCAAGCACCTGCACCTGCACCTGTAGAGTGTATAACAACCACGACAACAACAACAACAACAACAACAACAACGACGACGATGCTCTTGCTTTCTAAATAAATACTTGTATAAAAATACAGAGAATTTGTGAACTATGTATTGTCAAAATCATTAACACCTATGTAACTTGCGACCTGTTCGATTAAGAATATGTATGCCTAATCTCAGATATCTGTTTTCCCCAGATCTCAACGCTGCTTCATTAGCATTTGCATCACCCTACACTCCTGTGACTAGTTCTAGTTCTACCCATTGAGCTGATGGATATCCATGGACTACTCTGCTAACACATTGTCTCATTGAATGGCGGGTCCTTTTCCGATTCGGTGCTGCTCTTGATGTTCGACGACAACTTGGCGATCTCGTCCTGCACCAGATGGGTGCTGATCTGGGGTATGGTCAGGGCCGGACTGCTGCTCTTCGCGGACGAACCGCCCGATCCCTCCTCCGTGCTGGAACTGCTCTCTTTCAGCACATTCATGCCCAGCTTGCTCGCAAAGGGCTGCGGCTTGAGCGTGGAAATCAGTTTGGCCTGACCAGCAGCTTGGCCAGAAGATTGGCCTGCAGATTCGGCCATCTCTGGCAATGGCTCCGCCGGCTGAGACGGCTTGCCCTGGTCCACGCTAAACTGTTTCTTCAGCAGCATGGGACGCGCTGGCGGTGCCGGCGCTGCCTGCGTCGTCACTGGCCCCGAGGCGCTGAGGTCCAGCGAACTGGAGCTCTCCTCCCGCAGTCGCCGGCCGTCGGCCGCGCCCACCGAGGCGGTACGGATGGGCTGGTAACGCGCCGTGGCAGCGCCGCCCACAGCGCCAACGCTGATGCTAACACCCGTCGCCGAGTGCGAGTCGCCGGCGTCCAGCGAGGGCTCCG